TAGTTGGCAAATTGATTTTCGCAAAGTTTAGATTTTTTTTACATACTTCATTTTCATGACATTTTAAGTTTACTTTATGTCGAAAAACTTTCCGTTATCCTGCAAACTTTACACGAATCGTGAATATAAAGCTCCTCAAATTTTACGCTCATTCTCTCCTCGAATGAATAGAATAGCTCGAAAAACACGAAATACTTATGTATTTCCTTACCTTGCAAGTAGTTAATTGATCCGGGAATCACGCACGCACTCACTTTTCCATAAACACGCAAATGAAAAAATACAAATACAAATTAATGGGAAATGATAAGAACAAATTTTAGGACGAATTTTCCAGCGATATTCTTCTACTTCTTCTCACGGGCTTGAAAAAGAGTCGGTCTTTCCCGAAAGATCTTCTTCGTTTGTGTATTGACACCAAGAATCCCGTCGCACCATCACCATGCACCACGAACCACCGCTAGACAACAGTGGAATAAACACTGACCAACAACTGCTGAGGAGAGAAAAAGATGGGAAACCCCCCAATTTTTTTGTCGTCATTATTACTTAATTACAACAACCAAGTCAAGCTCATGTATCACCCTGATTCATCACAATTCCAGTCTCACAATCCAATCCAGACCGTCTCACGAGGAGTTGGTTGGTCTGTTTTTATTGTGAAGTGCAGAAAATCCATCCACCTTCACGTGAATCTACTAACATAACAGCCTTTGTGTATCTTCGTAATGATGGGATAGCAATAAAATACGAATGTTAACAGGTTGCTGCTGCTGTTGGGGCTGAATGTCGGCCGCATATTGTGTGTGTATCACCTTGATGATGAATATACATTTTTAGGGCTGGAAAATAAATGTGATGTGATACTTGTGTTAAGTTGATAAGTATGGAAATAAGTAGTGATTCATGATGGGCGATAAAGCAGCAGTTGGTTTTTTAATATTTTTCTAGAATTTTTCCCGTGAATATTTATTTACGTCTGGATAGTTATCGTTACTTCATGGGTTTTACATATGTATGTTATGTAAGGTATTAATTGTTACGATCGAGAGTTGTCACATTATTTATGTATACGAATTTATTGTGTAGGGTTCCAATGATGTGGGTTTTTGGGAACAATTTAACCCTTTGTGACACGTTTTTTTTCCATTTTTTTTACAAGGTCAACTTATGTAATACGAATTTAATTGGACTTCACAAATACAACTTATTTATTACATGGGAGAGACACTAGCACACTTAAAAACCAGGTGGAAATTTTTATCGCAATGAACAAGTTTTTATGGACACTGGCTACACAATCTAAAAATTGTCACCTAAAAATCCAGATACATACTTATTTATTGGCGATCAATTAAATAGCTTGTCTCATAAATAGTTTTCATTGAATAATATAATACAAAATTTACTATACGGGAGTTAAATATTTAGTAAAATATATTTTTTAAGTATGTCTGCTGATCAACATTTTCCTTCCTAATTAAAAAACCCAAAATACCGCAAAAAAAATTTGACGGAACTTTTTTGTCAAAATCAGAGCAGAAACTGAATTTCCTGTTAAATTTGTAGTAAAATTTGTAGTAAGCCATGTCCCACGTAGTAGATTATTAGTAGATACATACATATTCACTTAATAGCTGTATGTACATATGTACATATTACATACTTATACGACATGTGCTCTCGTATGTACATGCAGCATGGATCGGAGTGGCTTGGCTTGGTTTTGCTCGTAGTATTAATTCTCCACGTTTTTCCGCGTAATGAAATCCCAGCAATTATTAAACTTTTATTGATCCTCGACACACTCTTATTCTCATGTGGAATGCATAATATGGTGAATAATTGGTAATAAAAAGTGCATATGGATATGGCCGGGCAGGTGGATGGATGGATGATGATAACACATAATGCAGCACATTATTCCCCGCACGTAGCAATTTCTCTTGTCAAAACTTATTGGCAAATAGGACCAAGAGAGCATCAAAGTAAATCAAACTAAAACCAAATTTGAGGCTGATGGATGTCTAAATAATGGCAAAAAATGAACCACCATTGACATTTCAGGGCCGTGCGGGAAGGATGCGAGACCTTTTTTACAGGGTCAACCTCCTACGTGACCCTTGACCTCGGAATGGATCACTGCGGGTGGGTCAAATCCTTTTTGAACAACCCCTAATTTATTATCCAGCTTATTTTCGCCTGGGTAATAAATGGCCCGATTTTTCTCATTCTCTTTACAACGCAGACACGTAAAACTATTCTGCTCTGCATTGTTGTTGGGTTGGTATTTATTTGTTTTTATTGGATTTTTAGTGCACATGCATTCATCATCCGATCATTCAAGTCGGACGGCATTGGAAAGGTGATACTTGATCCGAGGCAAAAGACTGGTTGTGATTTTTTTACTGGGGTTGAGAGGATTTTACGTTGGTATGCGTTTCATCCTGGCCAACAATTGTGGGCATTGTTTTCCATGAGTTGAGTGCATCATCAATTTGTGGTTCGTTCTGCAATCCACTTTGGAATCCTACTGGAATTAAGCCGCGTACATTTTTAACCTTTTCGGCAGACGTGGAAATTACCCATTAAAATATGAGTACCCTGCGAAATAAAATTTACTGAAAACCCGACCTTTTCCAAAATTCCCCTTGTCCTAAAAAGCACAAAAGTCATCCTTACTTCATATCGGGACAAACATCGCAAAAATATTCTGCCAATTAACATCACGCTACACGTCAACTCTGTAAACATAAAATACATTATCTAATCCTCTACATTGTACGCAGAAATTTGCGCAAATTATCTACCAATTTTGGGGTGACTTCCCCAAGAAAAAAAAACATTTTTCTCCCTCACTCACTTACATAATGAACGTATTAGCACACCATCATCTTACGCATGTCAGTAGGAGAACACGTTGGTGGGTAATACATAAGTAACGAATCCCATGATTAATATTGGCACTCGTAACGTGTTGTTGCACAATTCAATCGCGTCAGCCAAACAATTATCCCAGCCAAGTCAAACAACTTTAGTTACTTTCCTAGCAAAATGAGGATGTAATCTGGATCGTGCATCATCTCGTTTAAAGGAGCTGTGCACACGGATGTCAGCTCTTCTTGACCCCTGGCAGAGTCAGGGTCAAAAATCGGGCACGTCCTTTATGCCTCTCTCCCTTCCCTTCTTCTCCCTGAGAAAATCCGATACGAAACCGAGAAGGTATCCGACTTATTAAAAAAAAGGAGTTCTTTTCACATTTTGGGCAACAATTGTACCTTTTTTGTGAAATTTGTCGCGGTAAATTATCACCTAATTTGTATAAAAAAGTGAAACGCTTTAACAGCCATACTTCCGGAACGGAACGCTATAATTGATCGATATGCGAAAGGATTCATCTATTTATTTGTCGTCCAACTTTTTTTGTATCTCGTCCGAAAATTATTTTTCTCATTAGAATCACTGCAGATTTGATTTGCATAGTCGTACATAAGTATTTATTTATTTGCATTATTTGTTGATAAGAATCTTGTGCCAAGTAAATAAACGTAAGCAGCATACATACATACAGCATTCCACGTTTGCTGTTCATGTTACTGGTTGAGATTAAGATGCCGAGTGACATTGCAGTGCAGCCCGAGTTGTAAACTATTCGCTGACATCATGGCTAAATAAATAATTAATCTGGCCAACATCAACGTCACATCGGGAGTACATTCCTCTTCGCAGAATTCAAGCATTAAAATTCCTCATGGATTGGAATCAATCTCTTTCAAAGAGATGTTGTAAATGTAAAAATGAGACACGGATGGATTTTAAATTCATATCGGGGGCTTAAATCTAGCAAATACTTAGGATTTGAAAAGAAGCATCGCTAATGTGAGTGACGAAATGAAGAGGACGAGGAGACAAGTGCGTGTAAAATGTGAGACTAAATATGCACGCAGTTATCAGTATGACCATAATTATTTGTATAAATAGCAATTAATTGTATATATTTATTTGATACGGTCCAGAGACAGGGTTAGTTTTAGGATTGAATGACATTTTTCTAAAAGTCTAGCCAGGACGGATGTTGTCAATATTTTGAAAAAAGTAGTGACGTATTTATTCAAATAATGAAATCATGGCACGCAAAGTGTTTATAAATAACAGGACACGAAAGTGTCAAATTTAGAGTAGAAAATTGAATGGTGAAGTTGATTTTCCAATCCATTCGCTCGACATGGTTGACGGTGTCAGTTTGCGTGTGGTCATCGTCATGTTACATTTAACATAGTACGAAGCTAAAATGCGAACTCATTTAAGTAAATGAATGATTTAAGCATGTTTAGCTAATAAATTTAGATAAACTGGTGATGGAATCAGTAAAAGTTACAACGGGGTAAAGAAAATGAATAACTTGTTAAACTTGCATCTGAATTTTATTTAAGATTTTTTTTATGAATTCTATAATCTAGGACTCAATGTATCATCGTCAAAATTAGAATATTTTTAATTATTTCTCGGTTCTGGGAATTTATTTTAAAATTTTGGACGACAAATTTGTAGAGCACGACGTTGCAAATTTTTTTAGACATATACTCCAGATTTTGACGGTGTCTGAAGATCTCAAGTTTAAGAAGCCTTCAGAAAAATTGGAACTCGTCGAAACTGCCTTAAAAAAACTCAACGCTATTCTATTAATCAACTCACTAATTACAAATTTTTCGTCCAGAATTTTAAAATAAATTTCCAGAGGTGAGAAATATTAAAAATCTGCTGATTTTGACAGTTTTGGTGATGAGTAGTCAAGTCCTTAATTAATAAAAACTTCAATCAATCAATCAATCAATCAATCCTACGCTAATGAAATGTATCACGGTCACTATCCTGCAAAGCTTAATGTTCCCCCCTGTTGTCACACCTTCCGCGGCCACTGTTTGCAAAATATGATTTTGTAATCGATAATACAAACGCATACATTAGAAAGCATTTAGATGTTTGTCTAACCTCATAAATACTTCAAATTTAGCTTTTTATTTTACTTTTCAAAATTGTTCAAAATTTGCTGTTTCCATTCATAATTTTTGTTGTAACATTTCCCGTCCCCATTTGACTACCAAGTCTGTCAACGATTCCCTCTGGTATCTCGAAACCAAGTAAGTTGCAACAGAGGCTCCCACCGCGACAGTCATGTAAGCATACATTTTGGAAATTACCTGCAAAACCGAAGCCAAGAAGTAATTAAAATATTTAATCAGGATGTAGTATTATTCACGCCAGACGTTTGTACATAATCCCCGAGAAAATTTTGCAAGGTTTGATAAACTAGGGACAAAATTAAGGACTTATCGAAGGGGTACGATTTATGGAGCTTTCGGATTTTGTGCAACTTTGTGCTTAGCGTATAAAGTTTAGAACCTTACAACACGTGGCGTGATTATCACTAATTGCTAACCTTATCCTGCCACTTTTTGTTCTCGATACATTTCGAGTACGGCGTCGCGGAGAAGGTGACACTCGTATAAAGCGGAGTCCACACCTGACCTAGCAACTTGTTCAGCCCGATGTCTATCATCCTTCGCCAGTAATAGCTTTTTTGATTGACCAAGTGTCTCATTTCTTCATAATTGTACATTGCAAGCTCACAAATTGCTTGAGCATCAGAGCTCCTCGCAGTGCTAAATTGCTCCAAATATTTCTCCACGCCAGCACCAGAGGAAAGGTCAGAGTTGGGGATTATTTCTTCCAGGATGAGAATGTCCTCGAATCCCTACGGGACAAGGAAGTAATAACTACTTTAAAATTCAGGTTGTTTTTGGTGTGGAAAGAAATAATGGGGGAATTCATTAGGAGTTCCCATGTCCGCATCGCAAAATCAATTTGACAAAAGTGCGAACTAAATTCTAGCCTCGAAGATGCGCAAATGAATTTTCAAGCCAAACTTTTTTGCGAACTTGATGCCCTATTTTTTGCTAACGGTGCTAACGATTCGGACTTGTAATGAACTTCTCAATAACAGTCAGCGTGTTTTTAATCAATAAGAAAATTGTGGATAAATTGCTTCTATACTAAATTTTTCCCTCCTTATCTTACCGCATTCATTCCCTGCCCATAAAACGGAACCATTGCATGAGCCGCGTCTCCGACAAGGACAGCTTTCCCACCGTTCATGGGACAACACTGAAAGTTGAATAGTTTTGTACAATTTTTTCTGCAAATATGTAACAATGTCGTAGGTGGGGAAACCTACCGAAATAGAAATCAGGGTGGATGGCTTCGTCGTTAAAAAATCATGACACAAGTTTTTCCTCCCCAACAATGGAACAGCGTCGGGGAACTGGCCGTCGAAGAAAGTGAGGACTTTCTCTTCCGTGTTGAGCGTGTCAAATATCTGCATATGCACCAGGGTTCGGAAAAACCCAGGGTTTTAATAAAAAATTATAAAACCCATGGGTTTTAATGGGTTTTACCATGTTAGTTGGGTTTTATTTGGGTTTTAATGGGTTTTAATGGGTTTTATTGGGTTTTAATGGGTTTTAATGGGTTTTATTGGGTTTTAATGGGTTTTATTGGGTTTAAATGGGTTTTATTGGGTTTTATTAGTTTTAAGTAATAACTTCACAAAAATAATTCGGAATTTGTATCTATTCGGAAATTATTTTTGTTTTATAACACTTGAAATCTGTGATGCTAAAGGATGGAGTCAATTGTTGATTTGTTCCGAATTTTCATATATTAGAATAGTAATGAAATAAACTGCTTTAGAATGAATTGAGATAACGTCTTCTAATGTATGGGAGATGTATTTAACTTTTAGAATGTAGTTTTAAGGTAAAATTCAATTAAAACCCAATAAAACCCATTAAAACCCTAATAAAACCCACTTAACATGGTAAAACCCAGTGGGTTTTATTCCTTTACAACCCATTAAAACCCAATAAAACCCAATAAAACCCAACCCATTAAAACCCAGGTCGGAATACCCTGATATGCACATTTAATTTTTACTAATTGCTATACGTATTCTAAGGTGAAAACTGATTCACGGAGGAAAACTACACCTCGAAAGGCATGAAGAGTGTCACGGTGAAGGATCCGTCCAGATTTGGGAGGGCGATAAGCATGAATCTGTCTCTCGGCCAGATGTGGAGATGATTCTTTTCCAATGCAAACTGAAAATTGAGATGATTTTTGAGAATTCTTTTTGCATTTTTAAATACTGTCCCCATTTGTCCCCACGAACCTCTCCTTTGTCCGTGGCAGGAATGTAGAGCTCGATGTAGCCGTGCTGGATATACTTTTGGCTGAAATTGGTCATTGGGCGCTTGAGCAGGGTTTGTCGCAGTGCAGAATGTGCCCCGTCCGCGCCAATAATTAAATCGCTGCGTTTCTCAACTAGCGTTTCCTCTTCGGAAGAATCATCATCCTTTTTTCTAAAAGGCAAAGAAAATTATCCTCACTTTCTGAATGCATTATAATGGCATTAATTGTTCATTACCTAAACTTGGCTAAGCCTTTACCGGCATCGGCATCAATCAGTTTGCAGTTAAAGTTCACGCTTACATTGGGCAGTGCGGCAGCTTCTGTGGGTCAAGAGGTTAAGGTCATAGTCAAAACATGGTATTGGGGAACTCTATGAAAAGGATGTGATTTCTTGATTTGAAAAAATAATAAGGCAAATGAAATGAAATTTGCGAAGTTATTTGTAACTTTCTAAATATCAACAGGTTATGTTTTCAAATCAGGCTTCCCGATATCAACCAGCAAGTATGTAACTTTTCATATAAACCTGTAAGATTCCAATTTTAAAAAAATCTGTTACATAATTATTAGTATTAACAAATTGTGTGGATAGATATGAATTATGCAAAAACTTTGCACAATTTTCCAATCAAAATTTTTCTCGGAAGATTACTCACTTGCAGTTTGATATTCTTGATAATAATAAGTATTTTAAAATGGCATTACTGCGTAAGAAACCCACCTTGCAGCAGAAGCTCATTCAGGTAACGTCTACTCACAGAATAAATGCACTGTGGAAAATTGAAGAGTGGATAAGCATTCAGTTACATAATATCATTTGCATATCAAATAACTATGACAGGTCGTATGCCCTTTGGCAATGTTTTTTGTAAGTCGATAAACTTAGAGGTAAAAAACAAAATTCCAAACTAAAAAAATATTTTCAGCCCCAAAATATAACTCGACCAGTGAAAACACAAAATACGAATTGTCATTTTTTGACGACCTCATAATTACTACACAAGTATAATACGTAGCAGAGGTTAACGCTGACAAATTTTTCGTCCCAATGTTGAAGGGATAGGAAATCAGGTTTCTCGGCGGCGCATACAAAATTCTACCGGCGTTGACCTCTGACACGTGGCACCTACTTGATTAGCGACAGGGTCGTAGAGGACAGCTTTGACGGACCCATTCTGCCCGTGAAGCATCCTCCCGCGCATGGGGATCGCCTTGGAGAGGACGAGCTCCTCCAGACCTGCGCGCCTCAGCGTCGCCCGACCTCGATTCGACAAGGCGAGATTAATACTCCGACCGCGCAGCAGTTTCCCCGCGGCACTGTTGGGATCTGATTTTGTTCAAGGACAGAGAAACCAATATTAAAGTCATCATGGTCAGCTAGGTCAAAAAATTGGGTGATCAAACCTGGACGCGACTCGTAGAGTTGGACCTTGTGACCCTTCTGGCCAAAGATGCACGCAGCCAGGGAACCCACCTGAAGAAAGCAAGCATTTTTAGCTGAAATATTTACATACGAAAAATTGGATGACATCAATTTGCATGAAATGCGCCACAAGAGAGTACATGAAAATGTTAAATATTTATTTACAGATTTACAGATTCTTATCATTTGTACATATTTACAGTATATCAATGCCATAAAATTTCGGTTTAGCTAACCCTCATAAAATTTATGATACTCAAACAATAAATATGAACAGATTTTTATCCGCTAATTAAGGATGAGCAGGATACCGTTTGTTAGTACTCGTAATTAAATTATTGCTACAGATTTTATCAGAGATTTACTTTTAATTGGGGACTTGTGCAGAATGGGTGTGACCATTTTCTGCTGGCTACAATCACCCTTTGATCTCGCGATGGACGACCAAAGGCCAAAATCCATCGCGTCCTTTACGCATGGCCTTAGGTAACTTCCATTGTGTGTATTTAATACCACTAAATGAGTACAATTGTTAATGGTGGTGAGTGGAAAACTGGAGATCACCACTCTGCCGGCACGTAGCCTTTAATCTTATCGATAACGTCATCATGCAAAAGTTCAGTGTCGGTCAATTTTAAAAGGAAGCTTATGTACAAAATTGAGTCGTTATGAGCATAATAATTTTGAGATGAAATTATTCCAGCCAATTATTGAAGTAAATTATAAATTGATTTTGTTAAATAGATCGGTTTTCACGGTTTCATATTTTGTATGTGAGCTTAAGAAATAATCGACCCGAAATATTTAAACCTTGTGAATATATTGAAAATTATGGACATTCGTTTCCGAAAATGTTTTGCGAAATAAAAACATTGATTTGGGTGAAGCACATACATATGCAAACTTCTTACCAGACCAAGTTCTCATTCTAATGCGAACTCAGACTTGCGACTTTTTCAAAGTTTTGCAATACAATTCTAAATTCTAACTGTATTGCAAAACTTGGAAAAATTCGCAAGTTTTTGAGACTAGATTTTGAGTACTCATTAATTATCCACTTTGTCACATTTCTAAATATCACTTAACCTCAACCTATCCCCACCATTTTTACCTTAACATTGCCCTATTTTAATTGTCCAACTAACTATTCACCTTGTTAAACTAACTTACCAGGCCACCGCCAACAATAGTGATTTCCATTATGCAAATTAGTATCAATGGATTGAGAACAAAATCACTCCAGGACGGGATCAGCACGACTGGTGAATAAACCAGAAATCGAATCACTATATGCTCAAAAAATTAATTCTCAGCGTTGAGTGAGAGCTAAGTTTTGATAAGAGCCCATCCGTCACTCATCAGCACCATTGACCATATAGGAACTTGTCAGTGGATAGATACTGGTTTTGGAGGATAATATGGAATTATGTCATACACTTGAAACAAGAGAGTTGTTTTTGTGTGTACCCCAAAAAGTTGTCCAAGAAATTTCTTTGGTTGACATGAATGATTTCAGACTACAGATTATGAAGTAACGAAGTCAAGTAAGTTAGTTCAGTTGTTAACGTAGGATTAGGTGACTCATCGTCATAGGTCTAAAAATCTGAACATTTTTATGCATTTCTCCGTTCTGGGAATTTATTTTTAAATTCTATCAGATCCATTGGTAGACCAGGTCAGTACCAATTTATTAAAAATATGCACTCTAGATTCTGACAAGTTTTGACGGAGGAGACCAAAAAAGAGTGAACACCTTCAGAAAAATTGGGTCTCCTCTTTCAAAACTTGTCAGAATCTAGAGTGCATATTTTTAATAAATTGGTACTGACCTGGTCTACCAATGGATCTGATAGAATTTAAAAATAAATTCCCAGAACGGAGAAATGCATAAAAATGTTCAGATTTTTAGACCTATGACGATGAGTCACCTAATCCTACGTTAAGAAAGATCGCATGTGTATGTACATATTGATAATTTTTATATTCCGTAACGTCCACCTCACTAACATTACTTTGGCTAATTTGCTTTGGAGGACACTTATACGATACAATTGCTTAAATAGAAATTTAAAGTTTGGAGTATTAATTTATGAATGAAATTGCTTAATTTAGTTAGTGACGGTGATGATGACTATAAAACAGGTGTAAAATTTAAGTGGGTACAAATGCTTAAATGTGAGGTTAGGTTTTGGAGCCATGAACTCCTAAAAATATAATTTCCGAACAGGGAAATTCGTTGCCTTCGAAATGCAAAACTCGTGTAAAATCCAGTCTAGTGTCAACCTTACTTTTCACAAAATATATATGCATCATCACTACAATCTGATCAAAACGAGGAGAAAGTGAGATTCCACGATAATCATGGAGTCGCATTTTCCCCACATTTGCTACTCTCACCACCACCACCACACCACTAATCCTCTCCCATATATGAGCGATCTTGTAGGATGTGCTATTCCATGATCCTCTCCATAACCAACAACGAGTAAAGTACAGAAAGTCTCACTTTCCTCCTTCTTGCCGAGATCTTCTCCTGCTTTCCACTCTGCACAACAACCACTGCCAACCACCAGAGAAATGCACAGGAATCGGTGCTGGCTGAGCTGATGCCTGGCTGGACAGCCAATCCCGTCGCAGTAAATCTGCCAGAAGAAGAAGAAGAAGAAGCCGGCATCATCCAGCCTCGCACGTGCTGCAAACTTCTCACTCGTCAGTTTCTTCGTCTCGACAAACAACTCTGCACTTGTTCTACTAATTTCCTGCTCCAGAAGAAAATTTTACCCGTCCTTGGAAATTGGAGGATTGTTCTCAAGGTATTGTTCATCGAATAATAGTAAATAGGTAGTAAAGTCCATTAATAGTTGAAGATAATTGTGGGTTGGCATATTTTAGGAAAATGGGGAACGGAATCGAGCGGTGGGAGGATTCTCCCAGCGAAGACGAGGACGAGCCAGAGCCAGAACTCCCTCCAACTTTTTCACGAGACGTGAGGAACGACAATTTGCATGTAAGTTTTGTTTTTACTAGGATTTGTTTAGCTTAAATTTGATGCGTGGTTTTGAAACTAATTTTTCGAACGGGTTTAATTTTTGTGTTTTTATATGCAATTTTACTTGCTTCCAGACCCTGACTGGTGTGCTGGCCGACGAACAGCGAAAAATGCGAGAGGAAGATAAACGCTTGGCCAAGAAGTGCAAAAAACTGGAGAAAAGAGCTGCAAAGAAAGAGAAAAAGAAAGAATCTAAGAAGAAGTAAATTTCTACTTGAAAATTCAAATTTACAATTTTTTTGTTAATTTTTTAAATTTGAAATTTGAAGCGATCTTTTATAATATTGTGCTGAAAGCAAATTAAAACTCAGTTCCTAAATCAATTGAATTATACTTGTCTCCTTTATTTATTCACCTCTTTTGTGATTAATCATCATCATTAACATAAAAAATGACTAAAATGTAGTTTCGATGTCAAGTAGTGGATTAGTTGCGAGTCGGCTATTTATATTTAAGTATCTAAAGTTAACTTATACATGTGGCATGATATTGACACCCATTCATTCATTCTTGTAACAACAACAAATACCAATAACTTAGAGGTTAAGATTATTATTTGCAATTATCACTTGGTTTAAAGTTAACTGTACAGCGTGAGGGATATTTATCATCGGTAATCATTAATTTGTGGTCTGGTTTATATTTTGGTTAGTGACGATGATAATGATATTTAATGGAAATGATAATGATAATGATATGGATGGATAAAAAACACGGAATGTCTTTAAATACTTTTGTGCGCATCACCACAAACACAAAACACAAAATTTCTGAAATTTCCTCTACAAGAACAAAATTTTTTCCCCGTCATCCTCTCTCTGTCCGAAGAAGGGGTGTTGGTGTTGATGATACTGCGTTTCCTGACCGGGGGTCGTCTAGCTTGCTGCTGTTGTGAAAACTGTTGTTGCACGCTGCTTGACATTGAAACTGGAGAACTTAGAGGTAAAAAACAAAATTCCAAACCGAAAAAAAATTTTTCAGCCCCAAAACGTAACTGGACCAGTGAAAATACAAAATACGTAATTTTTTCTGACCTAATAATTACTGCACAAATTTAATACGTAGCAGAGGACAACGCCGAGAAATTTTTCGTTCCAATGATGAAGGGATAGAAAATCAGGTTTCTCGGCGGCGCAAATTAGTATCAATGGATTGAGAACAAAATCACTCCAGGACGGGATCAGCACGACTGATGAATAAACCAGAAATCGAATCACTATGCTCAAAAAATTAATTCTCATCGTTGAGTGAGCCAAATTCTGATAAGAGCCGACCCGTCACTCATCAGCACCATATACGAACTTGTCACTGAATGGATACTGGTTTCGGAGGATAACATGGAATTATGTTATACACTTGGAACCTTGGAACAATAGAATTGTTCTTATGTACCCCAAATAAGTTTCCACGAATTTTCTTTGGCTGAAATGAATGATTTCAGACTTCAGATTATGAAGTAATAACGAAATCAAGTTACTTCAGTTGTTAAGAAAAATCGCATGTGTACATATTGATAATTTTTATATCATGTAACTTCCACCTCACAAACATTACTTTGGCTCATTTGAACACTTATTCGGTACAATTGCTTAATTTAGTTGTGACGATGATGATGACTATAAAAAGGTATAAAATTTAAGGGGTACAAACGCGTAAATGTGAGCTTAGGGAACATTCATTTGAATTCATGAAATCCTAAAAATGTAATTTCTCCAAGGCAATTAATGGAAAGGAGTGAAAAACATGTCTCATCGGCAATCACTTTTTTGCTGGGTGCGGTTTTTGGCCGTCATCCCCACACGGTTAGCATTTTCATACTTCGGCGCAACCCTCCTCCTCGCGTGGTCATCTTCCACGGACCCGTATCTACTGGGCAGCATAATTTTGGCAAGCAGGCAAATATGCAAAACTCGTGTAAAATCCAGTGATCTATAATCTCAACTCACATTTCACAACATATATCGTAGAATGTGATCAAAACGCGAGAAAGTGAGATTCCATAAAAACCATGGAGTCGCGTATTCCCCACATTCTCCTGAGACACCATCATGCATCACCACCAACCTCACCACTAATCCTCTCCACACATAACTCCTACACTTACGACTAAAGTCTCACTTTTCTCCTTCTTGTATGTACTTTCGAGATGTAGTGCCTGCAAACCACCACAAACGACCACCAGAGAAATGCAGAGGAATCGGTGCTGAGCTGATGCCTGGCTGGACAGCCAATCCCGTCCCAGTAAATTGCAGAAGAAGCCGGCATCAGTCTCACACGTGAAAACTTTTCACTCGTCCGTTTGACCCTTTCGACACAACAAGTCTACTGCACTTCTTGCCACTATTTGTTCTCTACCACCGGACATTTCTACTCGTTCTTTACGAATAACTTGGAAAAGTGCTCTTGAAGGTATTGTTCATTGGAAATTATAAATATATAGCAAAGTTCATTAATAGTTGAAAATAATTGTGGGTTGTCATATTTTAGAAAGATGCCAAAGGAACCAAAAAATTGGTTAACTATGAGTAAAGCAGAACAGCGGGTAAGTTTTTTTACTGGGATTTGTTTAGCTAAAATTATGATGCGTGGTTTTTAAATTAATTTTTCGAGTGGGTTTAATTTTTGGGTCTGTATATGAAATTTTCCTTGCTTCCAGGCTTTTATTCGTTGTCTGAAAAATAAAGAGCGCAGAATGAAGAAGAAGGTGGGCGCATTGATCAAAGTCATGAAACTACTAGAGAAACTAAAGAAGATTTAAGAAAACAAGTCGTATAATTAAAAATGCACATTATATAATATAAACTCCTCCACTTCTCAGTCCTTAAATCAATTGAATTATACTTGAGAAAATCGCTGCAAAGAAAAAGAAAGAATCTAAGAAGAAGTAAATTTCTACTTGAAAATTCGTATTTACAATTTTTTTGTTAATTTTTTAAATTTGAAATTTGAAGCGATCTTTTATAATATTACGCTGAAAGCAAATTAAAAATCAGTCCTTAAATCAATTGAATTATACTTGTCTCCTTTATTTATTCACCTCTTTTGTGATTAATCATCATCATTAACATAAAAAATGACTAAAATGTAGTTTCGATGTCAAGTAGTGGATTAGTTGCGAGTCGGCTATTTATATTTAAGTATCTAAACTTAACTTATGCATGTGGCATGATATTGACATCCATTCATTCATTCTTGTAACAACAACAAATACCAATAACTTAGAAGTTAAGATTATTATGTACAATTATCACTCGGTTTAAGGTTAACTTTACAGCGTGAGGGATATTTATCATCGTTAATTAATTTGTGGTCTGGTAAAAATGGTCTTTCTACATACACATACGAAGAACTGCTTACTTCCTTGTTAGTACGAAAGTAAATACATGGTCAACTCTTCAACTTCAACGGCAGGTACATGATAACGTTGTTCTTATTGTAAAAGGGAAATTGGATATCTAAATTCTTCCTGATTTTCAATGTCCATCATTTTTTTATACTGAGCACCACCCGTAGCATGAAAAGTGTGTACCAATTGAATAAACGTGGTTGACATAAAATTTTAGATAAAGATAAGCATGGAGTCATTTAATTATTATCGTGTCTTAATTTATCGTAGCTTGAAATACTTTGGAATTATTTTATACAAATCTTTTAATTTTTATTTTTAAATATCATAAAAATTGGCAAGGACACTTTACGGATAAAAAAGGCAAGTTTTTGCATATTTTGGAATGATATGGATGGATGGATAAAAAACACGGAATGTCTTTAAATACTTTGTGCGCATCACCACTGCTAAAAATTAGGTACGTGTTTAGGATAAAAATGGGATAAATTCGTTGTCTTATATTTCCTCGCGATTAGCGGAGTCGAACTAACCAAATTATTACTTAATTTAACATAACTGTCACTCCATCAAAACTAATTCAACTGACTGACATCACCAACACATTGTTAAATTCGTTGTGAATAATTCGTCTGAAGCCTTCTTCTTTTTTTCTTAGCAGAAATAATTTGTCATTTTAAAAACTATTCACTCCTCGTGGTGTAAAATTTCCTCTACAAGAACAAAATTTTTTCCCCGTCATCCTCTCTCTGTCGGAAGAAGGGGTGTTGGTGTTGATGATACTGCGTTTCCTGACCCGGAGGTCGTCTAGCTTGCTGCTGTTGTGGAAACTGTTGTTGCACGCTTGACATTGGGACTGGAGAACTGCCAGCGCGGCGGTGAATTACGGAGGAAAGTCCGTCATTATTTTCGTTGATGTGTCCATTTCTGGGTGGACTGGTATTATTTGGGGCGCTTCCGCCACCACCACCGCCATCCGTGTAGGCATATCTCACCCCACTTTGTGAAACAGGACCGTACAGGAAGGACGAGTTAGACTGCATCCCCACCCTCTGGTTCAAATTGCTGTCTCCTCCTGGGTGGTTATTGTATGAAAATGTCGTCGTGCTTGCACTACTTCTGAGATGATGTTGGTTTGCATTTGACCCTTGTTGTTGTTGTTGTTGTTGATTAGCATCCATTTGGTTTAACATGCTGGATACTGAGCGACTTCCGACGCCACGGGGAAGACTGGACGTCTTATTGTTGCCACCGCCCCCGCTGCCCTCACTAAGGCGGAGTGGGAGGAGTTGCTGAACTTGTTGTTGTTGTTGTTGAGACTGTGACGAATTCCTAGAACTAGAAGAAGCTGCCTTTCCTGGTAGACGGGAAGGGTCGAGGGGTGATGACTGGTTTGTCGCAGAACCGCTGGTCGGTGGGGAGACAACACTTCCTCCTCGGAATGAGCCAACACTTGCATTTCGTTGGGGCACATTATCCGAACAAGAGCTGCTTTTGCCAACTTTGAAGGATGAATTGGACGCTAGAAAGAGGGGAAGTTGCTGCTTTTTAACACCGTTCTGCGCTGGGAGATTGTTATTTGATGGCTTAGAGGAAGCAGATGAGGAGGAATTTGGTGCCGTTGGGAGTGGACGTCGAATAATTTGAGGCGGATTTGTGTTGACTTTATCGCCAGATGAGGTAGACGAGGAGGAGGAAGTCCCTGTCAGAGGGGAAATTGGTTCGTGTGGAAGTCGCATCTGTTTTTGTTGGGCCTCAAGTTTCCTGTCACAAAATAAATTATTTACTAGTAAATGTGTATTTAACCCGTAAGATTTTAATTTTCCAATTAGACAATTACCTGTAAAGCTGCTCTCTTTGTTGTGTAATGTCCTCCTGCTCCTTTTGCAATGTTTGTTTTAAATGCGTCAATTCAGCCTTTTCTCGATCGAGGGCCTCCTTCTGAGACGCCAAGTCTTGGTGGAAGAGCGCTTTTTCGGTCTCCAGTCGCTGCTGGGCTTCTCGCAAATCTTCCATCCTCCTCTGCAACTGGTGGTGGGTCTGGTATACGCTCGGCATGAGTTGAGGAATCATTTGGCTAAACATTTCCCCACAGAGTTGAGAAAGGTGGATAACCATCTACGAGAAAAAATAGTAAAATAATTAATTAATAAATGTTCGGCACAAACTCACTTTTCAATTTAATTTTGTCATGCATTACCTCCATCAACAGCTTGTTATTTGTACATTGTGCCAAATCGAAGGCAGACCTTTGCTGGCTGTCGAAGCCACCAAAGGTATCGGCACGTTTTGGAAGGCCGAGTAGAGCACCGTGCATCCCGTGCTCCCCAACGCAACTTGCACTCCGGTTCACGCTGCTGTTGGCGTTCGCCTCCCAAATGTTCATGACCCGCTGTACCTCCTAAGAAAATATTTACAAAATATAAATTAACGCACTTGCCAACGACCTAGCAAACGAACGGGTATCGAAAGTGTCTCACCGAACAAGTTGAAGACAGAGAATTTAGTAGATCATCTTTTCCTTCAAAGTTACTTGGCACCCAGTGGTACGGTTTTTCCACGTGAAGACTCTCAATAAGCCTGGCCCTGGAACGGAGAGAGGTGAGAAGTTGTCTGTCCTGCTCTTGAAGCTCTTCTGCAATCATGAAGTAAGTCCAATTATAAAATCTGCGTTACATTTCATGTTTCAAATTGTGACTTTAATTTACGTACCGAGAGCCTTCGTCGTTTTAACGTCGGACAAGTCTGTCGAATCAATTTCCTCATCGCCATCGGACCCTGTCTCGGTTTCTTCGACACACTTAGAAATTGCGCTTCTGTAGAAAATTAGTAAATACAAATTGATAAGTATTTGCGCGCATTTTAATATTGATTTTTAAAGGCACTCACCGAATTTCCTCCAGCCATTTCTCCCTATTTGGCGGATGAATAATTTGTAAATCAATCATTTCCGGTTTAGATGTTCCTGTCCCAAGAACTAAAAACAAGGACGAAGTTTGGCCCGCATTTTCTCGCACGATTAAGTTATTCAGCATAACGATCCCCGGCTAGAAAATAGTACACAAATTATTTCATCCATTCCTACAAAATTTTGTTAACAAGTATTTTATATTCAGAAAAACTTACCGGTGAAACAAAGTGAAACTTTAAACTAATTTCTTGTGTAAAAATGAGCGAGTCAGTTAGAATGAATACGGTGCATGGAATATTCCTATTCGCCGGCGCTCCTCCACCAGGATTTGAGTTCCTGTTGCAATTTACGATCGCCTGTCCTTGAAATAGGAGCCTTCGCGATGGAAGGGAAACGATGTCGTCTCTTCCGCGCCGCCTCTGTCCCACCATTGTGAAAGACTTGGGGTCGATTCGGTTACAAACTTCGAGCAGCCGCTGTCTCTGCGCTACCCTCTGGTCAACTTTGGAAATGAGGTCGCGAGAGAAGCCAAGCGCCTTTTGTATCTGGTCCCTCTCTTGTGGAGTCGCGTTTAGACTCGTTTTTAAAATGGGCTCGATCAAGAGAGGGTATTTCGTTATGCGCTGCGCCACGAGAAGGAGACATTCTCGTACGTTTTTCCTTCCCAGAAGACTCTGCAAAAAAATTCAAAAATTTTGAATATAATTTAGTGCTACATTCGCAACATATGGTGGTTGGTTGCGTGAATGTGAATGGACACTTATTCCTCACCTCCTTATCCCACGAGGCCACAAGACTAGCAAACTTTGTATCTTTAATCAGGCTCTTGAATATATCAAGAGATTTGGTATGGGACGCGCAGAGCAAGCCGTACAGACGGATCATCAAGTGGTACTGCTCCGTCGTGAACTGGTCGATCAAAATATCCGTGAGGGAGTCCATTGGTTGTCCCAATTCTCTAAATTTTAGCTGTCGTTCACGCATCCGTCTCAGGAATGAAAAGTGAACCTTAAAACAAGAAAAGTCATACATAAGAAATTTTCATATTTTTCTAAACATTTTTATTTAAAGTGAGGCAAGTCACGCCAAAACTCGTGACCTTGCCTAGCGACTTACCTCGAGAAGCTTGTTCAGCTCTGGAAACAGAAGTCGGGCATCTCTCGCGAAGCCATATTTCTTCATATCTCCAACGAACAAGTGTTGCATGAGGGCGAGCGTTAAGCAGTGGTGCTTTTCTGTGAGAATGAGCTCGTACATGTGCTCCTGTCTCTTGACCTCCTTGTCCTCCAGCCGCGAGACGACTTCAGGACTCATGGAAAGCGCCCAGCACTCGGCGTCGGAATCCTGCAGTCCTAACGAAGGGTCGAACAAGGCGGCGAAGGCGAGCGACTGTGACGGGTTAGACCCGTTGATGGAGGAGAGCGACGAGGACGTCGTTATCATACCAACGCCATCCATCTTATTCGCGAAGCGGGGTCCGGATGGGACCAGGTTTGACTTGGATTTGTGCTTCCTCCGAAAAAAGCTGCGTTTTGAACTGTGTTGATGTGCGTCAGATTGGACGCGGTGTTGGGATTTTTGGTAGAGTTCGTGCTGTGGTCCGACTCCTCCCACGGTAGAGATGAAACTGAAAGCGCAGAAATAATTATTTGTTACAAGTTGGAACAAAATTCGCAAATTGGTCGCAATGCTGCGATTCTGACACTGGACTGCTTTTAACTAAACTAGGCGGGGGCACATACATGGACTCTCGTACAAAACAGCCGAGTGGCACGATAATACAAGTTGCAACAGGTTGGATAACTAACTAAATTACCTAAACGACTATATATTGACTAACTCGTCGTCATTATAAATCCTTCTCCAGCACCAGGCCAGGAGTTATCTCTCTCTCTCTCCCTCGTTTATCGCTATCTATATAAGTAATATGTACATTCGGGCAGCAGCATAAAATCCAGATTGATAATAAATAACTCTTTGCCATAATATGATACATACAAATATGTATGAATGACTCGTGTCAGTAATTCCACATCGTGAAAATTCATCGAATTGGCCAACTATCTACAAATATTGGTTAGTGATACTGAACGAGGTGCATAAAAGTCAGGTTGCAAATATTATTATTATTTATTCGCAATTTGCTCCCACGACTCGGCCGAATGACCCAGACTTTTAGAGATGATGGATGGAAAAAACTTACTACTGTGTCACGGAAGGAGTGGAGATTGATTTGTGTAGATAACCAGACCCACTACTTCCGCCGTGCGAGGCCCGTAGAGCGGTGCGGATAAAGTCGTTGGAGATCAGACCAGACGTGACAGCCTCTTTTTTTAAAGTCTTTTCCAAATGACCTATGACCTGGGAGGCGCGCCCGACGCCGGCACGACCAGCAACGCAACAAGATTGAACGAGGGGACATTTAGAGGGACATCCATTACATTTTTCGTGATGATTTCCGTCCACACATTCGACTCCCAGGCTGCTCAAGCTTGTGCTGAAAGAGAGAATAATTACGCTTAGATATTTTTGCAACTTCTGAGTGATTTACATATGTATGTGCTATAACATTTGATCATGAAATTCGCAATGATTTTCCTTCACACTATGAATTTAGACTCACCTCCTCCTAAAACTGCCCGTAGTACCAACGCCACCCGGCACTACGCTTTTAATCCCGTCGACCACATCGATACCCGACGAGGGATGTGACGAGTTGTTGTTGTTTGGAATTTCATGCTGGAGGAGGGGATCGATTTCGAGGAGGGTCAAGTCTGGACAAGAGTTGGCGATGGACAGTAATTCAAACTGGCTCTCGAGAACGTCACCCTCCTCGTCTTGGCCATCCAGGCGGGGCAGAGTTTGCGACTTTAGCGAAGACTCCAGGCGCTGCTGACCAGCCAGCATCCTCTTCACTTCTGGGGAATCAGGACAAAAAATTTAATGAAAAATGCCCACACAATTTCTCTACAAGTGTTACAACCCGGTTAAAGATAATTACTAACTTTTTAACTGCCCACTACACTTACTGGCAGCGTATTCTATGAAAACTACCGACATTTTGGTACTTTTTTTAACTAGAAGGAACAATTCTGATAAATCGATCACAACAACTCAGTCGTCCCACAACGATGTCAACTATAATCACTTTTTCCCCATTATTAATCTTGCCAGGGATCCTGGAGCTTATTATTTTTATGACAAGACTGCATTCCAATCAAATGTCGTCACACGCACGCGACAAACCTTCACGAGAGAAGAAAGAACCCAGTGTTTCCCGGAAATGACACGGATTTATTGACAAACAATTGGGTCTAATAAACTCTTTTGCTGCCTGGATATACCAATACTCGATCTAACCATGAATGGATAATGGGTAATAGATATACTCTTAATTTGCTACCATTGTGGTTTGGAATTTGACTCCATGTCACGGCTGAACTGACAAGGTGTATGTATTACCGTCGAAAGCAGCAGCAGCAAAATAACCAATTTCGTCCAAATTACAATTTTACACGAGAATCAGGAAGCATTTACCAAACTTTCTTACAAGATAGAAATTGGAGCTGGACTGGGTTCCGTTTATAGAAAATGTGGACAAGCAATTTTTGTCACAATTACAATTAGAATAACTACCGCAGACAGACTGTAAATCTTGCTCGCACCGTTCCCATCTCGTAATCTCAGGTTGCCAGCTAACTGTTCAGATTTACAAATGAATAGATGGGGGCAAACGCAAAGAATACGAGTAAGAATTTTTATTAAATGTAAAAAAAATCTGGAATTAAGTTGTTCCAAGTGGCTGTAATACCAGCACTATCTTTAACAAATTATCTTGGTAATTATGCTCACAAAAAAATTAAATTGCATTTTTTAAAATTTTGATACCATTTAATTTTATGCACAAAAAACTCATGTTAGATGTGTTGGTCCCCTGTAGCAAGCGAAGTGGAGTTTTCAATGCTTGCAAGTGTGCTGGCACCTTGGTCGCACCGCTTATGGACCGGTGCGAGCAAGATTTATTCTCTGCCGCAGAGACCATACGTTTGCAATTATGAAGCTGTGATGGCATGATTTGACTTTGGTTTATGGATGTGTGATCATTGATTTCATTTTCGGCTTCATCAGAATAACAAGAACACAACAGTGAACAGAACAGAACAGACCGTCCATATTGTGCAATATTATGTGCTAGACGATCTAGTAAAAGAGAGATATTTGAATATTTATGGATAAATTTCCCTGCGATGGATCTGCATTATTTACATCATCATCAACTCGAGTCAATAATACACTGACATTTTATTATCCATGATGATGATGATATTTGCAATATGTGATGAATATTATATGGTCGCCTTTTTTAGTTATTCCTCGGAATTCCACAACATTTGGTGGATGACGACATTTATTCACATTTAGTATGTCGTTATGCATGCATATATATACTATCCCCGTACTTAGGCTTTGCACCTCATTTGCATAAATCTCAATAGCCCATTTTCGGCGATACGAGCTTTCCATGTTGAATAAACTCTATGGCTCTCGCGAATGCGTTAAAATATGCAAATGAGGTGCAAGGGCTGAGTGCGAGGATAGTACCGATGATGATGATATCGTCATTAATTTGGGTGATTATTGTACGAATAGATATGCTAATTAGACACGTATGTAAGTACAGGTACGTTACATATCATGTCCAGGAGTGGCTTGTCAAATTGAGATTTAAATTCGTCACTTTAATAAATGTGTACCAAATGTTGAGGATTATTGGATATCAATATTTACACAGACTTTTAGAGATAAGTAAGTAGTGAGAGTGCATGTGAGGAGAGGACAATAAAATATTGGTACTACTATTTATTATTGTCCTGCCTGTCCTGTCCTGTTGTGTGTACTTGATTCGTCATCAAAGTCCAGTTTACTTTACCGAGTCACACTAATTAACCTAAAATGAAAACTGATACCCTACTATTTTTATCAGTTATCAACTAGTTTATATGGATAAATGTGTCATTGTCTGTCACCTCCTCCTACATTTGAATATATGTATCATGACACCAATAAAAATGAAAACATGACCTTTTCGCTTTCTTTTCCTACTCAAAAAAGATAAACTTATCATAAACCATGAACTTATCATGAACCATGAACTTGACCTGGGTGGATTAAAGCTCATTCATACATTAACAGAGGTCATTTATTTATACAAATATTTAGTTCGGGTTGGTCCTTATTATAATAATTTTAATTAATACCCACATCTTTCAATTCTGAGAAAAAAAGTGAGATAACAAGATTTTTTCGGTCACCACACCACACCACCAACCAAACCACCACCAACCATCATTAAAATTAAACGGTACCTTTGCAACAACGACTTGTTGCAAATAATTTCGCTTACTTTTCCTTCTGTCGTTACGTTACTCTTAGGTTTACCAAAAACTAACAACGACTGACACCATAATTTCACTATACATTCTTTCTTTTTTTGTACGAACAAATCCATACTTTTTACGTAGGAAACCGAAAAGCGGATCACACAGATCACACACACACAGCCACTGTTCTACACTTCCTTAACCATAATATTTAATAATGTGCGGTGGGTGGGAGTATTATCACAAAAAATTGACCTTATCTTACCTCGAGATTATTGGTGTTGATCCCAACAGTGGTGGTCATATCATGGGGGCGAAGACGATAAAATAAAATCAAGAGTTGAACCACAAAATGGACGGATTAACTTTCGATTGTATTTATAAGCATATTTTTTTCCACACTCCAGCAGAGTTCTTCTCAGGAGGAAATGACAGCTTGCAAAAATATATCAACCGTCAAGTCAGTTCAATATTTTCTTCCGGTTTATTTTATTACGCACAAAAAATGGTTTATTGTTGTTGAAGGACGGCAACGGTCGTTATTAAACTTTGTTTGTTTCTTTTTACTTTTGAGCAAAATATTTTGAAATATTTTGATTACTTTGGTCCCTCACGGAAAAAGTACACCTGTTTTTACTAAAGGTAACGTCACCCTGATGGCACCAGTCAGGCCGAAAAACTTGGCAGCAATGACCAATACTTTGCTGTCATCAGCACTCTTCTACCACCACCACCACAGCACGATCGTAAAATTCTTCTTCTTCTTTTTACCAGAAGGTGTTATTAGTTCTTGTCTTAATAACTGCCAATATTACGTAATTTGGCTTCAGTAGTCACTGAACGGACGACTGGACGGATGAGTAATAACAAGAATCCAGCAAGGTGAATGGAACTCTTGAGGCAAAAACGTCCCTCTGGACAATCAATATTAACTTAACGCACTACATAGAATAAATAATTATTAATCACAGCATTTAACCTCTAATAACGTACGTACACACGTATTGCAATGACTGATGACTAACTAACTGTCTTTTGTTATTGTTTTCGTTGTGCAAGTTTCGTCTCGTCGTCGTCTTCTTACCCTTCGAGACAGATAAGAAGACACACCTCGATAACGCCACCAATACTTGACTTTTAACTACTTAATAGCAATAAAACGATAACAACCAGCACAAACAAAGAGGAGAACGACGTCGTCCAAGAAAAATTTCGAATTATGATCAACTTAATATCATCACTGCCTCCCTATTTTTTATTATTACATAAAATGTAACGAAACCAAGTTAACTCACAGTTTGAAAGGTAACGTTATACGGCCTACTTAATAATACTTAATACAATCCAATCCACTTTTATTGTGTGTATCTCTCTCTCTCCTTAACTTCTTCTTCTCCCATGCCGCAATAACAATATTGGCTCTTTAGTTAGTTAAGTTAACTAAGTACATGATGCAGGTAAGTAAAACTGGTCGAAAAGTTGAAGCCTCAGCCTCAACCCCCTCAGCCTCAACGCTACACTATTTTACCTTTTATTGTACTTATTTCACCACCAACCACCACGAGCAGAGCAGAGCAGCAAGCAACCAACCATACTTTTTTATTTTGCTAAATAACACACAGAAAACCTTATGCCATTGCCTTTTACAAAGTTAAACAACACTTAAATTCTTCTTCTTCCACTCCTCTAGCAGCCCGAGGATGATAATAATTCTGCCCAAACCAAACCACCACCTCCAAATATCTCATGCATGCCAAGTTCTGCACTTTGAATTCGCACTACTTTAGGCTCAAGTGCCAAAAATTGGTCCCATGAACAACAAACCCCTCGTCCTCATGAATTCCAAAATTTTAAACCTTCCTTACGACATTTAGCTATCTATGTGGCTCTCTGCTAAGTTGATAATTTATTCGCTGGGACGGATTTGGTCGTCGTCGTCGTCGTCGTCGTCGAGGGATTATAATTATGATGATCGAGGTGTGCAGTGTAGGGCATATGTAATACGACGATACGGTTAAACTTTTAGGATTGACTTGATTTCAGAGGGTGGCAAAGGATACGTAGATACATATGTAAGTTTCCATTGCATGCATTTTACATTGCAGGCAGCACAACATTCCTTCTTCTTCTTTTACTTTTGTTCGACCAAAATCCAATCCAATCCGTTGTTTTTCATCGTCGTCATTCCGTCCGTGGAGTGAATGGGCAGGTAAAAAGGAAGGTAAATCCAACCACCAAACTTACACATGTACATATTCTCTCTCGTTACAACAGGATTGATGCAATACATTTGTGGATGGCGATACAGTTTTTACTTGCTTGCTCAGTCCTACTGACTGCATGAGAAGAACGACTTCAACGATGATATGGACGAAAAAGCAGGAGATGTCTGTGTATTAAACAAGTCTTAAAACTTTTACGAGAAAAGAATTGAATAGGGATAAGGTGGTGGTGGTGATGGTTTCGAATATTAGGCCGCCCCCATAAGCTTGGCTGCTTAATAAGCAACTTGACAAAATACGGCATGCACATACATATCTAGTGCATACCTGGCTTATTTCCTATACAGAATCCTATGTAAAGGTGAATGGGAAGGTGAGGAAAATGAGAAATTTGCCGTTAATGGGATAGCATAACTTTTAATCATATTTATTCCTTGTCCACCGATGGTTAATAAGGACTTGGTTGGTTGTTGTTGTTTGTTTGTACCAATTTTTGTCGATGCCAATTAAATCAAGGGCACATAAATTAAATTACCTGGGTAGAAAACATGACAGTGGGAACGTTTATTAAGCAGGTGTATGTACTGTTTTATTTATAATTAGAGAACGATATTATACATACACTTTAGTTGTATTGTGTGTATGTAAAAGAAGTCCTACATATGAATATTAATGTTAGCGTCGATTCTTCCATGTGTACATTACTCGTTGAAAAGCAGGGTTTCAAAAATGCCGTGCTTTTTTGGTAACAATTTCAAATTTCAAACGAAATTTCGAAATTTCCTTATACATGCACTAAATCTTTGGAAAAAATATTACAAAATAACATGTTTACATGCACTAAAATTTCATAGCTCATTTTATTACTCAAGGTATGAAAGGTATGAAAACGAAAATGAAAACAGGGCCGATCATCAGACCACGATCGAATTATAAACTGCGTGCGTGCCCTCTCCTCCAATGTTATGATATGATTTTACACACGTATCATATTTATCTATATCACAAGACAAAACATTTCTTGGAGAAGTGGTAGGAAAGGTGTCTCCGAATAAATGAGGTTGTCTGACTTGCTTAATAACCTCAACTTGGTAACAAACCAAAACCACCGAATCTCAAAGTGAAAACAAGATCGGCCAGAAAAACAGGAGTCACATGCATATGTAAAACTCTTCTTGACGAGCATTAAAACGCGCAAGTCCAGTAATTTCATGGAGGATTTTTGACCGATTTTGACCCTCAATCCCCATGTCAAAGGTGACATGGTGGAGATGACGTGATAAAAGGAGATACAACTTGTAAGATTAATATCTACGAATCCAAACCAGGTGTGACTACATATAAGATTGGTAAAATTGAATAAAATAAGGAATTGTGACGACGCGGAATAATTTTTTCTCGAGTGGATCTTAATATGAATTTTATATTTCATACTGCGAATCAAATGGTTTGACGTGTTCTTCTTGATGATATTTTATTATGATGTCTATCATTTCTGCTCCTCTCCTGTCGGCCTGCTTGCTAAATACCGACTTATTTTTTATGAGGCTTACATCCTCCATTACAAGAATTTTATAACAATGGAATATTACCATTATTTTATTCCTATGGGTGTCAAACAAAGGAGGCGAAAGAGACAGAACAACAAGAAATAAATATCAGACGGAGTATGAAGAATGTGTAACGACTTGCAAAAAAATATGGAAATTTTTATCAAGAAAATGTGCCATTTTATTTTACAAGTTTGCATAAATCAAGTAAATATCAATTTAGTTACCAAATTCAGTAGTTTTTTTTAAGTGATAATACTGGAAATCTGAGTCTAGTTATTTCCTAGACGCAAAATTATTGACGTAGTCGAATCAAAAAATATTTACGTTGTAAATGTTAATGTTCTATTTTTTACATTCATGCATATTTGCATAAAATTCTAGACAGTTACATTTTTTACAGTTGCCAGGAATTATAATGAAGTCAAAATCTTCTAATTTCTATATAATTTACTTCATAATGAATCGGTTTATGCGAAGTTTTCCCTTTTTCCTTCTTTTTATTATTGCATCATCATCATTCTCTGATAATGACTGACTAATTCGAATTCGGGTTTGTTAACTTCTCCACAAAGTCAAGTCAACAATGCAGAAAGGACTATTTAGATAGCTCTCCCATGCGAGGAGATTCCTATTATCCTGCTCGAGCACCTGCTTTTACGTACTCGAAGCCTGGTTTTAAATGCCCTTTAAAGACGCCATCCCCCTTCTCGCAGGCGGTGCAGGAAGGCATCCCATGACCAACATTCAGTCCAGAGGAGAGTTGCGTAACGTGTATGTTTTTAATTCAGAGCAGTCATTCTATTCTTCCATTTTCTGTTAATTTCTTGTAATCTTCAACTTTAAAGAGAGACAGAGAGACGGAGCGAATGCAGCATTTTTGGCCACGGTTGAGAAATCATGAGATTCCGGATGTATGTACAAGAGTTCCAGGTGTATGAGATTTCGTGATTTCTTTCGGTCGATTTTCATAATCTGGATGAGATTTCTGAGATTTCTTTTGCTAATTTATATATTCATTTTTGTGGAACTTTCCTATAAAATTTGAAATTTCTATGAGGATATTCTATGTTAATGTACTTATTGAACACTGTTGACTGAAGCAGAGCAGATTGCACACTTAAATAATATTATTTTAATTTTATTGCCGTCCCATCCTGTCGATTAAACTATCTGATAGCAAATCCTACCAAAATTCATTTCATGAAACAACTCAGTCACCCGTAAACTTTGCAAAGATGTCGAATTTGTAAAATATGCGAAGTTTACTAGCAGATTAAACTGCGATTCTCACAAGGGAACATACCGAGGTGTCCAACGAGTTAAGGGTCGACACCTATACCAAAATGACCACAATACATGACTTGTTAAACGAACTGAACGAATTTCCATGTAAAACTAACTTTTCGTCACGTTGTGACGATATTTGTGACGAGCGCATGACCATCGGGTTGCCAGAGAGGGAGAGGTCAGCCGCTGAACGATCAGGTCAGAGAAGCGTCGTCGTCTTCAGAGATTTCAAATTTCAAATAACTTACACATTTCCAATTTTTTCAAAATTTCATAATTTCAAAATTTCGAAACTTTTTAAAAATTTCAATTTTTTTTAGAAATTTCGAAATTTCATCAAAATTTCAAAAAGTTTTTCAAAATTTCAAAATATTTTCAAAATATCTTCAAACTTAAAAAATGTTTTCAAAATTAAAAAAATGTTTTCAAAATTTCTTAAAAATTTCAAAATTGTTTCAAAATTTGCAAAAATTTGAAATCTCTGAAGACGACGCTTCTCTGTGGTCGACCTGATCGTTCAGCGGCCGACCTTTCCCTCTCTGGCAACCCGATGGTCATGCGCTCGTCACAAATATCGTCACAACTTGACGAAAAGTGAATTTTACACGGAAATTCCTTCAGTTTGTTTAATAAGTCATGTGTTGTGGTCATTTTGGTATAGGTGTCGACCCTTAACTCGTTGGACACCTCGGTATGTTCCCTTGTCAGACCAAATTCTATAACTGTATGTATTGTGTTATATTATTTATCCACACCTTAATACTTATCAACATCAAAGAAGTCATAACACATATTGAAAAGTTAATCTGTCATCAAATTTATTATCATACTTAATACGATATAATATAGCGTCGCGTGGGCACACTTAATCATTTTTACAAAAATGGAGCCGTGTCGAATTAAAAAAAAATAGTAATAAAATTAACTACTCTAAGTTATCGGCAACTTTCCTGTGTTTCTTCTTATTCAGCCCTTTGAACTCCATTGACTGAAGGGGAGATTCCTTCCGTTTCTGAAATTATTGCACATTTTTACATAATGTTTAGTCAAATTTTCTTAGCCAATAAAACAATTTAAAAAAATCTTTGCTTTGCACACCTTCATGGCGGCACCCTTGTTGAATCCTCCTTTCCTCTTCCGCTGGTTACCCTTCCCCGAAAAAATTGACGCCCGTCCACCATCTCCTGCCCGACTGATTGGCAAATGTTTCAACGTCTTTGGAACAATATAGTCGGGAACGTTTTTCAAATGGGGTTGCTGTTTCACCACCTTGAAGGCTTTATCATGTCGGAGAGCTTTCAGTTCTTGAGGGTTGGTTTCAAAGTATGACTACGGAGATAAAACAGGGGAAGTAAATTTGGTTAAAATGATGCACATACATTAATAGTTAGTACTGTCAAATACCTTCAACTTGGTTGATGTCATCATTTCTAATCTAATTTCCTTAATTCGAGCTTCCCGTATTGCAATTCGAGTGACTGCTTTCCACGCATCTTTGGCCCGATAGCGAAACCCTTCTACCTCAGACATTTTGAAATTGAATGGCTTCATTTTCAAGTCGACCTCCCCACTCAGGTCGGCCAAGGCTTGTTCAACCTGCAGACAAGCAAGAACAAAACTAGAATCTATTTGCATATATAGATTATGGCATCACTAACTAATTTACAAAAAAGAATGTTACCTCATTCAGCAGCTCGGTTTCTTTTGAGCTGACTAACGACAAGGCTGCTCCCTAATAAAAATGAACGAAATATGTATACACACTTGTAGCAAAAATAAATAAGGCCAGGGGTCACACAACATGCCAATTCTTACCTGATTATTTCCACGCGCCGTCCTCCCCACCCGGTGCAAGTAAGCGGTCGAGTCCAGTGGAAAATCAAAATTGATAACGTTTGAGAGATGTTGGAAGTCAATTCCTCTTGATACACCGGATTCCTTATCACGTCTCTTCTGCTTATTGTCACCCTTCTTCTTGTCGTCTTTTTTATCAGGTTTTTTATCCTTAACATCCTCCTCGTCGTGACCTTCGCCTTCTTTGGAAGCCGCAGCAGCAGCAGTAGAACTAGGTCCAGCTTCGTCCACGATCCTGTCATCACTCGCAATGATAATATTGTACACGCCCAGGTTGAATTGTTGGACCGTGTGCCATCTCGACATTTGTGGAAGCTCAGAGTTTAGGACGCACGTGCTGATTCCAAACTGCTCGAGGTATAATTTCAACTTGTAGCTGCGATCCACCGTGTTGACAAAGATGAGAGACTTTCCTCGAACGAGTCTCAACTTGAATAAGGCGTAAATTAGGACGTATTTGTCTTCCTCTTCGGCCTGTATGGATAAAATAATAATTAGTTAATGATGAACCTGATTTCTGATCTATTCACATTCAGTTTGTAAACTATTGTTTTGTGAGATGGGTGTACAAACTAAGGATAATATAATGAATGATGAAACTGTCTTACAGATTTGTGAAATTTTTTTTATAAAGTTTACACCGTTGTTGATTGTTACAAATACTTCTATGAATTGACTAATTAAAAATATTTAATTACCCGAATAACATAATGCGCCAACTGACACGCCGACGGAATCAGGGGCTCTTGCAACTTTAAAATGACGGGGTTGTGCAACACCATATTTTTTAGAGCGACGACATCCTCCGACAACGTAGCACTCGCCAATATCGACTGGCACAAATTGGGTAGAAATCCAATCAGTTTTTTCACATCGTCCTGATATCCGAACGAGAAGATGAGATCAGCCTCGTCAATCACGACAAACTCGAGGGAGTCTTTCACCTCCAGGTTTTTCTTTTGCATATGGGACAACACTCTCGTCGGCGTCGTCACGATGATATCTGGCTTCTCGGCGAGAAGTGATTTCAAAGTGGCTGCACAATTCGTGCTGGTCAAGTCAATCGCCTTCATATCCTTCGAGCAGGAGGAGCTCAGCTCAAGGACATTTTTCAAAATTTGGTGACACAGCTCCTTGCTTGGGGCGAGGATAAGAGCACGAATACTCTGTTCTCGTGCCGTGTTCTTGATGACGAGTAACTTCTGAAGAATGGGGAGCACATAAGCGCCCGTCTTACCGGAACCAGTCCGCGCTCGGGCAAGGACATCTTTTCCTTCCAAGATAAGCGGGATGGCGCGCTCTTGAATCATTGTAGGCTCCTTCCAACCCAGTTTTGCGACCGCCTAAAGAACAATTACAATTTATTTATATTAATTCCGTCACAATTAACAATTAAAATACTTTGACGACGACCACTTTTACCTTAAGGAGACGGTCGTCCATCCCCATCTCGTGAAATTGTGTCATTTTTTTAAATTGTCCTAAAACTAGAAAGACTGCTAGTTTAACAGTCTATTTAACCAAGTTTAACTATTTCCTATTTAATTAAACACTCGCTTTCCCCACTCATGTGAAGAAAGAGGGGAGAAACGTGGTTTATTTCATCCAACGTGGCGACTCAAAGTTGGCGGCCTCCGTCTCACTCGCTCAAAGCGACACTCAAAAAATCCAGCCTTTTCCACACTCGCACTCTCCTCGTTGTCTTGTCGGACACGCTTTTGGCACTTCTTTTTCGGCAAGACGACAATTAAAAAGTCGACAAGTTAATTAATTATAGTTGACACACCCACAGCCCCCATCGCACTGTCCGACTTGTGTGGTTTGTCCAAGTCGAAACTCGGCGTATAATTTGCTCAGTTCTATTTTTTCTTTGTCGGTAAGTTTGAAGTTTGAAGTTCAGTCTTTTTTTGTGGAAATTTAAAATTCAGCCGGTAGAAAGTAATGTATAGAGGTTGATTGGAAAAATCAAGAGATTTTTTAAGATAAAATAAGTAGTAAATTGTGTATTATAATTGTTGAATAGTTCACATATTCGTGTGCGATCCACCCACTCATTCACTCCCACTCGTCAGGATGGCCAGCCGAAGACCCCGTTTGGACGTGGCGGAGACGAATTTGGCTAAGAAACCGTGAGTTATTTATGCATACAACGATTTGAATATGTATGTTATCATGGAATTAATGCATATGTTTTAATTAATTTCTAGCAAATTGGCAGAGTTTACCACCCCGGCTCTTGGGGCAAGTGTTGGTGTGGCGGTGAAACCTGATGTACAACTCAACCCACACACCGGGATGATGTTCACCCCACGATATTTTGAACTTCTCAAAAAACGGACCCAACTTCCGGTCTGGGAGTACAAGGATAAGTTCATGGAGTTAATCCACAAGCATCAAATTATCGTACTCGTGGGTGAAACTGGATCTGGCAAGACGACACAGATTCCACAGTGGTGTGTCGACTACGCCAAGGCGGTTGGAAAGAGGGGCGTTTCTTGTACTCAGCCGAGGCGAGTGGCCGCCATGTCGGTGGCGCAACGTGTCTCGGAAGAGATGGACGTCTGTCTGGGTCAAGAGGTCGGGTACAGTATTCGATTCGAAGATTGTTCATGCTCGAAGACGGTGTTAAAGTGAGTACACATTTCTTATATTTTCATGTTAACGCCACCTTTATAGGTTATAAAGCTGTAAATTTTGTGATTTTGTGAACAAAATTAACATTAATTTGATAAATTTCCATTGAAAAATTACTGATTGCAATTATATTTAAACTTTTAGATACATGACGGACGGTATGTTACTCCGGGAAGGAATGTCAGAACCCATGATGGAGCAATATCAGGTCATCTTGTTGGACGAGGCTCACGAAAGGACACTGGCGACAGATATTCTGATGGGCGTGCTAAAGGAAGTTATCAAACAGAGAAGCGATTTGAAATTGGTCGTCATGTCGGCCACATTGGACGCTGGAAAGTTTCAGGTTAGTTGACAGCGATAAATCTTATGGACATAAATATGCAACTAATTAATTCATATTATTTATTCAGCAATACTTTGACAACGCGCCACTCATGAATGTGCCCGGGAGAACACATCCCGTCGAAATCTTTTACACTCCGGAGCCAGAGCGAGATTATCTTGAGGCCGCGATCCGGACTGTTATTCAGATTCACATGTGTGAAGAAACGGAGGGCGACGTTCTCCTCTTTCTCACCGGACAAGAAGAAATTGAAGAGGCTTGCAAACGGATTAAACGTGAAGTGGATAATCTCGGACCGGAAATTGGCGACTTGAAATGTATACCGTTGTATTCCACGCTACCTCCAAATCTACAACAGAGAATTTTTGAACAAGCTCCGCCACGGAAGGCGAATGGTGCCATTGGTCGAAAGGTATGAAGAAATTATTTAAAATTAAATCTTCCAAGATATTTAAATTTAAGTGTGCCATTGGTTAATTTTAGGTGGTAGTGTCAACCAATATTGCCGAGACTTCGTTAACCATTGACGGTGTCGTTTTTGTGATTGATCCTGGATTTGCAAAACAGAAAGTGTATAATCCCCGAATTCGGGTGGAATCTCTACTTGTGTCGCCAATTAGTAAGGCATCTGCACAACAACGAGCTGGACGGGCTGGGCGTACTCGGCCAGGAAAGTGTTTCAGGTAAGTTTTCAAATATGTTTTTGCACGCGTAACCTTGTAACTCTGAATTGTGCAAAGTTTAAGTTGACCAAAACACACTTTACCAACATGAAAAAATGTCCGTAGTTTACAAGGCTACAAAATGCCTTTAATCACACATTTGTATTGATTTTTACTAATTTTGGAATAAATTTTTTCAGACTGTACACCGAGAAAGCGTTCAAGAATGAAATGCAAGAAAACACATACCCCGAAATTTTGAGATCAAACTTAGGATCTGTCGTTTTAAACTTAAAGAAAGTTGGAATTGATGACCTCGTGCATTTTGACTTTATGGATCCCCCAGCACCCGAGACGCTCATGAGGGCATTGGAACTATTAAACTATTTAGCAGCTCTGGACGATGATGGAAATCTGACCGAGCTGGGCGCCATGATGGCTGAGTTCCCATTGGATCCCCAACTCTCGAAGATGTTAATTGCATCTACCGAGTTTGACTGTTCGAATGAAATATTGTCCATCACGGCCATGTTATCAGGTTTGTATAAGTGGTACACCTGTCAAGCCATGCAAATTCACTGTTCAATCCACTAACTTGTAATGCAATTTTCCCACAGTTCCACAATGCTTTGTTCGGCCAAACGATACTAAAAAGGCTGCTGACGACGCAAAGTTACGTTTCGCTCACATTGACGGGGATCACTTGACCCTTCTCAACGTTTTCCACGCCTTCAAGCAAAGTAAGTCCAGCAAAAGTATAGCTTCATCTATAACTATTTGTCACAATATTTCAATTTCATTCTCTTGCTTTAGATCATGAAGACCCACAATGGTGTTATGAAAACTTTATCAATTACCGCAGTTTGAAATCTGCCGACAACGTAAGACAACAACTCTCCCGAATCATGGACAGGTTCAACTTGAAGCGTACTTCGACCGAATTTACATCACGAGAGTATTACGTCAATATACGAAAAGCACAAGTGGCTGGATTCTTTATGCAAGTACGTGTTCTCCTAGAGAAACAACTATTAAAAAGTTTTCGTAACTTGTGCATATTCTAATCTGCTATATATTTTACTTTAGGTCGCCCATTTAGAAAGGAATGGCACATATTTGACGATAAAAGACAACCAAACAGTCCAACTGCACCCATCTACATGTCTCGACCACAAACCAGACTGGGTCGTTTACAATGAGTTTGTCCTAACTACCAAAAACTACATTCGCACCGTTACGGATGTCAAGGCCGACTGGCTGCTGCAAATCGCTCCTCAATACTACGACCTTGCCAACTTTCCCCAGTGTGAGGCACGCCGTCAATTAGAACTTATCCAGACAAAATTGGAATCAAAACAATTTCAAACCAAATTTTGATTATGTGAAGATTAATTTTACACCAATTTTTACACATTATACACGGTGATCATTATCATCACATTGTTCGTAGTATGTAAGTCTCTTCCCTCTCTTCCAATGTAAACTTATTAGGTAGTTAAGTAATTAGTTAATTTGACAATTTATGCGACAATTTATGAGAAAAAGCATCACATTTTTTGTTATTTTTACTGTTACAAGAACAGTTCATACTGCTGACAACTGTTGTTAAATCAGGAATATTTCTTTATTGCTCTTTTTATTATTCTGTACTACCAAAATATGCTGCCTCCTTTATTTCCGGGTATGTAATATACAAACAGTTGTGTAATAAAATGCATACATTTATTTAATGAGAAGAACTTGTATCAGAACTAACAAAAACCCTGCCCAGAATTGAGCATGGAAATAATATTAATCGAAGCATAATACTACTTGGCTTCATTTTATAGAAGGAATGAGTGCTCAACTATGCAAAGCAGTGACCCATCTTCAAAATTCATATACTCATTGAAAGTCCGTTTGAAATGTACAAAGTTTGTTTAGCATGATTTATTTAATCCAAAAGAGAGTTTAAGAGAACACATAACTTTCATTATAAACTCGTCAAACCCCATTGCACATGGGAAATTACCTGATCAAGCAATCTTATCAGTAACTTTGAATAAAATATTTCTACACAAGATTTACCTTTCTAATGGTCAAGCCAGACAAATATCTAGGATGGATTGATTCTTAATTTGTTGGAACTCCACCAAAATTCCATACAAAGGATGATATTATTTATATGGGACCTAAGATACACATTAATGTGTCAGCCTCCGAGTAATCTGAACTGAATCTCACATCCTGTAACGAAAACGAAGGCGTGACACACTTTCCATATAACCTTCCAAATCCACCCATTTCTGAACAGTTCCAACCACTTGGTAAATCTGAACTAGAATTTAGTCGTGACTTCGACGGACTACAAGAGAAAAAAAAACATTTTTAAATGTGGAAAACCAATAAGGATGCCAATCTCTGGCGGCTCCGCAGCCCTCAATTGTCCTCCGACATGTTATACAACTATCTCGCCGAGCAGGGCTTCACGTGGGGAAGCCAGTCGTCCAACTGGACATTACACACAATTTGGGAACCCAGAGTTATGAGCAAGTTAAGTTTTCTTACGGAAATGAAACCCGGTGAAGATATTGAAAAATGCAATATCTGGAAAGTCCTCCGCGAGGGGTTTGGAACATTCAGGACGAACTTTGACTCGTTAGTTGACCTCTCCGACAATATGATAATGGTGAGGAGGATAATAAATAATAATAGAAAAGATGGGATGCAAATAAACTAACAAGTTTTAAATTTTCTGTGAAGGTGCGCATCGACTGCGAAGCATGTCCTAAAGCAACCGAACTGCCCTCATCCCAGTGGTTGCAAGGGGCGCAAGTCTCAGAGTTCTTGATGGACAATGATCTCATCAACTTCAGGTAAATTAATACATGCATGAATTGACCTAATTATCCTAATCAAATTAGATGTTTAACTTGATATTGATTCCATACGTACGTGTTGTAAAGATGCACCCCAACAACTCTGGTCGCTGGTGGGGGTCTTCGAGAAATCCTGAAGGCCTGCCTCAGATACAACGATCTCTTGATCGCTGTGGGCACCGTAAAGCGCGTCGAAGCCCCACACGCTCGCAGACTCAGTTTGTTGAACTATGATTGTGACGACGCTGACCTCACCCTCATCAGAGTTTCTTTCTTGGTAATTCTTTAAACCTAATAATAACTGACATTTACTTGGATGGAATTTAGCTAAGTTGTGTGAACTTCAAGTTTTTTTTAATTCACAGCCCCCGTTGCAAGGGCATGATGTGAAGTTACTCGAAACAATTACGCCCGCCGATGGTCAACATACCTACAAATTTAAGTATCGAGTTCGCTGCGGAACATTCTTTGAGGAAATTTCTAAGTTTGGAGTTTATGATCCAAATGAAAGGTGAGACTGCACTTCAGATTTTTGTCGAACTATTCTAAATACTAAATTACCTCTAAATTTGTGCTAGGACTGAAAGGGATGATCGTTTTCTCATGGAGTATATGCCCATTGACTGCAATGCCAACGTTACTGCGATATATAGAACAATTGTGGAGAGGGGTATTAATAACAGCAATGGTCCTGCGACTAGGCCCTACCATCGAGTAACCTTCACTCCAGAGGACGATGATGCTGCGGAAGAACAAGAAGAGGAGTCGTACCGAACGTCTCCTATCTTCACTTCAGGTGTGCCGCATTTTAGAGGGGAACGTCATATTCGTGTTCCAAACGTGTCAGACTTCTGGGCATTAGTCTTCGTCCCATTGATAATTTTCTTGGCTTGCGGGCTAATGTTTTACGGAATTTATTCCATCGGTTCGGCTGGATCTGAGGAAATCTGTTATTTTTCCATAAACCATGTTCCAGCCCCACCAATTAAAGCTATCGTGGTCAAGGACATGGGTACCCTCTCCGTGATATACGAAAAATCAAGGTTCATGTGGAGGACAATAGTGGAGAGTTTTATGAGAATCGTGTACTGGTTGTTTGAAAACCTCGGATATCGATACATTTCTGAAAGATTATTTTCCAATACCGCACGAATTCATCCGAGTTGTTAATTTAGTTTAGAATAATTAGAAGAAAATCAATAAATATGTTTTTCTGTTGAATTACAAGGTGGTGGACATTTCAATCAATACTCATTCGAAATTAGTAAAAAATTTAATGAATCAATTATTTATTATCAATTAATTACGGAAGTCAGTACAACACAAAATTAAGAAAAATTTAGTAAAACAATTTAATCTAGGAGGGATCGAAGTAGTTAATTTTGGACAAATTTGTCGTGATCAAGTCGTCCACCCCGAGTCGTCGATGGTTGTTCCTACTGCTGCCACTGCTGCCACCACTGCTGTGCGTGGGTGGGGGTCGACTCTCGCGCATCGACACTGAGCGACGCGCCCGGCGAATTTTCTCATCCTCGACAATCGGTGCTGAAAAGAGTTTGACCCTCGTTTCCAAAATCTCACGGTTTCGCTCCACGTTTTTTAGTCTGGAACTTATCAGCTCATAATCCATTTCGGCACGAGCTTTCTCCAAACCTTTCAACTTCCTGTGCGCTTCTGAAATGAAAACGTAAAAATTTAGTAATTTATCTCAAAATTTTGGGTAGATTCAAGTTTTCTCGGGATTTTCACATAAAAAATTGTCTTTTTGCCCAGAAAATAAAAGACATCGAACCCATGAAATTTATAATGAATACCATCTAATTGAAATTCCAGCTCGATCTGTTTCTGGAGATACGTTTTGGATTTGTGTCTCTCCACGTCGAGCAGTTTGCGTTGTTCTCGTTCCAATTTTTCCAACTCGTCCCTCTTCTCCCATTCTTCGTTGAGGATTTTGGCTTGCAAGTTTCGAACCAGTTCTTCATCCTGTTTGGCCTGGATTTCCTCGCGAAGCAACTTCTCGAGCTGAAGACGCATATTTTCCAGCATTTTGCGCTGCTCTTCTTCATACGCTTTTTGCTGGGCGAGCTCTTTGGCTTGGTCTTCCGCGGCGAGGCGTGCCTTGAACAAGTGTGATCAGTGAAAATAGGAATTTTTCGAGAAGAAAATAAAGTTCCATTAAATGTTTAGGATCATTTGCAAGTTTGCAAATTTTACAAATTCTCCGAATTATTGTCCAACTTTGTAATAATTTGAAGAATTTGTAAAATTCTTGGGTGCGAAACTGGTAAATTAACTGCGATTTATAATGTTGTACGAGGTTTGCAAGGAACGGTAGGAAATTGCTTCATGCGAAATGAGAAAGTCCAAATTAGGAAGTTACAAAATTAATGAGATTATGCAACTCACCATTTTTTCCGCTTCAAACATTTCCCGACTTCTTTCCGTTTCGATTTCTCTCTTTATTCGGACGCGATGCCACTCGAGACGCCGTTTGTCCTTCAAGTAGCGACCGTGCGACTCTTGACAGTTGAGTCGCGACAGGGCCAAGCGAAGTGAGGCGATCCATTGGGAGCGATATCTATTTAGAAACATTCATATGTTCAAAATTACTGATATTAACTCAGATTCATAATTTATGGAAGAGAAGGTAAATACTATTTAGGTAATAAAATATACAAACTAATTATTTATCATGCACTTAAAGTTAAGATGACAAATTTGCCTCATTTAGTATTCCTACATTTGCAATTAGACACAAATTGTACTGATTCTGTGGAATTTTACTGAATTATGGACATACGCATGTAGGTATGCAGGATGCTTGTGGTGCCCAGTAATAAGAAGAAGACTGAAGTCTTCCAGCAGTGGAAGAAACTGCACTCACTCAAGTGTCAAATTCCCCACTCGTCTCTATTTCCCTGTCATAAACCAGACGTAAAATGTTTCTCACCAAACTTGGTAAAATCAAATCTCACAAACGGCGTGCTTAGTTTGCAAGTATTTTTGCCTTGAAACCAAATGAGCTCTGGTGCGCAAATTTACTTATTTATTTGTGTACCCACTAAGAATTAAGTAAGACGCAGGTTCTTATTTCGCAAAATGATTATTACATGGAATCGCTAATTCTGCTGCAATGCGACATAACATCGTGACATGATTATGGCAAATTTTGGCACTTAAATTAGTTAGTAAGCCTAGATTTCTGACTAGTCTACATAACCGATTTCCTTGAAAAAAAAATGCCCACCTTTTGTCCAGCGTCGCCAAATTCAGTACCCTTTCCAACGTGACGATTCGAAACTTTCTGAATTTGCTGGCCTGCTCGCTACCCACGTCTTCGTCGATCCTCGTCTGAGAGTCAAATTCGATAAATTTCATTTTCCCCGGATCCATGTTGTAATACCCGATTCCGGACGATTTTAGTACAAACATCTTCTCCTTGTACTTCCCAAAGGTTGAGTAACGTTTCAACATTAGCGTTCCCTTCGGCAGAAATGTAAAATATTATTTTTATTATTTTACATGAGTCGAAAACAAATTCCTACCGTTTTTACTGTATCGTCGACAAACTCGTCATACAATTCGTTGATGACTTCGACGACGTTTTCCGGTTCAAAATGTTTCAAAAATTTCAGTTCAATGACAGATAACAAGTTCTGGAAGTCGAATAGGGCGTTGGAAAATAAGCACTGAAACAAAATGCATACAATTACGCATTTTTTTAGAATTATTGATTCTTCATGGAATAAATTACAACAAAGCGTAAACTGTACAAAGTTATTTTTACAATTTTTAGAGGACATTCGAAAAACAACGTTTGTGTAAACTGTGTAAAGTTACTTTACAAAATTTACATAAATTTCAAAAGGTATTGTAACAAGGGACGCCGGTCAATCCACGTCTCTCATCATTTTGTTCTTGGTTGTGTACCAATCAACAAACCTCACAGACTTTACACAGTTTACACAATACGATCGTAATCTCACCTCAAAATTCTCATCCAGCATTAAATTACACTCTCTTCCCGATAAGGTTGACAATAATTTCTTAAATACGAGTTCCGCTTCTTCCGAACACAATACAACCTAAAGTACAAAAGAGACCTATTTAGTACATACTTCCATGCATGTTTTATCACCCCCCTCCCACTTATCATCGGTCCTCCCACCTGAGCATTATTCGTGTCAGCATCCGTGATAAGGTCCCCGAGGAGGCAGAAGAGACGAAACAGTTTGAAAGTTGACTCACTCCCCAATCTCGGATTTCTTTTCACCGAATCCAAAATCAGTTTAGATTTACTCAAATTCCAGCAAATTTGGTCGATTTGTTTCTCCAAAAGGGACAAGTCCCTCCTGCCCAGCGAGTCACTCAGCGAGGAAAACACTTCCCGAGATAAGTAGCTCTCAAACTGTTTGAAATTTAGGGACGTGTCGCTCCCAAAATCTTCCAGGGCGAGGGACGCCAAGTTTCCGCATTCGAAAACTGTACCAATGTGAGAGACAAGGACCTGCAAAATCAATTCCTCCACCGTTACATTCAATTTTATTCATTTCGTGATAATTTCTTGCCCACCTTGAGTTTCGACTTGGGCGAAAATGCAGTCCCAGAGTCGGACAGCGTGGTGAACGCGTGCCACACACTGTTTCGTACAAAATCGAGCAGCACAGCCCCCATGACAAACTAGACGATTGTACTTTATCTTATCCAATGACTTCTTCTACGATTACATAATTATCGACTCCCAGGATTTTGTAACTCTCCGCACTGACACGATTTACAAAAGTACATATGCAAAAAGTATCTCCACAATTATTCAAAACTGGGATTTAACAATTTAACACTTTTTTTTCAAACCAGGATGAGTTAGAAATGTAAAAATAAATAAATCCGAGTCTCCTTTCGTATGCAAATGTGTGTATTATTTATTTAGATGGAGAAGACAGATGTAGATGGAAGGCGAAGAATTTCGTCGTGAAGACTTTGGTTACACGACGACCACGACATGAGAGATCGACACTGCGATATCTTCCACCAACCAGGACAAGACTACAATGTTGGTTTAATACAACAGCTCTGCATTCCATTTATGGCTTGCTCACCTTTTGCTTTTACTTTACTTTTTGGTGGCTCGCGTTCATTGCCATTTTTTATTTACCTGCACACACACACACACCACACACATATTTGGTATGGCTAATCACATCACAAGTCAGTCAGTCAGTCTTAAATACGGCGAGATGATTAAATAATATAAAATCACAGGTACGGTCGGTATCTCTCATCTTCTTGGCTAAGGATGAGATGAGATTGGGCGAGGATGGATGAGATGAGATGAAGCGAATCGTTATGCAATTTTAATTATTAACATTGCATTGATACGCATCGGGGGGTAATAATAGGGCAAAAGTGGTGGTATGGATTTAATTACTTATTAAAAAGGAAATACGTCCGTATTGCACATCGAAATCAGAGTAATGTTCGTTTATATGTTATGCATCATAAATATCTTGGAAGTATATTTGGTGGAAGTTCGTAGAAAATTTCCAATACATTGTTTACTAAATTTTCTGTTTTATTATATGTATAAACCCAAAGCAAGTAGAAAATTAGAAATGGTGACATTGGAATGACAAAAATATGCTTGGATTCTAAGACATTCAATGACTGTTTTCGATACGATGATATAGGAATTAAATACACCTTCAATACCAAAAGAGGCATCCGCTCCTTCTCATGTAACATCAATAATTAAAAACTTAATGTAATAGTTAAAAATGTAATTTAATAAGTAAAACATATTGTTGAATGCATCAAGATAATGAAATTGAGCCAAAATAATTCCAAATGCGGATTTTGCCTTCTTATCGGAAAGCGTCACCTGCTCCTTCTCACGTATCCGCTGGAATGCAGAGACGCCACGCTGCTGATAAGCGACTCGCTTCCCTCATCTCCAAATCCTCAAGAAGCAAGGCAGGCTCATTTCACTCTGTTTCTTGCCGTCGTCACGAACACACCTCGCAAAATTTCGTCCAGTTTCTTCCCTTCTGCACGTCGTACTCCAATAATTCTGCGAATAGTGTACGAAAATCTTTAAACTGCAACTCATTAACTAATCCTAAGTTAGTTTGCTAACGATCTTTATTTCTTGAGCAGCCGAAGATGGAGTGGTGTCAGCACAATGGGCAACGCTTGTACGGTCCCCCAGTGGAAAGTGGTCGCAAACCAGAACAGGGTGAGTCCTACGAAAAACTATTATTTATTATGTATTTTCTTCAATTTCATGTCGATATGTAGCATGTTCTTAAAAAGTGTGCTTAATTTGTCTGTGATAACAGGAAGTGAGGTATTTATTCCCAACGTTCCTCAAGACTGGACGGAATTTGACATCTTCGACCTGTTCAAGACGATTGGGCCGATTTACCAGGTCAGAATGATGGTCAACTTCAGTGGGAGTACGCGAGGCTTCTGCTTCGTTCGCTTTTTCGAGAAGGAACATGCCTCCCAAGCAATTCTTGAGTTGAATAGGAAGGAAGTTAAGAAAGGTATTTTTTCAATAGGAGTACATTTCCAAATTTTGTATAACTAATATTTAAGTAACTTCGAGTAACTGTTCATTATCTGAATTTGTGTGTAGGGTGGAAAATTAAAGTCGTGATGTCTCTGGATAACAGCACCTTGTGGGTCACTGACTTCCCAAAGTTTAGGACTGACGAGGAAATCAGGAGCGAAATATTCCGAATTTCCAACGGCGTGACAAGTGTGACCATTTTTACTCAGAATAAACAACGATGCTGTCTGATTGATTATACAACTCACAGGTCACACATTTATAAATATTTACATATTTGAGACTCATTTGCATTAGTTAATAAGTGGTAATTAATTAACATTTTTTTGAACAGCGCTGCGTCCAACGCTCGGAAGTTATTTCTGTCCAGACAAGTGAAGCTGTGGGGCCATCGCTGTTCTGTGGAGTGGGCTCAACGTGGGGATCAGCCGAAAATTTCTAATGTTTAGAGCTATGAATTTCTTACTTGTTTTTAATTCGTTCGTCTGTTTGTCGTGGGATTGAGATTTGCAATGTATTCAATTTATTTGACGGACCGTGATAAATACTCACATATTTTGACTTTGTAATATGTATCGCATTTCATGTTTTTATATATTATTTTACGATGAACTTTTTTCTTGTTATGATTAATTTCTGAATGAACTTGACCTTAATTATTTGCTGTATTTGATCGTATCGTTGTGAATTGACATGATTTTTGACTAACATACTTGAAATAAATTATTCCTTTGTTAATCGTATGGCGACTTTGTTAGTTTTATTTTCATAGTAATGCTTACATTTAAAATGTGATCAGTAATGAGTATAATTTCGCATATTTTTACATTTTGTATCCGTTTTGCATTCACAAATTGAGCAGTTACATACATACATACATTAATACATAAGTTATGGTATTTGGGTAAGAAAAGTCAATAATCCAACATCATAGAGGAGTACTTTTAGCAAAGTCAAAATAATGCAAAAAAAATATCCGCCGCACAGAGTAAACTTATCAGTCGATTATTTAGCCAGGACGATTTGATGGTAGAATTATTTTGGTTTCAAAAAACATGCAAATAAAATTAATCTACCAAACCCTCAACCAAATGGCATAAGCATAACGGACGATTAATTTGACCAGCTACTCTAACAAACATTGGTTAAATAAATTGCATGTTCATCCAAACAAATAATTCTAGGAGGCCAAGGTGCACCAGGAATTCTGAGATTCTCAGGAATCCTCGGTTTGCATATTATGATGAGACGACCTCAATACGAATGACAGCTCACTCACCATTTTCTTATCGTGATTAACACATTCCAAATATTCTATTCAATCCAATTGAGTTCATATCCCATATTTTTCTATATTCAGTTCTAGTCACAGCTTTGCTTTGAACACACAGTTTTGGACAGATTCCACAAAGCCAGGAGAAAACCCACCAGCTTTTCGTCCTCGTCTCGCAAATTTTCCCCGCATTCCGGAAAATTTCTGCCCCTCGTTAATTCCAAATTTTAATTCCGAGAAATCCGAGAGCAGGGTCATGATGTCAAAGGCTGACCATGAACTTCCTCTTCCTGGAAATGGCAACCGGGTCATGGCAGACGCCACCACGACCTCAGCTATAAGAAGTGACCCAGAAGTTGCTTCTCATCAAAGGAGGACGGAATCCCTGGAAGATTTGGAGGTGTGTTTGAGCAGTGGCGACGAGAGGGACGAGGACATAGTCGAGGAAGACAAAATGGTGAGAACATTTGTCCTTGAAGCGGTCATCATAAATTATTGAAATCGTTGGCCAAATTTTTGTATTTATTTGTTTTGTCATTTTTCTAGATCAGGGTTGACTCGCTTATGGAAATTAGGCGCTGGGTAAAAGTGCAGAAAAAATTCTTCGCACCAAACACATCGGACACATCGGTACCTGTGAAATTAAACTGTTTTATTCCGATGTTTTTTAGTTTCACTCATTTTAGTTGGTTATCATTTTGTCCAGATTTCCGAAGTGAGGTTTCAGACTTCTTGTCGCGTTGTCCGCTGCTTGGACAAACTTGTCGTCGCGGTGGAAAACGTTGTCGATGTTCTGGACGAGAGGAGACGACGGGGATTTCCGAAGTACGAGCAGAGAAGAGCCCGACGCCATGAATTACGGAAAGCAGAAGCAGCAACATTGCTAAAAACACGTAATGGCGTTCACGACAAGGAAAAGTCGAGAAATTCAAAACATGACGCCCCACAAAGTCCAACTCCGACAGTTCTTACGCCCCAAAGGTCACACCCAGACCAATCTGCAACCCACTCAAAATCCAGGTTGAATCGGAGACCAGTCTTTAAATCCAACGACCAGACCACTACACGAAGATCCTCCTCCTCTGGTAGCGAGATGGTAAGTTTTCATTTGCCTGAACAGTGCGACTTTTCCCTACCTAATTTTTAACCACTAACGTTTTGTACATATTCGCCCAGAGTTGGAAACCCAACCGCCACCGCTGCCACACTTGTCGAAAAACTTTTGCCTCCAAACATGACTTTACTCGTCACCGTTACACCCACCTCAAAGAAGAAGAGAAGACCGTGGCGAGGCAGGGCTGGAGTCACGTGTGCTACTTTTGTCAAAAAAGATTCGAAAGTAAGGGCACATGTAATATCCACCTGCTGACCCACACGAAGGAGAAGCCCTATCGCTGCGACCAGTGTGAGAATGAATTCGCGGAGAATAGTAGCTTAACAAAACATAAGCGCATTCATAGCGGCAACCCGAGACCTGCGAGGTCCTTACCCTGCGAGGAATGTGACCAAACTTTCACTTTGAAAACTAGTCTGATCAGACATAAGAAAAGTCTTCACCGGAAGTTAGGGGCCATCGACTGTCCCAAGTGCCCCAGGAAATTCGGCACAAAGGATCACATGGTGCACCATCTGAACGGGGTTCATCTCAAAATTAGACACCCCTGTCCCCACTGCCATCGATCCTACACGTACAAAGGCAATGTTCGAAAACACATGAGGGAGTTTCATCCATCAAAATCCCGTCCTCTACCTGTAAAATGATCATCAGGGAAAGACTCAGTTTCCAAATTGTGTCTGTTGATTAACTGATTAATCAACTTATGTATAACAAGATAAGCAATTATTCTCATATGAATGTTAAAAATTACTAGATTCAAGGATAAATAAATTTTTTTGACTCTTTTAATGCTGCAGATTTTGGTTTTGACTTATTTCGTAATCGGATTTTTACTAGATTTAGTTAATCGCCTCATTTTTTTAAACTAGTATGTGTACTTTTATCTTATCAAAATTTCCTTGTCTAGCTTCATACTACTTGGAAATGTCGAATTAGAATTTTAAGAAATCATCGCCCTGTTAGCCTATCCGCCTGAGAACTCGAAATGTCAGTCGCATGCATCCGAACAAGCCGGTACAGCAGTCTCAACGAAGATAAGCCATGACAGTCATGCTAATATTTCTTTGGTCGACAAGCTTATTCACAAAAACTCAGGGAAAATGGGAGAGAAATTTGAAATTTGTATAGTGACACAACCCAATAAAAGCAAGGATGAGAATATTTCCAGAAATGTGAGACGAAATACATACATACGTCAAAAACACGAGAACAGAGAGCAGCAGGAGGTAAATTGAGATATTCAACTGATCTGCAGATTGATGAGACAACGATATAAATCCCAAATTGCAACTGAGACCATGCTTTCTCCTGATTTACATGAAACAAATTCTGTTTCTGAAGGAGTTGCTGACTTTCACCGTGCCTGTCACCACACGCCCCACACAGATGACGCGACCTTCTCGAGGACTGGTTTTTCATGGAGCGTTGCGTTACGTTTCTCCCTTATTCGAGCCCAACGCTTACTCGTCGTGAGTAAGACTTGGATGGAATGCGTTGTTGTTGTTGTTGTTGTATTTTACTTGACACGTTGCCACCAGAAGCATGGTCTGGGCATGGATGGCTGGTAGGCAGTCCAACTCACACGGCATTTCTCTTCAGTTTATTCGAATCCGCTTTTATTCTTTGCAACATAATGTCACACAATTCTGGGTTCGTGTTTTTTCAGGATATGTGCACCGTGCAATTCATTTTGCATGACAATATTTTAACAATATCAAGGTCATAATTGCTTTTATGACCACAGATTTTTTTAATGCAGCAAATAAATTATGAGCATTTTTCAAAATTTTCTGCAATCTGTGACAAATATTGGCAAGTATTTCAGCCACGTCGTTACTACGACCAGCATCAAGCATTACAAAATTGAGAAACTTTGCAAATATTGTGGGTGCGGGACCAACTTGGACAGAATTGAGGCACACAAAATGGGTGCGGTTCCTGACCTAAAGTTTATATTTATTTTTCGTCCACCACAATTTGATGTTTGTACACGAATTGCCAAGATTTCCAAAATTTAGCCACCCTGCGCACCAAGTTTGTTGGTTTGATGACCGCATTGTGCCGAGATCATGGCCACACGAACCCAGGCGCATTTTATGGAAGAGATTGGGTGGGATTTGCAGCAAAGAAGCACGTTTCCTCTTTGTTTCCGTCCTCCATGAATCCATCACGTCGTCGTCGTCGTGCTTGTGGATTGGATTTGGATTGACTTGTTGTTCGTTGTAATTTTATTATGGTACGCGTTCCCATTCCATTTTTAAGTAATCCTCGCAACAATTATTGTGGGGGTGTTGCATTGGAAAGGGTGGATTTTTCGGGAATTTTAACCCCTTCCTCCCCATTTCAAGGGAAACATATGTATGAACAGACGTGGAGGTCGTTCTGAGGTCACATCCCTCCTGCACGGCCCTTATCCTGCCTTGCTTTTGCTTCTCACATCGCATCGCATTTCATTTCACTCTATTATTATTCTTCGGAGCGGATTTTTCCACTAATATTTATCATGTAACGTATTTAAACAGGGGAGAAACATACATCGTAAATGGTTACATTATTATTATTGTGTCTGTCTGCCTGTTGAGAGGGTTGGGTTCACGTTGGCAATTTCTCACGCTTCCAAAACTAAGCTGAACTTCCAGCCAGGAGACGACCCCAGAGTGTGTAGAAGAATCACTTTTATAATATTTTTACGACCGCTTTTTTCCTACCTTGATAAATAAATAGTAAATGTAACTCTACGTGCAAACCAGAGAATGGAATGCGTGGAAGAAGTAGGGACGGAAAATTACAAATACGTATTTGTGACAGGACAATTTTGTAAAAAAATACGCCATAAAATATTATCGTGTCGAATTTTACTGCTAAATCCATTTCATTCTGATGCATGCGAAATGGGGAGCAAAAGTTAAGATTTTTTGACTTCAAGGCACAATCTGTTGTTATTCCTATTTCCAAAATCCATTACGCACCTGACCCAAGATTTTCTCAAGAGATGAGAGCACAACCTCCATTCCATTGTGTCCTATTGTGCAGGAAAATGTAAGCTTTTGTGAAGTGCACATCCTTTGAGGTTGCCCAAGGGTCGACCACTTCTTGAACAGGTGAGTATTACCACCTCCTCCTCACCTGCTGGACTGGACTCTCCACCACTGGAGAAAGAAGATCGAGGCTCCTTTGTTCCCATTGAGGTCACATTGTGGAGGATCCAATGTCTCAAAATTGGGCAGGCGTCCTACAATCCAGAGATTGTAAGGTGAATCTCGGCCAGCCATTCATCACGACGATGACGTCCCTCATGCTCAATAACAATCAATCAATCAATGACTTACGCATTATGATTCCTCTTTTGTGCTAAACTACAGAATGGGAAGATGACGAGGAAAGTGTCACAACATAACAAATACATAAGATCACTTTTTTGGGATAAAAGAGCCTGCTAATTTTGGGTGAAAATGAGTGACAGGTAAAAAAATTGTCGCTGCTGGAGGAGAATCTGGGAAGAGGAGTCATATTCCTAAAAATAGAGGTTCCATTGTTGTCAAAAGGTCAAAAATATATGGGGTTAATTTGTTGACATATTGGCTTATTTAACCCAAAATCCTATGTAACTTGAGTGTTGTTTTAACGGGAATTTTGTAAATTGAAGATAAGTAAATAAGCTCGATAACCACCACCACCACTATTTCTGCCTATTACCAATTATAAAATGTTTGTCAACATATCGCTCTCTTTTCTCTCTCACTCTCTCTCTCTCTCATTTCTAAATATACATTTTTTGTCTTTATTTTGGCAAGAAACAAACAAAAATGTAATAAAGTGAGCCCTCCGTAAACAAGGTCAGGCCTCGCATCGTACAAGCATTGAGCATTGAGATACATACATTTTCCAAACAAACCAATCACTCCGTTTAACCAAAGGCTTGGGGAAGGTCATGGTGTACGTACGTACATAATAAATAAATAAGTACGTAATATGTGTACACATAATGAGGCAAAAGTGCGAGGTCAGCTCAAAATATAATGAACCAGCAATGCACTTATTTAAACAATCGACTTTCTGCCCGTGGTTGGATGGGGGGCTGTGCAGGACGAATTTGACCTCTTTTTCCGTCCCCGTAATTACCGCCGCCTGACCTTGACGTGGGTCAAAATCCATTCTTTTTTGTGAATGCATCGTATGTAATACTGACTCACATGCTTCACATGGACCATTAAAACTACATACTTGACACATACGTACGTACATAAATGCAGATAAGGTATAAAACAATTGATATGGTGGACGTGAAGTTAGGGAATTTACATATGTGTGCCTTTTATGTATCTACCTTATCTCAAATTCTGTACGTTTGAGTATTTAGTACATATTTATTACTTATCCAGTACGACGGATTAATTGAGTTAGTATTATTTTAATTGTGCATGCATATTTATGATTTATTTATTTATTTATTTGCCGTCCAACTATTTTGCATGGCATGCATATGTAACTATTTTAAAGTGTTGGTATTTCGTAGATATGAGACCACGTTGGTGGTGGTGGTGCTCACGTCAAATGTGGTTATGCAAACTTTACGGTAGCGTCACAAATTTAGAAACGGTGTAAAAACCGGGTAAATTTTGCACAGTAAATTTCCTAAATTTTCCGAAGAACATGACATTAATGTGAACGCATGCACTTATGTAAGCAAATGTAATGTAAGTAAATGCTATACGACGTGCAACTGATACATAAAAATAGTCAAGTATTTAATTTTATCACATCCCAACAACCCGGCCTATTTGTGGTTTATTGGTTTCGTACATTTTCCTCGTTTTGGTTTCGCTCATCTAATTTCCATTCTACTCAAATCCAAAATAATTATAGCAACAAACAAACTTCGCAGAAAAAAACTGCAGTATGAATCGTCCATTATTTATCACTTATTCATTATTATGCAGCAGAAATTCCATTATCCATCGTCATCATGCACGATAATAAATAATTTATAAAAGAGGAAGCTGCTATTAATCTGGCTTTGATCCTGTGGGATTTAATTCATCCACTTCTCTCAACTTTATATCTTATCAGCCAAAATTTACCCAACAATATTCATGACACACAATGAAACGAAATGGATGGCGAGATATCCGTAACTAAAAGACACGCAAACGCTTTCCTCCCCACATTTCCATGTCAGTTTGCTTTGCACGACCAGAAAAAATTTTTGTATGGATGGAGATTCATACATGCACTTGAACTTGACATTCGTATTCATTCCTCTTCTCGCGACATGCAAAATCTGTATCATTTTTCGTATCATCACTTATCACATGCTGCACTCTGGCTGGTGAAGAGGAGAGGAATCATTTCCATGTATGTAATAAATAATAAATAATATGTAACACACTGCATTTGCATAGGGTTTTACTTTACCAACTAATTGGACCACCACCACCACAAAATTCGAGTAAAACCCATGACAACCCGAGGCGAATTTTTTGCCATTCATATTCCAATGCACCCGTCATCTTGGGGGCTGTGCGGGATGGGTGTGAGCTCTGATTTGGAGGGGCACCCCCAATTCATACATACATTTAGTTACGTATTTAGGAGGAGAGAGGTAAAAAATGTGCCGGACTGCACGGCCCCACAAGTCTTGAGGCTGGATTATTGGGCTGGAGAATTAATGTGTGATGGTCATCATCGTGACATGATATGTATGTAATAATAATATCTTGCCCCACGTATTATCGTCATCATGATCATCATCCGCCCGTTTTTTGTTAGACGTCCATTCTTTTTCCTTTCCCTGTTGGTTGGTTGGTTGGTTGGTTGGTGGGTTAGATCGTCGTCGTCATCGTCATGACATGCTTGATGGTTAGTGGACGAGACCATGACTAGTGCTGGAAGCTATCTATGTGTAGGAATAGGATGCCATGAAAAAAATAAGCTAACCGACACCATCATCATCCGTCCGGTAAATTGTTGCTGAGCTGAATGCAAAATAAAACCATAGTAGGCGGCTCGAATAACCTAATTACTTACTTCATTTTGCAGCTAGTAATACAATATTGCCTAATACCCGGTAAACAAGGTCAGACTTCAGGTTACTCAATGCTTACGGAGTCATTAAGCTTGAGAAACTCGTGGACAAGGCACATGTTCGTATGTAACGAGAACTTGGTACATGGAGCTTTTGTGAAGACTGGTCTGGCTCCTAATTAGTGAAACCTTTCATAAAAATGTATCCATTTTCCCTCTCGTGGTTGAATACGGGCCGTGCAGGAGGGATGTTTCGAGCTCTTTTTTGTTTTATAATGGAGGTCTCCGAAAATATGCTCTCCGGTTTTGACGAAATTAGTAGAAAATTACAAACGACATGATCTCTCAATGCGCAAGTCGCCAGAGATATTTGTATCCGAAGAGGAGAAATCGAGCCCAAAAATTGACTAAATTTTACACTTTCCAAATTTACTGAACGTTTTCTCCTCTTCGGATGCAAATATCTCTGCCAAACGTGACCATCAGGAGATCATGTCTTTTGCATATTTCCTACTAATCAAATTCGTGATCCATTGACACCAGTTTCATCAAAATTGGAGACCTCCATTGTTACGGGCCAGGCAGCAATGATCAGTTCGGAATATTTTGTATGCACGGCCCCTCCATGTGAGAGAGGATGTGGGAGGGAGGGGTTCCCATTTTTCTGGATGTCTGGCATAATTTAGAATGCCCGACTGGAAAATGATTTCGCTGGACTGGACGGGACGTGCTATCCGTTTTATTTTCCATCCTCCGGACACGTTCAGTTTTGACGTGCTCCAAAAAGAGGGAAAGGAAACGGACTTTGAGATAAATACTGGACCCTGATCACTCATAACAAAGCACACCTTTGAACATAGATAAATGCATATATGCGCATGCATCCAAGGATATTATGTACGTGGAAAGAATGCAGGTCTTTGTCCTAGGCTGGAAATATGTGTTTGTTGGCTCGACGTGCGAGCCACGAGGGACGGGAAATAAGGTCTCTCCAAAAGTGGATGGGCCATGCAGCAAATGACTAAGGACCAAAAGAGCACTCAGCCACCATGGCAGGGCTGAAAGGGAAATGATTTCATGGTGGATATCCTTCCCACCCACCCTCGCGAAGGGTCGCAGGATGAACCCCGCCTGACCAGATGCCCTCAGGATGTTGACAAAGGGATGGCAAGAGGAAAGGCGTGGTGTCATTCCATTCGCGGTACTCGCGTTGCTCGCCTCCATGTGCGTTTTTATTTTTAAAACCATAACAAAGAACCTTCGGGACTTTTCCGCATTTTGGGATGGAATGCGCTAGAAGAAAGAAATTATAGGTGGACCCTGCAGCGAGGATAAGTCGTTTCGTGGGGAAAGTGAAGCTTAGCTCGCAAAAGTCCATCCTTCCTAAAATAAAAATTATGTGACAGACCTTTTGTCACAGAAATCCACATTGTTTCATAATCGGCACACCGTGTTTTTTCTTCTTTGGTGACATGTCTGACCCTAAAAGCTACCTGCACCACGTAAATACTTAGGCAGCCCTGGTGTTGGTATCTATCTGTGTCGCTGCTCAACCATGGACCCACATGGCTTGAAGGAAAACCATGTTGTTTTCCATTCCTGATAAACACGCGGTGTGTGATGAAGTCAGATATGTATGCAGATACGATACGCCAAAGGCCAGGTACACATTTCATCCAATGGCTTCCCTTCCCTGGTAAAATAGGATAATAATAATAATAACAGCGCGGGTTTACTTTTACATTCCACATCGACACATCGTCCCCCACAAGCTCGAGCCCCCATCACCACCACCACCGCCACCATGCGATCTCTCTCTCTCTCTGTATCCGGCAATCTCACTCGCAGCACTTTTTTAAGCTCGACTTTACAAGAATTATATTATTATTATTATAAAATCCTATCCTCTTCTGCATAAAGGATGCTGTTCTGCTGGCCGCGGAGGCAGAGAGAGCGAGGATTATTGCACTCGTCAGCATCTAGGCGTAGAAGAAGAATTACGTGGCTGGCGAGAAGTGAATGATCGAAGAGGGTAACTGAAGGACAAAGGCAGCAGTTCAGCTCAGTCAGAGAAATGCGGTGGTGATGATAACAACAACCAAGCAGGAGCAGAAGCAGCGTTAGCGTCAGCGTGTTTATAAAAGCGATAGGATTCGATATGGATGGCAAAGCACATGCACAAGAATCGCTTCATTTTTCCCTCTTGGAAATGAAAGTGCTGGATTTACACACATCCACACACACACAAAAACACCCTGTTTTTTGTGAGGGAGGGAAATCGACGAGTATATCATCATGAAAGGACAGGACACCCAGGGCATCATCCAGACCAAAAATCAAGCTTTTTTTAACACACCTCCTCCTCCTCTCTTGAGGAGGAGGCGTTCATCTCGACGACGAGGCCACCACGGCATCCCTGCAAAATACCCGGGTAGTAGTCCCTCCCACCCACTAGTATGGCGTGACAGTATACAACCCTTATTCGGGAAGTGTAACACGGTATGAATGGAGGGACGCGTTATACACCTTTGTATGCCTGTATCCGGTCGGGTTTTCTCTCCCCCCGAATTCGGACCCAACTCATTCGGATCCACAGGATGCTTTCGCACACGAAGCACGGCGTCGTTGCGTTGTCCACCCTTTTAAAACATTGAACCTCATCGTACGTACTTTGACTCAGACTATATGCTACACATACCGTCGTCGTCGTATACTCCGAAATCCGACCACAATACACACAATCCTCTCTCTTATTACTCGTGCTTACTCATAGCATAATAAAAAACAGAGAGTTCTTCTCAGCGCATTACATCGCAGCAGCAAACAGCGATGCCAGAGCACGTTATTAGCAGTTACAATGCGCTGTGAATGTTGGTGCGTTTATAAGTTTGTGTAATAAAAGCAGGCAAAACTTCATCACATTCGTTCACTAGAGTCACATCATTCCACTTCACAATAACAACACATCGCCGAGTTCCGTACCATCCATAAGGTCTGTTTGGTGGAAAAAAACACCCCTTTTACCATACCAGCAAGTAGCGAGGGGAGATAACTTGGACACCGTAGAGTAACTGAGTAACCCCACGCTACATCCTCGTGTAGAGCGTTGAGGATTGGTCGTACAAAATAATACATCTCTCTCTCTCTCTTAAAGCAACCCAACCATTCTACTACGCTCGGCATAAATAAGTCGAATCCAACGTCAACGTGTACCACGAACTAGAAGACGAACCAAACACACTCGTCCTCAGTTAAGTGTGAAACGAGAGAAGAAAACATTGAGCTCTTGGCTTCTTCTGAAGAAGTGGATGAGAGTGAGAGGCGAAAATTATTTCAATTTTTCGAAACACTATCTCGTCGTCGCCATCGTCGTCGTTGTCGTCAAATCCGGAAGAAATACGTGACGAGAAAGAATACCGACGGAGGAAGAGGGAGAAAGGTGTGTTTTCGTTAAGATTGTCGTGTGGGGGATAAAGTTGGTTGGTTTCCCGTGGGGAGGGAGGAGGACCACCCATGTGAGGAAGTTCTAATTTGTTACTCGGTGGTGAAATCCGTAGGAGAAAAGTAGTTGGTTACGTAACGGGAGAAAGTTGTTAGTGGGTAACTTAACTGCATACATAACTGAGTACGTGAGGAGTGCACAAAACCGCACCTAGTTTAATGACAAAAACGAATGGGGACGTTAGATTGTTGTTTTTCCAACGTGGGGGACAACTTGGGTGGGTGTGGCGCGACGAAATAGGCAGATTTTTACCCTGTGAGATCAGCGAGTTAAGAGGACTAATAATCAAAGCTATACTTATATGAAATAACTTTCTTTAACAAAGTTGGAAATATTTTAGTACCACTTTCTCCACAGGACTTGTATCCAATTTTCCTCAAATATTTGCCTTAAAATTGTACCTTTACCCTGCAAAATTTGTCAATTTCCATTACACAAATAGCTCCTAAAGTAGGGCGTGGTTTCCTCTTTTGGGGGGTAAATTTCCTGAAAAAAAAATCCCAACAAATTTCCACTTTACAAACATCCATCCATTCATCTCCACCAACTTTCTCCAAGTGAATAATTCTCGCGACAAATTATTATCCAGTTTCGCTAGGTTTGTTGCTCTTCTTTACGCCACGTCACACCGTCACTGCTCTCAACTAGTCGTATCATCGTCGTAGTGAGAGAGGAGATAGAGAGCGAGAGAGAGAGGCTTGTGCTCACTGCCATGCATATACCCGATGATAGCATGCACGTGTTATATTATAAACTTCGCCAAACTCGCTTGTGTACTAAACAAGCATGATGACGATGTCACTCTTTTAGCCAGAATTTCTGATAATTCCTTCCACCCCATCTAATTTTATCCGTGTGTCAGTCACTCAGTCAGCCAAATGATGTAATAAATTATTTTCCACATTAATTTAACCCTTAAATTTTAACAAAAAGATCAAAATCTGGGATTACTTTCGAAATAAAAGTTACTCTAAAAAATTACCACCGAGAAAAACAAAGCGAAATCCTCTTTTTACCAACTATGATTTTAATTTTACCGTAAATTAAATTAAAATAACTAATTTTTCCTCCTAATTTCAGGAATTGATTGGCGAAAAAGAATGGAAATTTAGCAGACAGCGAGGGGGCCTAGTCCATGGTTTAGACCAAAGTGAAAAGCCGTGAGAAGTGAGTGAGGCGAGTTAGATTCTTTCACTCGTCGGGTCGTGTGAGTGAGTGAGATTGGTTGTTGACCTCTCTCACAATTTTCACCACCTCCATTTATTTGACCTCGTGTTTCTCACCTCCACGAGGTGAGCTAGCACACCGACCCAGCAGGGAGGAGGAGGAAGGAACACGTCATCTCTCTCAGTCTCGACACCATTTCCGTCCAACAAGATAACTGGATTTTCCGCACACAGGGTCGAAGATACGCTCTCTCCCCACGCGGAGGAAAGTCCACGAGTGAAAAGCTGCTGCTTTCTTTCTCCCATACTCCTGCCTGCCTTCGTGTAAGTCCTCTATTATAACTTTTCGGACGGAGCAAAACCCGGGTTCGGTTCCGACAGAGAGAGAGAGAAACAAGTTCGTTTCCAGAGTGCAATTCAAGCTAAACTTGCGCACGGGGAGCACAAGGCAAAGTTTTTTCTGCTTCTTCTGAAGTAAGGAAAACTTTTTTATTTATTTATCCACCACGAGTGGAGGAGGAGGAGAAGAAAAATTTCAATATTTACCGTATGAAAAAGCAAGAGTCCAGTCAAGTACGTAGGGGATTTTTAACTGCGTGCAATATTAGTTATTATTAATATCGAAATCTAAAAGAGAGGATATAAATATTCTTCATTGTGATAAGTTTTGTTTTGCATAAGCACGAGAGAAATAAATAAATACGTTCACGTTGTATTTTTGCGGTGGATCGTGTCATCATAGAAACAAGTCAAGGCAAAACGTATACAGTGCAACTCAGGTATGATGATGATCCATGCACTCTCTATAACCACGTTACTCTCTCATTAGTCAGTTTGCAGAAGTGAATTAAGCATCGTATATTATAATATTGCTCACAAGTCGTATTTAACTAACTAACTATCTGCACATGGTTGTTTGTTAGTCATCGTCAGGAGGACGACCGTACAGTCTCAATCGCAAGTTAGGAGGAGAGAAGGGAAAGCTGCATACAATAGGCTTCTTCTTCTGATTTCACTAATGGCACTTTTCCCCCGACGATTAATCACTATCATGCAGTCTGAGACGAGGAGTAGGAGCCAGAGCTAGAACTTGTGACAAGCCCCACCCACCAAGATACCGATTCCCCACAATCATGGCCCCCACATGGATTCGTAGCGTTTGAAGAAAAGGGGAGCGGTGTGGTGGTGAGGTTCGTTCGAGGTGAAGAAGAAGACGACAAGAAACAAAAGTGACCTCTGACCTTCCCCTCCAACCGCAAGATAAGAACGAAGCGATCATCATTCATCCGCCATCCCAAGTTCTCTACATAAAACTCAAACCTGCGTGGACCGTAAAAAGTCCAGAGGGGAAAAAATTGAATTCTTGAGGGAAAAGAAGTCGTCGTCGTCGTCGTCGTCGTGGTCATCGTCATCGACGGTGCGGTGGGTGTGGTGGTAGATCTCACTCTCTTCCGGTATACCATTATCATCAGTACCATCACCACCACCGGGGTCGGACTGGATTGGATTATGATGGGATTAGAAACCCTCCTCGAAGCTGCCAAGTTTCTGGAGTATAAGGCTGAGGTGGAAGCACGTGGTGAGCAATATTTCATTCGTTTTTCCTCTTCTTTTACGTATTAGCATAAATATATACACACACATCCTGGATAGATTGGTTCCAGTGTGGTCATCCATTTCATGAGTTGCATGCTAGCAGTCGAGGAAATTTGCCTATCCAAACGTATAATTTCTAACGTACACGTGGCACTGTGTGTAGTACTCGGCTATTTTCCTACGGTGTGTCTTGTCTGTCTCGGCAAGTTTCACAATACTACCGCACAGCCAAATACAATGGCGGATTGTTACATACTTATGCATATACGCTAAAACAATTTATTATACTATGATTTCTGCAGACAATGCAATTATCAAATATATTTACATTTACGTGGAGACACCAATTGTGTGTCAGGATTTGAAAGTTTTCATGATTCATCACCACCACAGGAAAAAACGGGAAGCATAACGTTATATTCTTTTACGTATCCAGCATCCGTACTCTACTGTACACACAAACACACACGGCCTTCCTTATCTGCATCATGGACAATTAAAAATAGGACTGATTCATCCAATTCTCTCCTGATAAGAACACGAATTAACTTGTGTACATATACAAAATGCGTAGAGAGTGAGATTCATGATGATGATGGTTTCCTTCTCCAGCAGAGTCATGTACATGATCCAGTATTGTTATCCTGCCAAATCACCACCAACCAACCACCACCCAATTTTTAGCCAATTCTACCTTGCAGATTTATTTTGGCAGGCTAAACATCCATCTCTCTCTCTCTCCAACTAAAAATTGCTGTTGTTCAATCCAATCACAATAATATGGGGTGGTTGGCACGAATAAATAAAGGAGGTATCGTGAGTGTTAGTAGTGATGATGATGATGATGATGCTGACGCTGTGAGATCACATTTTTTCATGAGGATTCATTTATGCAATGTTTGCTTGTTGCCAATAACCAAACCAAACCAAACCACCAGGTACTTTTTAGAGTGGTTAGGTTTTTAGAGTGGCGTGGAGCTTGTAATATATTTCGTTACGTGGCTTGACCGAGAATATATATGTTGGGTTGTTGTTTTGCTGAAAGTTTGCAACCATCCATCCATTCCATTACACGACGACGGCATGACTCGACTTGATTTCTTGCCTACGTGTAAGCACCAAACTATGTAACGAACTTGGTAGAAAGTTGCGTTGCCAAAAAGGAAGGATCTCCACTTACCATACGAAGAATGTACGTAGCACATGGCGTTTCGCTTTTGGCATGGGCGCTCTTAAAGTTGTGCAAAAAAATGTGTAGTTGCCCTGCTCCGATAGGTGAGGTTTGATGTGCTTCTACTTGCTCGAGAGAGAAAGTCCCCCGTGTTGGCTTGGCTTCATCACCATCCTATTTTCAGTTTTTGCGCATCTAGCAAACTACGTGTGAGAGCGACTCATTTTATTCACACGAACCAACCCGTTCCATACTTGTTGTTGGATGGATAATGGTTTCTAGTTTCAGAGATTGCTTGCTTTGATTTTGCAATTTTTGCCATGCCAAGACCGTAATTTCAAGAACTTTCATTTTCAAAATACAATTCCTTTATAGATTTTTCTTTGAGCATGCATGCATATCGAGTAGTTGTTGCTTTGCGGGACTTGCCGACTAGAGGTTAGAGAGAGAGAGAGGAAGAGGAGGGGACGGATGCCACGTCTCCACGTGATGAAAATCCATGGCGTGAGTGAATCACATACACTTTGCTTGTAAACTTATTTGCGTGAGTTCGGTCGGATCGTTTCGGTGCATGGTTGGTTGGTATACTTGAGTAACTTTCACTCCTCCACCACCACGCCACGTTGCTCGAGCAGATACTTTCTCTCTGCTGGCTTGGAGGGGAAAACCCTGTTGCAGGTTGCTTCATCACTACATACATACTACTTGACTCTTGGGGTGTGTAGCATTTTAGTCATGTAAATCCTACCCGTCCGCCCGTCCGTCTAGTAATTATCGCCGACTGCCTTGTTTCGTTTCCCTCTGACACCATCGTAACTTGTCGTTGAACTTGATTTCGACAAAGTCTGTCCTGTCCTCCTCTCGGGTGAGTGATGCGCTTGTCAGCCAGGTAGGTAGGCAGGCAGGCAAAGAAAGAAAGACTCGTCTGTTGTCTGTCACAACAGGCCTCGTATTTATTTTACCTTATAAATTCAGGTACTTGTTGTAGTGTAACCGCACTGCAGGGTCGATAAGTTCACCCTGTCTGAGCATGCATGCATGCATGGATCCACGTGACGCGATATTTACCAGTGACCAGGTAGATGGGCTTACTTTAATGAAATCAAGGGGATGACGAGACGCGTTAAGAGCAAAGCAAAGGGTGTCAAAAAATTAAGAATTAATATACTTAATCTTGCATCTGCTACTGGGTGGTGATGATGATGGTGGTCTCGTCTCGCTTTTGGTTATTACTTTTCTTCTAGCCAATTTTATTGCCCTGTTTTGGACAACATGTCACATTTCAGAGTTGAGCCATAAAATAAATAAACACAAATGTAGCTCACATTACGTTTTATGGAAGAAGTACGTGGCGATTTATTTATATGTATGAACCTCTGGCTGGACGGGTAATGTATGGGCTTTTGTGTGCATCGTAATGTGATACGAGTTCGTTTGGTTGGATGGATTTGTCATCATTGTCTATTCATGACTTAATTCGAAACGATCTCGCCAGAAAAGTGGATCAATGAGAATATACTAATTATTACGTATACGTATATCTTGTTTTATGTACCAAGTAGTTAAAAACCGTTGGGTCCGCATTTATACTGTGGGTGGTGGTGGTGATGGTGATGATGGTGGGTGGGTGGGTAGGCATAAAACAGTAGTAAATAATATCTATAATGGATTTACATACATGCTCCGCACATGCACACGTAAAAGTTAAAGTAACCCCAAAGAAAAAGGCGACGTATGTATTGTACGTACATACAAAATGTATGTTTTAACCTTTCGCAGTGCTCAGTGATTGTGAGACAGACGTTTTAATATGTAAATATGTACGAGACGCTATAGGTTTTTTGCACGACGAGGAGAATAATCACAACACCAAATGGAGAGATCACCATGCATACCACCGCTTTTTACTTATTTATGCATACATATATATAAAAAGAAGATGAACATAACACCCAACTAACCAGCACTATTAACCTATGAGAGTAGAGTACAGTATTATCATTATATGTACACCATACACAATGAGTTAATGACCTTTGCAAATTTCCTGCTGTGCAAATCTCGTGGGCAAGCAGTAGAAATAAATGGGAGACACGTTGCAAAAATATGTTGGCCACTAAAACTAAATAAGCACAATTGCATGGGTTTGACTACTTTGGTTTGGCTGTGGCATGACAAAAAAAACAAGCAAATGATGTCCGCCCGCATAACATGGGTTTATTTATTGGCTCTGATTTGTATGTACTCTGGGTTTGTTAGTTAGTTAGAGACACATTCTGCATAGAAATTCAGGTGTGCATGATGCAGAAGGGTCGAGGACAGTGAAATCTTTGTACAGTCTTTAATTTTATGACATCTGGCATCACTTGGTCATCTCGGATTGCTGTCATGATCCTGGTGGCGATCCGAGTCAAATGCGAAACTGTTCCTAAGATGGAAAAACAGAAAAAAAGTATATCCGATTCTAGTTGATAAAGAGTATTTCCAAATTTGTGTGGTACATGCACATCTCGCTCAACCTTAAGTTTTGAAATGTCGAGCATAACGGACGAATATTTAGTTGTCCAGAAATTCATGAAACTTTGCATACGGGAAGATATTGCGAATATATATTTTCTTATTTTCTTTTGCCAACCAACTTATTTAATACCAAATCAGTTAGATTAGTACGAGTGCAGCCGTGGATGTAATGGCGTGAGTGATCATGAATGGTGGGAGAAACTACTGCGTTGTTGTTTTCTACTCACTACTCGCATTAAAATGTGACCCCAGTGAGTGCAAGTTGCTTCATGTACATACAGTCTTTGCAGCTTTATTTTATGGGCATCAGTCAGTGGATGGATTTTGACATTTAAAAATGTCTGCGTCTCGTCTTCTTGACTAGATCAAAAAAGCAATAAGTAAAGGATACGTGAGACTGAACTGAACTGACTGAACTGATGGATTAACTCCTCATGATGTTGTTATGCAAACTGAATAAAAATGCAACCGTGAGCGTGAGTCAGACCAGATTTGCACCATCACCATTACCATATAGGTAATTTTCGAGACTATTTTTTTCTTATGAATTCGCATCGATCCTCTCCGCTCTCCTCCTAGGCATGCACGCAGACTTGTTGTGTTCTCCACTGACCTCTTCCTCGCCGACTTGGAGCGACCATGATACTCAACTATTTTCCATTTCGCAGCTTTAAGAAGTTTGCCAATTGTGCGAAACTTGTTTTGCGGAGAAGAAGAAGAGATTATTGCTGTTTTTCTTCTTCTTCTTATACATATTCCTGATCTCCTGCAATATAAGGCGTGGTGATGGTGGCGATATACATAGTCTAGCGATGGTATCCGACGGACATGAGGGGCTCAATTTTTTAGAAGTGTGCAAGACTCGCCTATGTCTACCTATACCAGATATCGAGATGCCCGATGTCTAGTAAGCAATAAGTTCACAATAAATAAGTAAAAGTAGCAAGCAGTACGTACACGTATAGTGTGTAGCTGATTTAGGTGGTGCTACATACGTGTGCGAATAATAATGTGAATCATAGACCACGAGTTGACAAAAGTCAGCAGAGTTAATGACCCCCTTTTCCTCATTGTGAAATCTACTTAACTATGTATATAAACTCGCGAGATTCTCTCACGGTATGCAAATATATTTCCATTTGTCACCACCATCCCGACTTTTTTCACCGGCTTCATCGCGCAAAGAATTCGTCGCAATTCGTTCTTTTTTTCCAATTCGTCTCGTGGCGTGGCATGGCACGGCAAACATATTAATGACCGGGTTTTGTGTTTTTTAGCCGTGGTGTGGTAGTGGTGGGTGATGGCGAATTTCGCAACATGAGCATGTGTGACACCGATATGTAGGAAAAAATGGGTTTCGTTTGCAATTTTGCGACGACTAAATAAAGTGAGCAATGTGTGGGTATTAAGGAGAGGAGAATGATGATAATGTGTGATGCTTTGTTTGTTGTGTGTTCTCATTGGTGGGTTTGGTTTGCCGATCGCAGTTTTCAAGTGCAGGTTCATTGAAATGCTTACTTTACTTGGCAGCCAGTACCAGAGCATACCGAGTAAACTGCGTGGTGCCAAAAAACTATGCAACATATATTCCACGTACATGTGACTGACGGGAGTGAGAGGTTGTGAAAAAAAGGATGAATGACGATGGACATTACATATATATACATACATACGTGAAGTTGGTGGACCGTGTGCAAAAACAGAGAAAAATGCTATTATTCGGGCCGGGGTTATGGAAATATAATATGTTTGCATATCGAATGGATATAGATTCGATTTCTTTCTTGGTAAAGTTCAAGCTCAATAATTTTGCACGTCGCGTATATTTTATTTGCACAGAGTTTGACGCAGGGTTTTGTGGTCGTTATGAAATTAAAAAAACTTGGTCAGTTTAACAGTCTATTGATGATCCAATTTGAGACGAGGATCAAAATGCTTGAAAAATACATGCTCCTACCAACCATTCATCACTCTGACTTGAGAAAATGTGCAATAATTTCGACTGATGTGAATGATAGGTCACAAAATCCATGCCCAATATTCGCAATCATAACAACGAAAGGCGCAACCTGTAGGTTAGAGCGATGCGATATGTGGTACGTCGAGAGAGGTGGGTTTAGTTCACTAAAAACGATCGATCCCTCCATCCCCATTGATTTCGTAACTTAACTGACAATCAAAATACTATACACATACGTACATGTGGTGTCTGTTCGCTATTCGCAAATAAATTGCAACGCTCTCCTCTCCTAGAAGAAAGGAAGACGAGTCCTACTTCGCAAATGTTTTACGGACGGGGCAACTATACCCATCTCCGTCCGTGTCTGTGATACTATGTATGCATGCATGCGAAATTTGTTGGGGATCGAGTGCATGACATGCCTGCCATTCTATCCGTGTATGTAAACACACCAACCAACCCCACCAGCAGTACCGACCAGACCAGATCATCCTCCTCCGAGAGGTTGTTCATGTACATCTCTCAAAAAGATTATTATTATTGTCGCCGTCGTATGGCGATATTTACCCCCACGAGGAAACTCAAACCAAGCAGTAACACGTTTCATTTCATTGCAAACACCAAGGCGAGATAGGTCTGGCAGTAGATCGACCAGTTAACTAGTCCAGTTCTAATTTCATGTAGTTTTGTCTGTTGGCAGATTCTCTCTCTTCTGTTCATACTTTGCCAATCGTGCAGTTTGGTGGTTTGGGTTGCGCATCTTTTTGCAAGTCGTCGTCGTCGTCGCCTTCGTCGTCGTTCTTCCTCCTGCTGCTGCTGCTGCTTTCCTGCTGCAAGACGAGACCAGGCAGGAGGAGAAGAGTTTTAGTTTTGCAAACAAAGTTGTCGAGTTGGTGGAGTGGTTGGAGTGTGGAGTCCATTAATTTCTGGTCGTAGTTTACTCTAGTGGATTGCATACTCGTCGGCGGATTGGTTTCGTGGTTCGCATTTCGTGTGTCTATGGTACAGGCGTACGTGAGAAAGAAGGGGTCATGATGACGAGCTAGTTAGTGTTTTGCATGCGTCGTGCCTGCGTTTTTTAGGGGGGATACTTTTAAATTTTCAGAAAGTAGGTGACTTTTTCCTGAAAAAAAAGTGTCATGGTGTTGTCGATTGATACGTTGCTGACTTACTTGGTGTAACTCGTTGCGACGACCATGTTTCCCAATAACAAGTCGGACCGATTGTTGTCCTTGTGACATTGTGATATGCATAACAAGAATGCAAACAAAGCGGAGACAGCTCGTAGTAATAAGTCTGTGCCAAAATTCTGCATCCTCCATTATTATGAACGACCAGGAAAGGGTTCACATCCCTAAGAAGAAATGGATAAGGGATTATTTCACTCTAGGTGCATGCACTTCTTTCTACATGATAAGCTACATACATATATGCAGAACCTCTAGTTTATGATGTTTGGTTTCTTTTAAATAAAATCATGCTAATTCCTTGTCTCATTTTAATTTGCAGGAGAAAAAGGATTCCCAGCCTTACCTAGCAATAGTTCTTCAGCCCTGCTCCTGTCCTCCTCCTCTTCATCTTCGAATACCAATGGTTACACGACCAACAATCACCACAACAACCACCACCACCACCATCACCAGAACAATGTGATCCACCAGAATGGGGGTGGTCACTATGCGGCGTCATCTCCGTCTTCCTCCTCGTCCTCCTCCCTCCCCTACCACAACTCCAAGATCATCTCCAGCAACGCGTCAAGCATCCCGCGAGCAGTACCTGAATCAGCGAATGGTTACAAATTATCGGACCATTCCTACCGGCGCGGCCAACTCAATACGTCTCCGATTTACGAGTTTAATGGAGGGACCAACAGAGCTTCGAAAGGGTAAAAATAAATTCATACATATGTTCAATCCTTGTAACCGTGTAAACTTTGTACGTTGGAACGAGCAAGCAATTCACTTGACTCTAAAACTTTTGACTTTGTTTGTGCACCAAGGTCACAAAATTTACACAGTTTAATTAAGATTATGGTTATTTGCTTAAACTTATTTCGATGTATTGCTGTTCCGTCCTCAGAAACAATTCAAGCAGCAGTAGTAGCAGTAGCAGTATCATCTCGAACAGTAGGAATTCTGGGACGCGAGAAGTGCACAATAAACTGGAGAAGAACCGCCGCGCCCATTTGAAAGAATGCTTTGAAATGTTGAAGGGTCAACTCCCCTCTTTCGAGGATAGGAAGATCTCCAACCTAGCAATACTGCGCAGTTCTCTGAGATACATACAGGTACATACAGGGTTTATGGTTTCAGTTGTCCAGTTTTTTTATTAAAGCGATGACGACTAGACTGACCATTTCCATTTCCCTGTATTTCCCTTCCAGACTCTCAAGAGGAAGGAGCGAGAATTTGAGCATGAAATGGAGCGTCTCGCCAGGGATAAAATCGCCCTCCAACAGCGCCTCTCCACCCTCAAGAAGGACATGTTGGGCAAGTGGGATCATCTCGATTGGCGGGCCATTGTACCGGAAGACTTGGAGTTGGAGTTGGACCAACCCGACGGCGCAGTCGATTATGCGAGGAAGCAGCAGCAAGAACAACTCGTAACCAGGAAGATGAGCAGCAGTCCGGACGACGACGGGAACCAAGCCATCGAATCTGATCCAGAAGAAGAAGAGTCGGATGATTCTCACAATTATCCGATTTCTTTGTCGATGAGCAATGGACATCATAATGGTGAGTTTGAGGAAGAATTTGTTTCTGGTGCTTATTTTATCACTTTATATTATTTTGGATTTTATTAATTTGGACTGATTCCTTAGGTGACCGAATGATGTCGGAGAAGAAACACTACGGACAAATTAATGGCATTAATGGAATGTCTGGCCCTGGTCCTATCAGTTTGGTCACGGCGACAAAACTTAGCTCTTCTCCATTGGCGGCTATTACCGTTGAGAAAACTGCTAACTCTCCAGTCGGTAAGGTTTCATAATCATTACAAAAAAAGTAGTAATTATTTCGTGGCCTAATTATTTCTCTCAAAATAAATAGGAGGCGCCAGCTTTGTGAACTGCATCACAAGTTCTCCCACAGCAAAAGGTAAATTCACCATACACAAATTTGTCAAAAAATTCCCTAAATAAATTTACAATCTTTGTTTGTTTTCCAGGATTCTCAGTCCTCTCCAATTCAACAATGGCTATAAACTCTCGCATGGATATGGGTCAGTATTACGACGAAGAAAAAATGTGTAAATGACATGTCTAGTCTACTACATAAGGGTATATTTACAAGCATACAAATTTCCTTTGAGAAAAAATCATCATCAAACCTAAAAGTAAACAAAATTCAGATCAAGCAAGAAAACAAACAAAATTATCACTCCGTAAAATTAAAGAAGACTCATCTATACTCCTCCACATACCAGCACAACTATATGGATTCGATGATGATACAGAAAAAAACAAAAATGTTGTGCAACCTTTTCTCTAATATTCCACACACACACACAGCCCGACACGAGTCGTCCTCCCTTGTACTAATTATTGTTTTAATTTATATAAGGCGTCTTCTAAATCTCATTGGGGGAGGGATGCAGGGATACAGCATGCGTATCCATCCAGATCCACATTTATACCTAGATAAATTTTATTAACTAGTTTGTAACTGGTAACGGTAACTCTATACATAGATGTAACTATGTATCTCTATATATATATTATTAGGTACGTAACTATTTAGTGCGTGTAGTAAGTTAAGTACAGTTACGCTATAGGTTTAAGAAAGAGTCAAATTTCCATTATTATCATCAAGAAATAACGATTCTTGGCATGTGCATGTTGTACTGTAGATTTTATTCTATCCAATTATCATGATCACTATTAAATATTTACAGAAACAGGAGGAAGGAAATGTGGTCAAGTTTGACATTAGCTATTTATTTTCTTGAGTGGTGGTGTCATTTGAGTGAATACTAATATATAAGATCGGAAAGAAGTGTGTTGACTATGCGTACGTAAATTTCTCTGGTGGAGGAAGGAGTGACAAGTTGTCAGTGTTATTTATTATTAATATTATTATTATTATCGTCATTGTTATACAACAACTACTAAAAGCAATGCAAAATTAGTACAGAAGGTGGAACAGGGACGAGTATAATGCAGAAGAGGAGAGAGTACATAAATGATGGAAATCTAAAAAAAATGTACATGGAAATCTAACGATGTGCCGATTTTAGCCAGGTTTTAACTCGGCAGAAAACTTTTTTAAAAGAAATGGAAACATGACGGAAATGGTGTACAGAAAAAGGGAAATGTTGTACCATAACTCCCGTCGGGCGAGGTTCCGAATTCTTCTACGGAAAGGATGTCAATTTTGAACCCGTTTTCCCAGAATTTTAACAGTTTTTAAGCAGCACATCTATTTTAACAAGATCGAAGGAGGATCGCATAGGATGATGTAGTAAATCCTTGAAAGAAAGCACCTCATTTTGGTGTAGAGTTGTGGATTGGGATAGTTAAATAAGCACTGTACGTGTCCATAATAATTTGCATAATAATACTGCTACTCTTTTTGTCCTCCTCGCCTAATGGAAATATGTATTTCATCTTGTATACGAGAGCAGAATCCTAAAAGAAAGCACTAACAATATCAGGAGTGTAGCACACACTTATCTTACGCATAATAACGAGGTTGACAATTTTGTGTCTCTTTACGCCTTGCATTGTTTGATGAGGCGATTAAGAATGGTAATTAAGGATTGTCTGTAAAATTAAGTGCTGTTGTATAATGCCAAGAATTTATAGTTTTAATATTCTCCAGCCGTTTCTGTTCTAGTAATCAGCACGATGGGCTGTCTTATCCATGCTTATCTTGTTTTTTGGGAGAAACAAAAAATGCGAGATTTCTCCGCTTAATAGATTTTTCCCCTGTTTTACTCTGTTGTGTGGATTCTTCCAAATTACGAAACCCAGACCTTTTACTACTGCGCGAGGATGTGTAGCCTTATACAAATAAATATTTACGAGTCCTTTGTGAGTGGAATGTATAGATAAAGTGGTGTTGTTATCGGGGTGTGGGTGTAGGTCATCCAAAAAAAATTCCTAAAATGATACTCAGAAAGAATCATTTGTATAAAAACATGGAGAGAAAGTTTGCCAATTTTTTTTTGAGCTGGGTTTGAGGTGACGCGAGTGAGTTACATGGGAAAAGGCAAGAATATAAGGACTGATACATACTTGTACTGTAATGGATGGCACTACTAAACTATTAAACTCCGCGTAATTAACTGCATTCGCTCCTCCTCCATCAATTAGACGAGGTTAATAAATTATACTACAAATTTATTTATGTCACTTTTTGGAAAACTTAAATTTGTAAGGGAAACAGGAGTGGGGCAGATAAGTCGGAGAATGTATATAGATAAGGAGAAGCCAAGAAAGTCTCAATATTCCCATCAGGCAGAGAAAATAAATAAATAATCAGATTCCTCTTGATTATTTGTAATTAATTAAAAACTACATGATAATACAATGAAGATTGACTGAAATGACTGACTGCTTGATTATTTAAGTCTAGGTAAAACTAGGGATTAATTAATTAATTAATTAATTAGAGGGCGAGGTGACGTGACTGATAAGATAATATCAACCGGGCAGATAAGCACTAAGATACTAAACAAATCTTTTAAATAGATCAAATTTAAGCAGAAAAAACTTGGTATTAACACAAAAATTTAGCTAAGTAGTTAGTTATCATCTTCTAACTATCAGAGGAAGATTTTGCCTACTAGGATTTAAAGAACACGTTAGAAAAATTAAAATTGCTGCTGCTCATCATCAAATTTAATTATTCTAAGTTATCTTATTTTGGCACAATTAGAAAAGAAATGTTGTTTGACTTGTTTGCTATTACTACATATTTAGAAAGGAGGAAGGAAAAATTTGAGAAAAATCTGTGATTTTAAGTCTCTGTTGCTTTATCGTTGTTTAAAATGTGTATGAAATATTTTGTGTTATATAAAAAAACGATGGGTTCTCCTTTTTTGTGCCCGTTAAATAATTATTATTCTCCATTTGCATAATTTATGGCATAATATTTGTGACTGGAATAATAATAGTAATAATTTATTTAAAAATCAACCGTATTTCTTGAGGCAGGGGGAGTCTGTGGTCTCCTTAAGTTTTAAGTGGAAATTAATTATTTTGGTCAAAAGGATGGATAAACAGAGAGAGACAAGTAGATAAGTAGCTTACCCTCTCTCCTCCTCATGATAACTAACTAAATGTAACTAAGGTCATGTACATACATATGTAGATCATGAAATGAACAAGGAAAAAGGGAAGAAAAATACAAACAAAATGCAGAAAAGCAAAACAGAAAACAAACCAAATACTGAATAATTACTAAAATAAATAGGTAAACTAGGTAAAAAAAATAGTTAATCAACTCGTAAAGCACACCTCGTAAGAAGGACACGACTTCATAATTGATACAAGTATTTAAAGAAATGATGATGTACAATATTAAATGCTGATGATGATAAATACTTGGCGATGGATACGTATCGTATCGTGCCCACGTGTCATGATAAGGTTTGTTATTTAATACCTGTTAAACTTTAATTAACCAAACCGGATCAAGACAACTGAGCCAAGCGGTACATACTTATCCATCATCGAAATTGAAATTCATACACCATTACCCACCTCTAAAAAATAGTGGAGTTTATATAAAATAGACTAGTTAATTAACTGTAATTAAGCGTGGTGACGATGATATACACTAATTTACGTTTAATGATTATTTAGAACGTGTTAATTAACTTTACCAGCACCACCACCACGCCACCACCAACACCATTTTATCAAACATACTTAAAACGATACGATGGAGCTGTGAAAACTCTTCTGTAAAATTGTCTCAGTCGTTTTTCTTAACACAAATCGATGAATGATACAGTCGAGTTGAGAGGTCAATTAATTAATGTCATGGTCACGACGTGAAGATAATTTCCTCATTATTATCTACATTATCTATTACTAATTATTTAAATAATTAAATAATTGTCTCGTTGTTCTTGCAACGAGAGAAGGGACAAGTTGATAAAACCAATGTCTAAATAAAAGAGAGAAAGACAAAAAGGATTTAAAATCATGATGAGTTTGGTTGGTTATCGATATTTTCGATAAAAGCGATATGGTTTATCTGCTACTGATGTAACCCTACTCATTACCTAATCCATCTACCCTTTCTTCTCACAAATTCGATTTATCAACCCCTCAAAAAAAGAAGGATGATGATAAGAAAACCAGAATTTCATAAAATTTCAAACTAAAAATATGAAAACTAACCATATTACTAGTTAGTTAATTAACTAATTAATTAAATCAACTACTACTGCGAGGACTTCGGATACATAACAAATATAAAATATACATCTTGCTACAAGTTTACATGCCAGTTCAAACAAAAAAGGAAACCTATAGAAAATGGATTTCCAAAATGAAGATATTGTACGATAAGTAATTAAGATAAGTAAGTAAAGTAAAATACTGTACTGTGTAACATTAGTGAGATCAACAAGTATAAGATAAGCCAGCCAGACACGGAGAGGAGAAGAAGCAAAAATGATGACGAGGCGAAGAAAAAATAATAAAAAGAAAAAACAGACAAAGTAAAAACAAAATTGTCTTTTGCATATTCATTTATCCATTTTATTTCTTGGGGCATATATTTCATACTTCATCAATTTACAAATTATACAATTAATCATAATGTACATACAGAGGGAAAATCGTGGTAGAAAAAAATTGAGTAATTAAAAGAAATCGTTTGACAGACACAATTTTACTTAAGTTAAAATTTTTGGTTTTGTTAATGTTTCACCGGTATATATGTACACATCCATCCATAATGAAAGAATTAATACATAATAGATATTTCATTATAATTTTGTATACGATAATTAACTAGGAGGAGGAGAGTACTTTCTACCGTGGACGATTAAATACAGGTAATTAATGAAGGTTAAGTCTATCCTCTTAAATAATACACAAGTACGATAAGATTTGGGTATTTACATTCATTTCATTTCCTGATGATAAGTATAGAATTACTCGTACCTTTATATTCTTTTCATTTCACATTATAATTTATATCACAGCAAAACAGTGCTCAATTAACGTTAGATGACGATAATTACTGCATAATTTTGTTTAGTTTTACTCATCTCCCCTGAAATTCTTCTCATCAATCTTTTCTTTCGGTAAGTATATAGCAGTCGAGAAAATTAGACTGATTTTGATTTTGATAAGGTAGCAAATTAATTAACGAATTACCGCCGCCGCTCCTGTTTTTTCTGTTTCAGTTGTAATTAGTAATAAAAACAATTAAAATGTTAAATTCTAATTAATATGTATAAGGAAGAAGGCTTGCCTTTCTTGCACGTATTTTTTACTTAAGCTAAAGTTTAAATCTAAGTTCTAAATACTAGAATTTGGTTGGTTTGGTTCATTTTTAGTTAATTGTAGTTCCTAATCCGTGGGTCGTTTTTCGCTGTGTTTGCGAGTAAATTCTTCCGCATTTTTGACAAACTTTCGCCTATCTTTGACATACTCTTCGGCGAGATCGGCTCTGAGAGGGTGTTCTGGTTCGGGATCGTTTACCAGGGCGACCAAGGCTTGAATCACTGCGAGAGAATACCAGCATTCAAAATCAAATATTTAACCAAGCAATAATATAACAATCTTGGTAACTGTGCAAATTTCTATATTAAGTTTGTCAAGTTACTGGAAAGAAGTATACACAAATCTGAGCCCACACAATCCCCAATCATTCTTTCTATTTCTAATTTTGTAACAATTTGTAAATCCTTCTCGCAAAATTTGCACAATTTATAAATGAATTTTTTAATGATATAGAACCTTGATCAGTTTTTGTAGCTGGCTTCCAGTTTTCCGCACTGATGATGGGGAGGCAGACTTGACCTTTCTCGTCAATGTTGGGATGATAAATTTTGGTTTTAAAGTTAATCTTTGGAGGCTTAAATGGATACTCGGCTGGAAAGTTTATTTCGATTCGAAAGGCACCTTTGTTGTAAGGAGCGTTTTCCTGTAAAAAAAACATCAAATTGTGCATACGTGACCATTTCGACTATCAAGTGAACCATGCACTTACTGGAACGATAACGCCTTGCCAATACAAGATGTTGGTTTCATCCACGGTAATGTCTCGGAAGGATCGAACCCCGTTACTCCGGAGGTCTTGGAGTTCCTTAAAAAAATAAAATTAGTTAGCACAGTTTATCATTCAAAAATTCAAAAGTTTAACTTTACTACCTTTACTTTGCTTTGTTTAACTTTACCTTTTGAAGTCGTCTCGTCGCCGCCATTCTTCTTTGGAATATTAATACGGCTTTGGTAGTTTTGTTAACCAACTGTATAAACTGGAAAGAAAAGAAAAAAAAAACTATTATTTCATTTGACAAACAAATTGGACGTACTCGAGTGAAGTGCATTTCTAAGCTTCGCAAATTTGCCACTTGAAATGATACATATTTTTCTCAACCTAATTTACACTGAAAATCTGACGTGAATACCATAAAATTTTAGAAGTTAAAAACCTACACAATTTTCCGATACAATTTTCTACCCAAAGTTAGTACTTGAACTGATATTCAAAACAATAATTAAAGAAATGACACCTTCCACACAGTCACATTATCGATTTACAAACAAGTAAACAAGTCAAACCCCTACTTTTCAATGAAAATCCCAGTAACAATCAATCCCTAACTTTTTTTTATCTTCTCATTTGTCATTTCTTTCTAATTAGCCCTTTCGAAATTATCAATAATACTCATTATATTATTATAATTGTGCAATGTACCCTCAAGCAGAAAGTAACACCCAACACCCAGAGCTATTAAACAACGACACAATGTTGAAAGTCACGAAAAGCATTAAATTTTATTATTATTCTTTCCTCTTCCTATTTACCTTTAACGTTTGTTTTCTCGTCCACGGACAATGGCACCCCTCAACTTAACTTTTGCCGGAATGACAACTTTCAAATTATGAATGACAAAGTGACACCGATTTTTTTCGATAGACAAAAAACGGGCCACGAAATAAAAAAATCACACAATACGATGCTTATCTATATCGGAGTTTATCTTGTCCTTTTATCTCCGGTATTTCTTCTCCGTCCGTCCGGTGGAGAGAGACGAGTTCAACTGATCAAGTTCGAACTTGCTGGCTAAACCAAGGGAGAGAAGGAGAGCAGACCCATCACCAAACAAAATTCTGAGAAACAAAGAACAAAAACGTTAATAAAATATAGAATGCAAAAACGTATTTCAAAATCGCACCGACAAAAAAAACACCCAGAAATTTTATCAACCTACACAAATATTTTGATTCAAATCACAAAAAATTAGGGAGATAGATAAATAGATAGCTATTTATTTTTTGGCGAGCAGTAAAACTTTCTCCTTGTGGGCTTGTCGTTTACGTACTTACGTTCATAGTTTGGCTTACTCACTTTATTACGATCGAGATAAATGCTCATTCATATAATATCATAATAGTCGTGATGATGATGATGACGACGATAATAAATAATCGCAACCTGGGAACAACGGTGGAGCCAATCTCACTTAACCTCTGGGGGAGAAAGCATGACGAGAAGATCGAGATAGTTTGTCATGTCATAGATATTTTTGGGGGGTGTGCCAAGCCAACTACCCAAATTCATAAGCATTTACTATTTTAATTAAATTGGTGGCAAAGTAATTAAATGATGGGTACTGGTTCGATGAATGTGGATGTATGCAGCCCAATTAATGCTTCCCTATGTGTCGGCCAAGTTATAGGAAAGTAATAAAAGAGCTAGCTACCTGCGTATTATTCCTTCGTAATGGATGGATGGATGGATGAAGGAAAAGAAAGCCAGTCGGGATATCGTGTCATAAAATAAAATACGGGGCAGTCTTTGGAGAAAGCTAAACGGAAAGAAAGTTCGTTGGAGAAAGGAGAGGCGCATTAATTAATGAATAAATAAAGGTCCGATTCACCGACGGACGGGCATGACACACACGAGTCTCAAAATTAAGATAAATATTCAACACTTTTAGTCAACTTGATTCAGGCTGAAAGCATGGGCAACTAAATTGGTCAAGGAAGCAAATATATCTGTAGTCAAACTATATAAATGGTGATTTTTCCGAGCTTTCTTGAGAGATTCGAACATAATGCGAACAGAATGTTATGTCAAGTATTTAAAATTGTGGGAAATTTGTCGATAAAAAATTTACATATTTGTATATCGTATGCAATCCCGAGAGAAAAAGTTGGACTGTATTATCTAAAATTTACATCATTTTACATGAGTAGCATATCAGAGCATCAGGTAGTGAAGAGAAATTTTACTCGCATCAAGTAAAATACATGCACTGTTGTAGAGATTTAAATATTTGGGTTTTCAATAATTGATATTTTTAGTTTTAAATATTTGACCAGACCAGATTTCGTATGAGAGTAGAATTGAAATTTGTCATAGTAACTTGTACTTGTACTTGTATTTGTCATAGTTCACTTGTACGTATTCAAAAAATGCACTGTGGGCCACCCGACCGATTTTAGCGGACCGTATAAAGAAATTGTATATTGAAAATTTATCTCCAGACCTCTGCTTTGCATGTGGTCAAAAATTAGTTTAAAATTCTAATTCATATTCCGAAAATTTTTTTACGAGTCCCGATCTTTAAGATATTTAAGGTTAAAATTGACCTTAAAAAATGGCATCCACCCGATGGGTGTACCCCAAAAACCGGTGGCAACTAATTGACTTCGGCTATCGGAGCTAAATCCTTAGCTTCAAAGTCATCATAATTAAACTAACGCCTTTTTTAAGGCAAACCGTGCCCTAAAATACTCCCAAAATAAGGGCTCACAACTAATTATTTCCTGTAATATGAAACTCTACTATTTCTAAGCCTATTCTTTGAGATAGCCGGATATAAATTTAACATATATCTCCCATCTAAAAAGTTCAGTCCACCTAAACGGTTGAACTGGCCCATAGTGCATCCCCTACACTATTGCTATGACCTGTGTGAGAGGTGAACGTCGGTGGTGGTGGTAGTGCTGGTGAGCTGTCAAGTCTATGTGTACACACAGAGGAGTGAGACTGGCCGAGAGTGGAAAACTCAAATCAGGCGACAGTCCGTCGCATTTTAATCGGGGTTGTGCAGTTTCCTCCAGTTTTCATAATTTGGATTTGAATTTTGAACCTTCCGTGACCTCTTCACTCCTCCCTTTTCTTTTTCATGAAGGTCGTTTCGTGGGCTTCTCCCATTGGCTGCCAGACTGAGAGAGCCCACTTCTAGGCAGCTCTAGGCTTCCGTCTCTGTGGAAATCCTCGTCTAAATTTTTCAGTGTCCAACAACGACTCCGAGGAAGAACAAGTGCCTCAAGTAGTCTCCCCTCGGCTAGAAGTGTAATTTTTTGATAGCATCACTTTTTCTAATTATTGTAATTGGCTCAACGTGTGTGTGACACTGTTTTGGTCTCCTTCCTTCCTGCACAGGTTCCTATATCCCATCAGGATGGAACTCCAAATCAACAGTGGTAGTGATCAATGTCACAACAGCGACACCAAAATTTGTAATGGTAGAATTAGTAGTGGTAGTAGTAGTGGAAATTATGACAAAGTGGAGGAGGAGGAGACGTGTAGTAGTAGGAGTAAGAAGGGGAAAGGGCGGATTATGTATGATAAAGTGAGGAAAACAAAGATAAATTGTGTTCTTTTTTTTACAAATTTTGAATTTTGCGGAAGGAGCTATAGTCTAATTATTTTCTTCGCAGAGCTTTCTCATGAAGTGCTCCAAGTCTGCTGTCTCACGGCAAAAACCAGCCGATTTTCCTCTACCAGACTTGGGATGTACTTTGGGTGCTCTCAAGTCGTCGAAACCTGCGACCCCGGTTCCGCCTAGCGTGTATGTAGCGTAAGTTGATATCTATAAAATAGTTAGGCAAGCTTTGTAATGAATGCGCAAACTTTGGCAAGTTGCTAAAAAATTAGTAAGCAAATCTAAAGCTGCATCCATAGCCCGTGATTTGTTGTTACGTTGCGCGTATATGCATCCATCCATGATTTTCTGATTGGTTGATTTTATAATTGCTATGGTGATTAACATGCTGAAACCGTGAACTGTGAAGTTATCATCAAATCACGAACAAATCAAGGACTATGGAGGAGTGTTTCCATTATATGCATGTATCTCGTAAAACTAATTGGTTTATTAGATTACAAAGCAGCTTGATGTGAATGTTGTTTATGTTTAAATGTTGAGTTCGTTATTAATTGGACTTTTATCTGTGTTCAGACCACGCAGGAAAGACGAGATTGGTGCAGGAGGCGGTAACGGGGGACGACGTGGTCTCGATCCCAGTGACAATATCAGTCTAAGACCTCACAGCGGCTCTTTCGTTGGCGGTTGTTCTCCCGTGTCAACTTCCCAGTCGAAGTACTACGACCACCGAACCGTCCGTGATAACAACAGAGGAGACCGTGATAGAGATAACAGAGGAGATCGTGACCCACCTCAGCCTGGATACCGGGACCGAATGAATTATCGAGACGACCGAGACACCGGTGATCGTGATAGGAGGGGAGGAGACAGAGATCGAGACCGCGATCGCGATCGACCCAACAACCGAGCTGGTGAGTCCGGACGTCCAGAACGAGTTGTCTACAACTCGCGGTGGGGTGAGAAGCCGGAAAGTGGCTGGGACTCGTCCTCGTCAAACTCGGTCTACCATGATACTCAAGGAGGTGGAGGAGGAAGCAACAAGTGGAATAATTATGCACCAAAGAATGGTCGTGGCGACGGAATCTCGTCTGGACCAGGAGGACATTATGAGAAAAAAGAACATCATCACGGTGGTCATCGAGATTACAATAATCGGCGAGGAGGACGTGACAACCCTCGAAACGACGAACAGGATGAACCTGAGTGGTTCTCAGGTAATAAAAATATTAACACAATTCACGATATAAGTCTTAAGAAATAAGATAGCTTATTAGAATAATAAATCAAAGACCCAAAGACCGCGTCTCTCATTTTGCAAAGTTTCAAAGGCGGCGTTAATGACTATGCATATAATATGCTTATCCTGAAGTTTTCTTATCTTCTGGTGTGCTATATCTGTAGGTGGTCCAACCTCTCGACATGAAACCATGGAGCTAAGAGGTTTTATGGACGACGAACGGAAGGATATGGCCAACGCAGGCGGCGATAAGAAAAATAATCACAAAGAGATTACTAAGGGAGCGACTGAGACTGAAAAACCATCTGAGACTGCACAACCCCCACAAGATTTTTCCACGTCGCATGGCTTCTCCACTGCTCAACAGAAGGAAGAACAACCCGCCGTGGATTCAGCCTTCAGTTTGGAAAAGATATTGCAAATGGAAAAGATTCCAGGAATCCATGTACGCAATTTAAAATTTAACCATCTAATTAACAATGTTTTTAAGTATGTTTCTAATTTTCCAAAACAATGTCTAGAACGAGTCGGAGGAGGGAATTTCGAGATTTTCTAAATTTTTTCAAAAGAATTCTGAAAATGAGCAAAAGACTGCGGAGCCTATACCGCCTCCAAACAAGATGGAGGCTGGGAGCAGCTATATCCCTAGCGAAAAGATCTTGTTTGTAAACCTTCTCCGATCGTCGTCTCTCGCAACAAACACGAGTGTTGTCCATACGCCTGAGGAGTCTGGGCCTGGTAAGCATTTTATTAAGTAGCTTCAGCTACTTTATGTGAAGACTTTGTCTGTCTGTCTGTCTGTCCGTCTGTCAGCAGGATAACGGGAGAACGGATAAAGATACTTGAAATCGGTTTTCGCCATCATACATAAGACCCCAGGGGGAGGATCCTATCAACTTTTGGGTGCAACCGGACCACACCCCCTGGCGCCAGGGGGTGTGGTCGGGGCAAAATGAGATTTTTAGTGCAATTGATTCTATAGATGAATTGGAGTGAAATTTTGTGTATCCCTGAAGTGTCACAACTCCTGGGCGCCAGGGGGTGTGGTCGGGGCAAAATGAGATTTAAAAAAAAATTGAATCTATAGCTGAAATAGAGTGAAATTAAGTGTTCCCGAGTTGTACCACACCCCCTGGGCGTGGGGGTGTGGGTGGGGGTGTTGTCGGGGAAAAATGAGATTTTCAGTGAAATTAAAAAAATGGATGAAATACACTGAAATTAAGTGTTCCCCCGCTGTCGTGGGGGTGGAGTGAATCTGAAGCTACTTCCGTATGCGCGTTTGCGAGGGTTTATTTATTATCGTAAATTTTATTCGAGAGGTTTTCAAATTATTATAAAATGAACGTGCCAATTAATCAAGATCGACGTAAACCTAGCAAGGTGTTAAGCTTTGTTTTGGCAACTTTGTAGTGTTCATATTCCTAATTACCATACTTAAGTTGGCATGAATCTAATTTTTTTAGAGTTCATATTTTTTATTTTGATTTTTTAATAGCAGAAGATAAGAAGGAGATTGTTGCCGAAATGGGGAATGCGTTGCGAAACATGCTACAAATAACTTCCAAGAAGAATGCTCCAGCAGATACATCGGCACCACCAGCTCCATCAGACCCATCAGCACCACCAGCTCCATCAGACCCACCAGGTCCATCAGCACCACCAGCTCGACCACCAGGTCCATCAGCACCACCAGCTCGACCACCACGTGCATCTGAACTACCACCTCAACCACGACCACCAGTTGGACCACGCAACCATGGTCCCATTGGTGAACCCAAGAAAACCGAACCGACAACTGAGCCGCTTCCGCAATATCTTGGCGACCCCGATAATCCATACTTCGCGGAATGGCAGGAAAGACATAGAAATATCCATAAGCCCGACCTCAAGGCGTTGCTCGCTGGCCAACCGAAAGAGAAAGAGACTGGGGATCTGAGAGCTCTGGTAATTATAATTTAACAAACGCTAATAATTAAGCGTTGGTTACATTAGTAATTGTTGATTATTGTTTTTCAGCTTCTCAAATTAATCCGAAACCCAGCAGACAAAATAACGAATTCTCATCATAAGGGAGTGCCACCTAATCCAGCCGGGGCCGTCGGTCGACCTCCTTCCAGATCTCCTGGTAGTGCCGGGCCTCTTTTCGAACGACCAAGTTCTAGACTTGCTCAACAACCCGATTCCAGTCTTGACTCTCCATCCACGTCAGGTCTTGAGCCAATAAGTTCAGAGACTGAACTCGACGAGTCACAGGATTCGATGTACAGATCCGATATGCAATACACCCTTCTGCCCGACGCGAGCATTCAGCCACAAATGGAAAACATTGAACGGAGATCTCCTGGAGGAATGCATGTCATGCATGAAAATGGCACATTTAGCGGCATCATGCCCATTGATAATACTAACATGATGATGGGACCACCCATTCCAATGCAACAACAGCAATATATTCAACAACAGCAACCACAACCAGGTTTCAACGTATTTGAAACCTTGATCCGTTCACATGTGACACCCAACCAAGTGCCGCTCACTACGTTAATGGTAACACCGGTGGAGACTTGCACAGCTCAACAGATCTTGGGCTTGTTGCCCATAGAAATTGGACGACTTGTGCAACAAGTCAACCCAGATGAACATTTTTGGAATTTATCCGAGCATCAAGAGTTACTTAATGGTGAGAGTGGAAATATATAACGAATTTTCATTTCGATACACAAAACAAAACGATAAAGAAGTTATTAATTATCATGTTTTGTGCATTTTTAGCTGTTTCTACTGGCAAATACACTTTTAGGACTCTACTCCAGGATTTAATTAATGGAACTTCGTATCCCCCACCGACATTTGCGGCGCTTTTACAAATTATTCTTTCTGGGCGGCTAAAGATTCCAACATATCGACCTCCCGAGCCAGCATTCATTTTGCAAAAATTTAACCCGGTGCCGGTCCAGCCTCAACAGTTTCAAATGCAGCAACAGCAACACCCGATGCAAAGAATGCACCACCACCAACAGCATCCTCAACAACAATATCGACATGGTAAGAATTATGCATGTAATGTTTAAACTTACGCAAATATACATATAACCGTGTAAACTGCGCACAAATTCAATGGCATTACAAACTGGTAAGAAGTTAAGAAGGAGTAGATTGGTTTATGATGCATAAAATTATTGTATGTGTCGCTGTTGCCTCGAGAATTTTTTTGTAAATGGCTTTGCAACTTTACAAAGTTTTCACATTTATTAAGAGGAAATCCACACCAAGCTTTCCAAGTGAGGAAACTTTGTAAAGTTGCCAAAAAGTTTGTACACTTTTTGAGGTAACTTTGTCCACTAACCAACAACACATTTTTCACAAGCACATAATCAACTCTTATTTTTTTAAAATTTAGTTGCAGTCTGTGTTATTTCAAAATACGTTATAATGTGAAACTAACAACAATTAATAAATCAATATCGCATTCCCAATTTATCTAGGAGGTCAACACCACTACGACCATGATCAAATGCGACGCAATGCAGGCACTCCTGTCTCAAACATGGCTGCTTTTACCCCCACCAGTGTGATGCGAAAGATGACAGCCTCGCCAAAGCCTTCTCACCAGCAGAATCGCCGCACTCCTCCAGTCAGTCATCCCGAATTAAACACGGCAAATTTCAGCATGATTGTTCAACAATTGACCGGGCAGCAGCACATGCAGCAACAACAGCAACCGCAACCGCATCACATGCCCGTTCGTCAACACCGTATCACAACTCCTCTTCCGATACATCCTGGTTAGTACAAAATTCTGTAACTACAATTTGTACGATCTACTTTACACACTTTGCTTGATTTGTTGTTGAATTCCTCGATTTAATTATTAATTTTATTGCAAGCTCAAATATTTATTCAAATATTTTCCTCCCGCAGCTCAATATCAAGCTATGCGTCAAGGCCAAATGATGATGCCACAGCCGCCACGACCTCAACAAATGATGATGCATCATCACCAGAACTTCGCTCCCGTTCGAAATGTGAACCACCACAATTCGCGTCACGATATGCCGCCGCATTAGTTAAGCTTCGTTGCTAGTTTCTATATAAATCAAATTTTTCGTTCATTCTAAGTCGCCATCGTCTTCGTAAAAAGCATGAAAAAGAAATAATCAGTCCTTGTTTAAGTTATTATTGATATCAATATCATGAATTGAATTATACATCAACAATGTTTCCTACACAAAGTAATAATAATAATAATTGCCTTGAAAGATTATTATGACACGATCAGTTGGTAAATATGTGGGCGATAATATTAGAATTAAAAAGCATGAGGAGCAATCTCCAAAGGAAAGGTGTACATGCAGCTATAGGTCATTCCACACCTTAATAATTTGTAACAGTATTTCAATCCCGATAAAAACAAGAACCATCCTACACTACAGTAACTACGATAATAATGCCAGAAATGATTAGAAAACCAAAAACTGTCTAAATTTTCCTCGGGGAGTCGTATTGTTGCGTTTTCTTCCGTTTTCGAAACGAAATAAAGAAAATGTATTAAGTTTCAAAAAGTGGCGGACTTGATTTGTTAAATTATTTATGGTTCACTTGCGCCACACGTAAAAAAATGAGTAATGCAAAGAAATTGAATGGGCACAAAAAAGGTAGATTTTTAGTTGCTAAAAAACGTGGGTAGCTATTTTTGGTTGGCGAGGGCGAGAAGGAGGTGAGTCAGGGCGGGTGGAACGAGGCCGTCGCGCAGTTTGGTGTGAAGATAGGCAAGGTCAGCCGTCTCGAGGTGGTCTTTTTGATCCGAGTGGCAGCCGTGACGAAATCGAGAGGGAGTTTTATAGCAGGTGTGACATTCTGAGTTATCTTCTAGTGAATAAACGGCATAGATACGTTCACAGAAGGCGCACGTCCCTGAAAAAAAATAAAAAATTGATTTTAACATTTTCGTAAATTTTTGATACATTGAGAATTTGACAGTTGTGCTAGTGTTTAGCGATCCATGAGAGATCTGCATTTTGAAACAATATTTGACGCATTTTTTATATTTTTATCTGGAACGATTTCTGAGACTATATCTATTTTGTATATATACTACGTGTAGACTTATAAAGATTTTGATAAATTTTGCATTTTGTGGATTTATGAGCATTTATTTAATTTAGTAATAAGAACAAATGCTGCAAAGTCACACTCCTTGAAACTCACCCGTGAATTCTGCCTCTGAAATGGGCCTTTCCCAGTCATCCTCGCCCAAATAGTAGTGACACAGTTGAACCATCTCGTCCCCAGAGAAGGGTCTCCCCAACACTTCGGACACGGCGGCTTGCAACGTCTATGAAGAAGAGAGTACTTTGCATATACTAAATAATTTCGATAACTTAACCTTATCTTCTTGTCTTGTTACCTTGATCCAGATCCAGTCCTTGGTCGGATTCTCCATGGTTCGATACCGCTGAAAGATTAGGCTGTACAAATGTTTGCGAGGTCCGCTCACAGTCACATACTTTTTCAAGTAGTCCAACGGCTTCATTTCTGTCAAAAGTTTTTTCTCCATAAAACAACGATACGACGAATTACGGCGTATTGTTACTACTTACCTCTTAACGCTTTGGTGTCATTCGGCGCAAAAAACGTGGCACTGTTACGCGACCACGTGCGAGGAAAGCTAAGCCAAGTGCTTTCCTTCAAGTTGATGCTCTGGGTTTGGAATTTGGTCTCCAGTTTACGAAATTCTTGCGATATCCCGTCTATCTGAGTGTCCAAAGCGTCCATCTCCTACGAATTGGTAATGTACAATTAATGAATGGTACTTGACCGACATGAGCCGAATTAACTAACCAACTGACCTGTGGACTCCACACCTTTCCACTCAAATAATCGTCCAACACGGAATACAAGGCTTGGCGTGATTGTCGGAAGTTTTTCATGTTTTGTATAAAATTTTCCAGCCCTTCATCGCCAGGAAAGGGAAGCGGCGAGGTGGGTGATTTTGCTTGGTCATCCGCGTCCACTTCGAGCAGAGCGGTGGACGCAGAGGCAGCAGCGATGGTCGAAACTTGTGTTTCATTAGGATCTTCCACCTTTTTGACCTCTTCAGAGCCGGCACGATTTTTACTTGCCGTCTCATTTTGGTCGGAGGTAGCCGGCCCGTTTTTATTCCGGGTGCGACCATGGCGTCGCAATTTCTGAGAGGGATTCATTAATCAGAAACGAATTAGTGTACGAAAATGGCAGGGAAATTGAGACGAAATATTGCGTGTAAAAGAACCTTATGTTTCGTTGTTCCAGTTTGATCTGGATTGGCAGAGATGGTTCCTTGACCTTGGTGACCTTGAAGGTGGTTCGTCATGAAGTCTCCCCTCTGTGATGGTTTTGATCTCAGACCCCCCAACAGAGTGAGGACGGAAGAATGGAGTGGAGGCAGAGTCAACTGTGGTTGTAATTGAGGAGTAAAATTAAAAGTCGTCTCAATTTTCCCATTTCGTTGCACATTCGTGTGCTTTTGGGGTCGTCTAGAGACATCATGACCCTTATTTCCAGCTAATTTGGTTGATGGGGACGTAGGAAGGGGGAATATTATATTTGGCGAAGGAGACCCTCCACTAGAGAGGTCAAAGGTCCTGCTACCTTTCTCACTTCCACCACCACCACAGTTTCTCTCTGTCATTGATACGTGAATGCCTTCAATTACGAATTCGCCACTACTAACTGCCTTCGTCGTCATGTTTGTGACTAGCTGTGTGGCTGACCTTGACCTAGATATGACCTCACCACCACCAGCACCATGGTCCAGCCTAACTAACGGATAACTTTTCCCAACGCTAGTCAAGTATTCCGTCTCTGGATCAACTTGTCCATCTTTTCTGTCACTAATTAGTAGCAACCTTCTCACATAATCGTTCCGTCCAAAATTATCGTCATTATCGTCACCCGACTCGTCGCCACCACTGCTTGCTTCGTCACCTCCTAAACCGAGTAGAAACCTGGGGAGTCTCCTCCTCCTCGGGGTTACCTTCGCAGTGATAACCTTCTTGACGTCCCCCTCGCTGAAGGTGGACTCCACCGAGTCGAAAACTTGTTGGTAGCGGAGGTTGTGAAACAAATATTTGAAACTGCCTGCATTGTTTTTCCAAGAATTCTTAAATTGTTCCACTTTTCGCTCAATTTCTTCAATCCGCTCATAATTCCGGCGGACAAAGGTGACGAAATCGGCGGGCAGGGGGACGTCAGGGTCAAGAGAGATGGCGGGATCCATGACCTGATAGGCTACTGATAACCCTGACTTTGATAATACAGTGAGGACGGGCTGATTATGACTGAAACCGTGACCATGATTTTATGCCTAGATCAAGGTGCTCTCATCTCATCAATCGTGAGTAAATTTGTACAGCAAACAGGAACAGGCAGGAAGTAAGCACTTACTTTGGCGTGGAGAAAAGTGTTACATTATAGGAAAATGGATCGATAAGTACTTATTTAGTGCTAACCTGTCATTTCTCATAATTAAGGGGATATCATCTTACCCCTTCCAAAATCTTGGGACTGGTCGATCTCTCATATGTAATGGGAGAGCTTGACCTCTCCTTCGCCCTCTTCTTCTTCCCACCTTTCCCACGCAACTTTGGCGTCTTTGGCGTAATCGACCTCGACACGGACAAATTTCGAGGGGAGAACTGAAACAGGGCGGCGTCCGTTGTGGTGTCGTCACCCGTCGAGTCGATCGACGTTCCTGGCGTGCGAGACCCTTGTCGTCCAATCATATCGACACTTTTGACCCGACGCAGGTCAAGGATAAGAACTCGGCGGTGGTGGAATTCACATTGGCGTGTTTCCGGTTCAGGTGTGAGACAGCGACGACTCCGCTCTTCGGATAAGCTGATACATTTACGACGAGCATTAGGTTATCGTCATCATGAGGTTAAATGAGATACGAGCTTATTCAACACTGCATGGTTACCTCTTCCCTCGCGGGAGAGAAACCGACCTCCGAACCAAATCAGGGGTCAAGGGTCGTGAATCGGTTTCCGTATATTTCCTATACAAATGTTCGGGGATGAGGTCTTCTGATTTCCCCCTACTTCCGGAACGACCACCCTAATTTATATGTGCAAATATGTATAATTTGCACACTTTTTTGCATTTATTTCTATGCACCGGTATTTCCATATACCTTATCCAAATGGATGGGATGCTTACACCGGGATGAACACGCGTACCCGTACAGGTCAGGGTCGCCACCACTGTCAACACCGGGGTCATACCGAAACCCTAGATTCATCGCTTTGCCGATGCATTCCGTCAACTTTTGTACCGTGCCCTGGATGATGGATAAGAAGTTACAGAGTGACCTCGCATCTGTGTGACTGCATCTGACTGACCTTTCTCCTACTGTGCTTATGAGATCTTCTTGCATGGACCCGATGGCCCTTCGTCCCCACCGTGGGGAGCAGTCCGCTCGAGCTGAACATGATTCGACTAACTATTTGAATCCATTAACCTAAAATTATTCCGTTTCGTAATGAATTCCTTCACCCCGAGAAGCGACGCTTTCATGGATTTGTTTATTTAGTCGGCACTTTGAAAAAGTGAGAGATGCTAAATTACTAAATAAAATAGACAAACTAAAAAATAAGTTGTTTGGCAAACATAGAACGAAGGTTGAACTAATTTGTTTGATCGATAGAAGAATATTAGTACGTGAAGATGTACATATATTTAGTACATAGATTTAGAGCAAGATTTTCATGGTGGAGGTAGTGAAGAGAAAGTCGGGAATATGAGCAGGATTGTCTCAACTTTGTCCTATAAAAGAAGGAAGACATGATACACTACATAATATTAAGTTAGATCATCATTGATTGAAAATTGGCTGGAAATCGATAAATACAAATCTCATCATCATAACGTATATTTCACTTTGTCATCTAGTTTTCTTGAGCAAATCTTAACAATTTGGTATATATTCACATCTCGATGGTGGTGAAGTCACCGTAAGAATCGGATTCTGTCGGCATCATCATACATAATAAGATTTAGTAAAGCCTTTACCTAAAGGTGTACATAATGTGTCCCACTATTGCAATTCTCTGTCCATAGAAGGTTACTTAATAAGTTGGCAAGTCATGCTGGATGGCGAATTTAAAGAATGTCAAAGCCAGATATTATGCAACATGATGACATGAAATCTGACGAGATTCACTATCCGAGAGTAGTTGAAGAATTCTTAATTTGATTCAAATTATTTGAATAATTAAACTTTGTGCAAAATGGGTACGAAATTCTTTCACTATTTCCAATCACTACTGGTCACCTGATAAGTTCTTTAAAGTATTTAGTTTGTATCCTTTGATAATTTCACTCGACAGGCACCTCCCACAACTTACCAAGCACATTTTTAACGAAATTTTAGGAATTATAGAAACTTTGGTAGCTTTTTATTTTGTCACCCGATGATTTGATTTGAATTGAGAGCGCAGACATGCCTCTCTCATTCTGCTGCTTGTTTGCCTGCCTGGCTCCAATAATCTTCTCCGTGTTTCTGCAAAATCAAGTTTCGTCGTGTCCACTTTTTTTGTACGAGACACGTTCTTGTTCACTCCTCGAAAACTAATTATTTGTAGCAAGATAACCTCTTACCTGACCTTGGAGCTGGTCTTAATGATGGGTCCTGACACTTAGGTAACTATTGGTCATTATTCTTCACCTCATTACTAGGTTTAGATTAGTTTGAGGGTCACAGACAGTAATTAACTATCGGTCACTGCCCACACTCATACGACAGCGACACCTACAGGTTAGTTGGGAAGAGAGAAACGTTAACTCATGCCGAAACGTGTGGTTGGTGTGACGTTGGTCAAGATTTGTTTAGTCGAGGTCGAGACTTGGTCTTTAGTGGGTCAAGAATTGAAGCTAAAACGATATTTTCCGGTTTTTGAAAATTTCCGAGAGTACTACGTTTGTTCCTGTCCAGTGGGTCGTCTTCATAGTCTGCTGTGGTAAGTTTGAAACCTTTATACAAGTTAGATTCATGCCTGGCTGGCCTTCTATGGGTCACGTCTTCGCCACAGGGTCGCAGAGTGACCGTCTGCGGTCACCCATTAATAGGTAGTACCCATTGACAGTCACTAAATTCGAGTTTGACGTTTACTCGAGGGTGTGTGGTTGAGGGGTCGGTTTGCTTATCTGTAGATTTGTGACCTTGTCAGAGGTTACCGTGTTAGTTGGCGCTTTGTTTACCTGTGGTTTACCTGTCAGGTTTCATCACTTATATGGGCATAAAAATGGGCATAAAATCCCGTATACATTTTTAACTTTTATGCAAAAACACCCTAAAAATTATGTCTAATCCTTTATTCATACTCATTAGCATTCAACATTTTCCAAAGAATTCTTAATCACCAATCTTCACCCTACCTTAATCTAGACTCGGCATAAATTAAACAATTAACCGGAAATCCAAACAACTCTTCTTATAAATCATTTACGCTTCATTAGCGCAACTCATATATATCTTTCTTCTGTCATCAAACAAAAAACATCTTTGTCATCTCTCTCCGTCTCTATCAAAAACTGCAAGGAAACCAGAGGGGGGGGGAATTAATTTGCGAAAATTATAGGAATCCTGGTGTTTTGTATGAAATTTCCCTACCCATCTTCTTTTCTCGTACACACGGGTGTGTGTTGTTGGGTTTATAATACGCCTCGATTTCTATGAGCTGGATATGGAGGACGTTATTTTTTAGCCAGCCAGCAAGCAACTCTGTCTGCCATCCCACTATAATACGAACCAACTACTAAACACGAACAAACCACCACCACTTGACTTGCACTAGTAATAAGAAGAAAGGAAAGACTGCGTGCGACTGGCTCTCTCTTACTTGCTTGCTCCTCGTATATATTTCATTATCATCCTCATTCAGCATCATTCTCATTATTATTGTTAGTACATTAGTATTATTTAATGCCAGAAGAAGATACCTTAATTTTAAGTCTCTCACCACCACAACCGCGATGGAACAAGTGTCCCTTTGACGGACACTTTCTCTCGGACACGCTGCTCCTGTCGTCGCTTCCCTTGTCCAGTAGCAAAAGCAAGGAGAGAGTTTTAGTATTTTGCCAAGAAATCCGTTTCACCTTCTTCCAGGACGACGAAGCCGCCGTGGTCATGACCTAAAGGTCAAATAAATTGTCTCATTTATTTTACGGGTAGAGTTTTGCCTTCATAAAATGCACCAGTCGCTACTCATTACTCGCCGATTCAAGGAAAAGTCTCTTCTTCATGTTGGGTCTTGTCCTCGTCCCTCTTCTTCTTCTTAGTTTGAGCATGGGTGGTGATTTCCACGTCTTATCGTGGAGAAGGGGAAGGAATACGAAAGGTTGTCGACCGATAACCAAGTTATCTCGTTGTATAGCAAGATAACTGTTTAGTTGGGAGGAAGTAGAGACAAATGTGGAGTGGGTAGTAGTATTATTCTTCTTGAATTAGTTTAAGTTAGTCCGGAGGAGGGAGGGATCATATAAGCTTACGTCAATCTGTCAAGTTAAGGTTACCTCATTAGAAGATTGTTTTTAAGTCAAGTTCGTTTGGTTGCATTTCACGCCAAAATTATCAATTGCGCCTCTTGTTATTGTTATCATGTTACATCTATTGATAATCATGGACCGTATTAGAGTTGTGACTTTAGTAGCGAATAGAAGAGTTCATTTAGTGAGTGCGTGTGAGTGTGTGCGTATATAATAATTAATAATAATGAATTTAATTTACAGAGATGACTAACTAAGTTCAAAACCGAAGAGGGAATACTACGCTGAGAGAGTTTCCCGTCAGAATCGCCGTTCACCATGGAGCGGTCAAAATTTGATACTCCCTTCACTCGCAGGGATAGGAGTAATACAGGTAGCACGTTCGTTTGATAACCTACAATACTACAAAGTTTTTGACAAGTTCTTAACTTTTTTATTTTACTTGTCAGACTATCGCGAAGATGGGAGAACGGTGGACTTGTTTCTAAAGTTTCGCCAATTGCGACCGTATTTGCTATCCCGGTTGAAAAAGATAAAGAGGGAACGTAAGGAGTGGGATTATCGTGAGGAGGTGGAGGACATGAAGTATTTACTTTCCGTTATGGCAAATATGTCTGCAGATGAGTGAGTTCGAATTCTAGATTCAAATTCTTAGTCGTATTCTTTAATAATTTAGTTAGTTATAGTTTAATAGCTAAATTAATAATGCAAAATTAATAATGAAACTTAGGAATCATGGTGCTCCCGCGTTGCAAAGATTCATCGATAGAATTCATGAAATGATTCGAAAAAATCCGATCTCAGAGGTGTGTAAAACTTTTGTTTACAATTTTGCCTTTAATAATCTTAATCTTCAGGTTAAGTCGATATCAAGTTCATACTAGAACCAATTTATCTATGTTTCCTTCAGATATCCACCGTTACGATTGAAAGTGATCACGAGGATGACTCAGAAACGGCCGCACCACGTAGTCCATCTCCAACGGAGATATGTTACGAATCATTTTCCGGCCCCCTTCCCACCGCTCGGACCATTCCACTCGAACGAGACGCTGACCGAAACACCTTCTTTGAGTCGATGGAAAGTAGGCGTACAACAACTCTTCTATTTGCCTCTCCGTTTGAACAAATTGTAACATATGTGCTATTTATTCTAGCATCTACGCCGAAACCATCGTCCCGCAATCCTTGGGGAACCCCGGGTGGGGACTACTCCTCGCGTGGGTGCGCTGTTCCTAGTCAAGACATTGATATGCGGAGTGCTTCATCCTCATCTTCATATTCAGTGGGGCGCGGACATGGTGTTGCAAACCAGTGGTCTGACAGTGCTGGTAATGGTAGCAGTTTTCGACCTTTCGGCCGTGGCTCTGGCAAAGCGTACGAACCAATGATACGACCCCCTATGACCCGCGAGCAAAAATCGCTCGACGATTGGGAGAACGATGACGACGATGAAGATTTCTCCCGCCGTGATGGAAACTATTCCTTTGGTCGTGGAGACAGTAATAATGGTGGCAGTTTCAGTGATAAAAGTAACAACAATGACGAACCGTGGCGTGGGGATGCGTTTGCTAGTTTCAATCGTGATGTGAATAGTGGACGATCAGACTTTTCGAGAGAGTATAATCATCAAAGTCCATATGTGAGACCGAATTCCCGCGGGGGAGGAGGAGGGAGAGAAGAGATGTACGACAGACGCCTGCCGAAAGAATTCCTCCCAAAAGGACCACGGTCAAACAATTCGTACAATAATGTGGACAAAGGTGGTTCGGTTAGGATTGATTACAAACACGGAGCAAAGGTGGATGAGGCCGCAGTAGCATCAACATCCCCTTGGATTACTAGTGTGAAAAATAATCCTACTAGTGTTCCATACCAACAATCCACCTTTGACCCCAACATCGCCGCCGCAGCCGCCGCCTTCGCCTATTCTCAGCAACAGAATATCCAAGCTATGGCTTCACAACAGCAACAGAATATCCAAGCTATGGCTTCACAACAGCAACAGAATATCCAAGCTATGGCTTCACAACAGCAACAGAATATCCAAGCTATGACTCCACAACAACACATACAACAACAAATGTACCTCAGTCAACAACAACAGCCCCTCCTCAAAAATCCTAACCTCTACCAGAATCCCGCTCTCATGGCGGTCAACATGCAAGCCTTGAACATGAATGCACGTGGGGTTAATCCGGCGAACGTTCCTCGTTTTCAACCACCTCTCCTCGCAAGTCCTCCCAGTGCTGGATTCGTTCGCTCTGCTACACCGCTGCCGCCTCCGCCCTCCTTCAACAATTATGCTAATCATGCCTCACCACCGCCACCTGCTGCAGCTCCTCCCCCTACAGCTTCCCACCACCCCTCCACAAGTGACGACATGCCATCGAGTGAGCAACTCAAGGAGATCTTTCGGCATAAAGCAAAGCAAAGTTTTTCTCGCGGACCGAAGGAAATTCCGTTATCTCGTCCTCCTCTTGGGCTATCCCAGTCTCAAAGTGCCGTTCCACCACCACAAAAATCTCCATCTCAGGGGCTGCTCGCCACCAATCAAATGTTATCCGATCGAAACCCACGACTCCAACACAAATCAAGTAGTAGCAGTAGTGCTAAGCCGTCATCTTCATCCTCATCTTCTTCTCGCCACGATCGGTCAACTAGTCAAAGTGGTGGCGACAAGGATTCGTCCGAGCATCATGACTTGGATCCGCGACGTAACAGGGACCGAGATTCAGACCGCTACGATAAGCGTCATCACGACAAGCACCACCATTCTTCGGACCGTCACCATCACCGATCAGATCGACACCACCACAGTGACAAATCATCGTCTCGAGATGACAGGAAAGATCGGAGTAGATTTTCCTCTCCTGTCGCTTCCTCGTCCGCTGAGCGAGACAAGCAAAAGGACAAAGATAAGGATAAAGATCGTGTCATGCGTATCAACATTGATGAACCCGTCCTCCAAACTCCGAACAGCCGCTTGGACGATATTAGAAACCGAGTAAAAGAAAAACTCCCCATCGACGTGACCCGACCGGGCTCAAAATTGCAACAAATCCGCCAGCAGGTGGAGAAGGAGCGATTCCACGCCCTCGGGAGACCCGGCGTAACAAAAAAACCGTCCAGCTTTGATGAAGCGATCGTCGTCCCGGTCGACGTCGTTGCGCGTCATACTGTGTCAAAACCTCAGAGTAAAAGTAGTAAGGATATTTCCAAAGAGACTGACGTTTCAGGAGCAGGAGGATCTCAAAAGAATAAAGATAAGACGACCACCACGCCAGTACAAAAAGATAAGGCAAATGTGACTAAAGATAAATCCAATCGTGGTAAGAAATCCGCACATCACATTTCCCCCTTGGACAGTGATGCGAAATCGAATAGAAATGCCAATCTTAAGGACAAAGAGCGAGGAAACAAGATGAGTGTCACCAAGAAAAGGTTGTCGTCCACGTCGAGGTTATCTAAGTCAAAAAAGAATCAGGGTGCTGAAACCTCAGAGGTTGAGGCTGCTCCCAAAAAACCTCCCGTGTTCCGAATCCCAAAAATAAAACGTCCCACACCACCACGGAGTCCATCCCCTCCGCCGAGAGATCCAACTCCCCCACCACCAACGCCATCACCGTCACCTCCACCACCAGCACTATCGCCTCCACCACCAGCACCACCCGCTGAACAAGAATCTCATCCCACAGAAGAAGAAAGTGCATTCGCGACGGAAAAGTTACGGAAACTCGTGACGGACGATTTCATTAAACAGTTCGTCCTCTCGGAGATGGATGGACAGGAGGCAAATGGGATTTTGAATGATCCGTCCGTCTTCGCAATAGTCAAGGAGCGACTGAAAGATCAGATAAAAAATATTCTCAAAAATAAGCCCGTTGCTGGGGATGATGCGGCCGTGGAGGAAACGACGACTAGTTCCGAGGCTGGACCTGATAGTGCTGAGCGTGGAGGACATCAGTCGAGGAGCACGACGAGGAAGAAAAATTCCAAGAGGAGGTCGTCCCTTGAGAAGTTACATGATGCTCTAAAAGAGATGAGGTTCGACACTATGATGCCACTTGGGCCAAGGCGATGCACGGTGAGAAAAGAGAGATCTATTATTAGCAGTCTATAGCTTCGTCTATTATACTTTACGTCATCATCAAATCATCATGTCCTGCTCCCAATCTGATTTTTTGATTGGCTTATGGAAATTATCGCTACGACAAGTTTATACGATAATGACGTGAAATAGGCTAATGCAAATAATAGGGTACAAAGCATTTAAATTTCTGTTTTTTTAGCTCGGCTCCAACGACGACGCAGAATCCGCTGGAGTGAACAGTACGACAGATTCACCCTCCAAGCCAAGCGACACCACCAAAAAGAGTTCACCTACCGCAGCCAAAGCGAGTAACAGCGAGCTTGCCAAGCCTGTCCCCCAGAAGGCAAAATCTTCCCCTCCGAAAAAGTTAAATGTCGAGTCGAACGGTGACAATGAAGTGGCAGAGCCAACACCAGCCACAACGACCCCACCCAAGAAAGGAGGTACTAAAAGAAAGCGACCCGCCTCCAAGGCGAGGGCAAACAAGAGGAAGAAAGGTCCCGTCACACGAGCTCAAGCTGCGGTAAAGTCAGCCATCAAAATCCAGCAAAAAGATAAACCTAGCAAAGTGGGGAAGAAGAAATTGGCGGAGGCGGCTGCAACAGAAAAACCATCCGCTCTCTCCGACGTTGCTCGCATCACACGAAGTATGAAAAATCGTGGTGGAAATATCCGCGTTAAGGTCAAAGTCGAACCAGAATTGGTGAAACAAGAGCCGATCGATGACACTGCGGAAGACGACAACTCATTCACCCGGGATCCAGAACCTGTCCATCAACAAGACGAAGAAAGCCAGAGTCATCAGCCACCCAGTATTTCTAATGAAACTTCCAACTCCTCCACTCGGCTCTCTACACTGACCATGCCCCTCCCCTCGTTCGATGACGATGACGATGATGACATGATCGACTTTAGTGACGCCATGTCTGTGGATATTGACATTAAAGACGAGCCGGAAGACTATAGTCTGATCGATGATGACGGTTCGCTTCACATGACTGTAAACAACGTCATCTTGGATGACACCCCACCCCAAAATAATTTCGAAATTCCGGACACAAACTATGACGAAGATCTCACGGACATTCTCAAGGACGTGCCAACCTTTAAGACATCTTTTCCCGAAGATGAGGAAGACATTGTCACCAGTTTCACTGGTCTAATTAGTGGAACCAGTACAAAAATAAGCGATATTTTCGACAAGCTCGACCCCGGAAGTCAAGAAAGTAGCTTACCATCCCGTCCCGACTCTGCCGACATACAGAAAGAGTGCTTCGCCGTCGTGGATTTTCTCATCAATCAAGTCGATGAGGCCGAAACGGCAGAACAAGAGGCCAATCAAGACCATCACGAGGAGGACAATTCCACCAAATTTCCCGGACACGGCTCCGACTACAGTTGTTACTCTAGTGATGACGAAGGCGGTTCTTCTACCGACTCCGTGGAGGAAGAACCAAACGACTTTTTCCAATTTTGTGACGACTACCCAGATCAGGACGCACCCAAAACTGACACAGAGACTCAAGACTCGAAGGATCCTATGTCACACCTCCCAGCACTAAAACCTAACCCGTTCCTCCACTGGGGCCAACCCCAACCCGACGCTCTTCCTCGCTCTCCAACTATGGCATACCTTATCAATAGGCCGAATAGGAGAGTGGGGCCAGCGTTAAAAATCAACATGACGAAATTGAGGAAAAACATTTGGACAAAGATGCCACCCGTCCAGGTGGAGCGTAAAATCAAGACGGAGGATGGTTTTGGTGTCAAGATTGAACCCGGCTTTGACGGACTGAGCCCAATGGACGTGGATTCATCAGACTCGGACAACCCAGGTCCACGCTCCCCCATTCTGAAACGCGATCCTTTCATTTCAAAAATTGAGTTGCAAAAGTTGGAAGACACGAACAAACGAACGTCAATTGACATACCAATTTACCTCCCGGGATGTGACCCTTACGCGGGCGAGGAGGGGCGAATCACCAATTTGAGAGGTAATAATTAGAATGATGGAAATGGCCGAATTATTGTTTCCTAACAATCAAATTATTTATTTGTTTTTTTGCAATTTTTGTTTCCGTTCTCTAATAATTACTTTAGTTCACGCTTTGCTAATTAGTCCGATAATCTTTAATGTACTGAGAATAACTATTGACTTTAAATTGGAAAAATTACTAGTCCAAAAACTTGTTTAAAAGGAATTGTCACTACTCATTGAAACAATTACAATTATTATTATTTGGTTGCCAATTTTATGAAAAACCTACAAATTCCCTTTTCTCAAATCAAATTAATCAACTTATCAACGTTCTGCATTGCTTTTCTTTCAAGTAATTCCTACTTTATTTAAAGATATAGATTTGGCAGCCGAGTAATAAGTAATGCAACAGGATGCACTAAAATGATCCCTTTGATAACTTTCATTATACAATATTATTTAATTTCTAATGTGACCAAAAACTTGTACTTTTGATATTTTTCCCTAAAGTAAAATTTTTTTGGTGTAAAATTACTAATATTTTTTGCCTTTATTTCTTCCCATTTCATTATTGTTTTCACTTGATTGCACACTTCACCCACTTTTTCCCCATTTGCTAAGTGCTTGCCGTTTGCTTATCATTTGTCATATTTTTCACGACTCGAATAATCATAACGTTATCGCTCCCTTTTCAGGCCATGCTCTCTATGTATGTCCCAACCAGCCGTGTTCCTTTAAAGCACCTAACGCCGCCCTGTTCAAGGACCACATGCCAACCTGCCCCCACGCGATCGATCTCAAGTCCATGGGCTGCCCCCATTGCAAAAAACGGGTCAAAGCCATCGTGAATTTATTGGAGCATTTGAAAACACATGGGCAACAGAAGCAAGTTTGCTCCTTGTGTACTTTCAAGACCTGGGCGACCTCCGAACTCACGCGGCACATGAAGGTACACAGATAGCAATAATAAATAATTGATACTTTACCTGAGATGGATGGACGGATATATTCCAATGGATCGGTTTCTTGACTTGCAGGCATTCCATAAAGTATTTAACTATAAAGTTGAAAGATTTGAGACAACGGATCCTGAAGACGACGCTGAAATGGTCATGTTTCCGAAAGATGTGATTGCCAGGATGTCAACGGTTCAACAGCTTAGGGATTCCTACGCCTGCTATGCGGATCGCATCGTGTTCGGGCCAAATGAAATAGATAAAGTTCCAATTCGTCAAATTTTCCAGTAGGAATTATTACCATTTTTATATCGAATTATTATCATTTTTAGACAATTTATTGCAACTTGATAACTAATTACCCGTGTTTCCATTTCAGTACGCTCGCTTACTGCTCATTGTGCACTTATGCGTCTAAAGTCCGAGTGAATTTCATCCGTCACTTGGAAGCTCACAAAAAGGCAGATACCAAACCCGAAGTTATCATTCCAGTTACCGACCCAGTGAATCCAGTCCCGTGCTTGGAGAGGAAGGAACTCATGTTCGACAAAATGACCAACTGGGCTGGGAGTTCTCATGAGAATAAGACGTAAGTTCAGAATTTATAAAATGATGGTTTGAAAATTACATGAAAAGTAGTAATCCTATTAATTTACACGCATTGTACCTCCTTCCAGTGGCAACACCAATAGTGACAGCTCAACCGTTCCCCAGTTCGTTTTGGAACAATTTCGCTATGTGTGCAACGTCAAAGGCTGCGAGCAGATTACGGTGGACGAGTACATGTTGCGCACCCATATTCGTACGTTGCACCCTGAAGTGGAGAATTATGATTGTCCCCACTGCGCAAAACACGAGGCAACAAGTGAGTTGAAAATATGGTTAAAAAATATATGCACAAAGTCAAATTATGTTTTATTTTTTTAGGAAACGACAAACGAAATTCTGTCCCGGTTGATAAGTTGGGTCCTCATTTGAAGCTTCACGGCCCTAAATTGTACAGATGCGCGTACTGTGATATGATCCACACGCAATTGCCCTTAATGGAGAAGCATATCCCCGAAAAACATCCCGAGAGGAAACCGATTCATTACCTGATCCGAAATTTGGATAATGATGGCAATCAGGCCAACAGGTGAAAAACTACTATAAATCTGATAAATGCGGTGATTTCATAAATTATTTATCTCCAGACGGAACTCGAGCGACGAATCCGCTCCCATGGACAAGTGGCGATGTACGCTGTGTGCAGCAAAGCAATTGTTCCCCTCTTACAACGAGGTGAAGAGTCACTGCGTGACAGCGCACAAGATAAGATGCCAATTTATGTGCTTTGAGTGCAAGTACGCCACGGATAGTGACGTCGCGGTTATGAACCATATAACAGAGGATTGTAAGGGTGAAGATGATGATCCAACTTCGGAGAGTGACTTAGAAGAAAGCGACATTGATCCCGAGGAGACTGAGGCTGAACGAGAACAGAGACTGAAGGAAAAAGAGGAAGAAAAGGTGAAGAAGGAGGAAAGAGCTAAAATCAGGGCAGAAAAGAAAGCGAAAAAGATCGTGGTGGAGGGGAGAATTCTCATCATGTGGTACAGGTAAGGCTGAGAATACTGCTTTTTATACAATTTGCACGTTTTCCGACTAACTATTTTATATAATTTGAAAAACTTCCTCACTTACCATTTTTATAGGAGCGAATTTGACTCCAAACAAGAAAATATCATCCACGGCCCCCTTTGGAAACGAACCTTGAACGTAAAACACATCCGTGGAATATTTTTGGAATATGGGAAGGAACGACTTCCCAAAATGAGTTCTTCCTTGATGCTCCAATCTCGTGAGAAGATTGCTGCCCCTGTTATTGGAAAGACAACCCGACGGCCCTATAAGGCACCTCCTAAGGTGGATAAGATGCCAGCTCCAGAGGCGACAGCGAAACTTTTCATCTGTCCAAAGTGCAACTTATTCAAGACAAAGAGTGCGGCGAATATGAGAGTTCATCTCTACAATGAGCTGGGTTATCAGAGGTAGATAGCGATAACTTGTAGTACAGAAACAATTAATTATGAAATATTCTAATTGTTTGTATTCATCTATTTTTTCAGATACCGTTGTAATAAGTGCAACGTCAAGTTTGTGACTGAGAGTTCTTTAAAAGGTCACCTCGTCGGAGATCATGGCACTTCTTTGGATGAAAACTGCTACGAGTTGTTGCCAGTCGACTCAGAAATCGAATCTTTCGTAAGAAACATGGAAAAAATGATTTCAACTACAAATTTTAACTAATATTTTTGTTCTAGATCATCGCATACTTCACGTCAATAGAAGAAAAGGAAGTACAGAGTGAGGGCATAACTTCTAGTTCTGATCTATCCCCCACCAACAAACAGCCCACCTTCATGTGCAAACATTGTGGTCAAGAGTGTCAGAATGCACATAATTTGAAAACACACGTGCTCGCGAAACATATTGCAAGTGATCGGTGCGTTCACCACAAAAATTAGCTTGGTCCATTTCACTACAAATTGCATTAATTGATCATTACATCTACTTGAATTATATTCAGATATCAATGTGGACATTGCGGCACTACGTTCTGGAATCAAGCCCTGGTTCGAAACCATCATTCGCGCGCCCACCAAGGCCTGGAATACTTACTCGAGGAGAAATTTGTGCTAGATCTCACCCCAGAATTTTGGTCGTCCGAGTACGGTCTTCCCATCGGTCTGGCGTCGAAAAAATCCACATTATCACCGATGAAGCGCGCCTCAGTTAGTGTGAGGACATTATCAATTGCCTGACTTCAATTTTATCTAATGCGGTGACTAACTAATTAATAATTGGATTGTACTACAGGATGACATGTTTATGCCCTCCTCAAGTACTTCCTCTGATCTAACACTCGGCTCGCGAATGCCCGTCCTTGATATGCACGACGACGACGACCCACTCTTGTTTGGCTTTGCGGATATGGATCCCTCAATCATTGACGATTCGCGACTAGCCGAAAATGGGTCGAATCTGGAGGACTCTTTCCTCCTCCAACTTCTCGAGGAGGATACAAAAGGCAGCGGCGGTGACGAGTTGACCTTAAATCGCACCGGGAACAGCGCTTACAATCCAAATGCGCTTGCCTACAAGTTAGTCGCCACTTTTACCTCCCAATTGTTTCAAATTATCTAATCGATTTATTAATTTGTAGATGTTTCCACTGTGGGGAAAACTCCCTTAGCGTTCGTGGAGCTCGTGGTCACTGGGAAAAAGTGCACTCTGCACGTCTCGAGGAGCGTTGCAACTATTACGAGTATCGAGCCTTCAATTCGCTGAACCAACTCCCACCCTGTATTCAGCTAACCTGCTCCCTCTGCGAGTACACGGTCTCTGCACTCTCGCTCATGAAAGACCATCACGAGACTGTTCATCCCACCCAACCATATCGGATGAAGCGCAAGCTCCGTACCGGCCACATGATGTTCGAGTGCGGCATCTGTTTCCATGAGTGCTATATGAAGGAACAGGTTCTCGAACACATTGCAGCAGTCCACCCATCTATCCGAGAACCCACCTACGTAACGACCGACCTGCGCGAAAAGTCGTCCGAGAATGAAGAACCACTTACCGGAAAGCTTGTTGAGGACAGGGTCCGCTATGGGTGCAACTATCCCCCCTGCCAACTTGACTTTGAAACCCGCAGTGCCAGTCATGCCCACGAAGTTGCTTTTAACCACAATCCCACAAGCAAAAAAGTGAACATCAAATATGTTCGGTTCGTCATCAATGCAACGATCCGTATCCCTGTCGCTGATGGGATCAGATCCGCCAACGTCGAGGCGACCAAGACGGTTTTCAAATGTCCGAACTGTCCCTACCAAGCGGACGAGAGGCAGAAACTGGTAACTGAACATTTAGGCGAGCACGTCCACACCTACACATGTCCCGTATGTAGTCGATCATTTCAAACCTATTTGGACACCAAGTTCCACATCCGGTTCCAACATTCTGACCCGAGTGGGAGTCCTCTCATCAATCCCAACATGCTCAATGCTCGCGCATCCCTGGAAGAATCCATCATTCAGGTCAAGATCGTCTTGCCGGATGAAAAGAATGGAGAATAATTTATCAAGTGTTATCAGAATAATTACTTAAACGTCAATTATAATTATCTCACCGAATCTTCGTCGTCTTGTCACCACCTCACGCAGTGTGAACAATATGAGTCTGATATAATAATAATATGTAGTTAATCTGTATGTATTTTATAGTATAGTTAACTTCTATGTAAAGTATCCTCATTTAATGAAATGAATTGAAAAACTTGTAATAATTTAAGGAAGTGTTATTTTATTTAAGAACTACTTAATTAATTGGTCGCGTATTCCTCTTTAATGCTTTGGAATAACTGTTTTTGTTGATGAGACGAGAACGTTGTTTGTCGTTTTCGTGTCTTGTTATAAGGTATACACAAACACAAAATTAATAATAGTAGTTAATTAATCAGTCTGTTGAGAAGTATTTTATGATTATAACTTCTTCCTTGTTGTTCGCACTAATTTTTTGTACGTCTCGCTAAAAAAGTAAAGAAACCTTGATTATTAAATGTAGGGGTGGCCGAATGCGGAACGCATCAAATCGAAATTATATTTAATATTGTTAATGAATGGTCACAATGTTGAGGGGAAATAAGACTAAAAAAAACACAGTACGAAGAATCATTAAGTATACAAATTATTGGCAAGAAAATAAATACTTATAAATGCTAAAATGGATCTGAATCATTAAGCTCATTTCTTTCGATTTTATTTTTCATTCATAAATTCATGGACAAGGTCATCCATCCATGCAGAAAAAACCGAATTTTATGAAAGTATTGTTTTGATGGGGGACGGTTAAGTTTCCATTGTCATTTGGTTAATAAATCGTAATTTGAATTGCTGCTATTTAGCTCTGTTTTTTTAGTGTCACAATTTAAGCATTAATTTTTGTAAATGTATACATAGTTCTCAAAATATGGGTTCCATTTAAAAAAACGCATTTACAAAAAGAAACACTTCAAATCTTTTACATGGAAAATGCATGATAAAAGTTGTTTTGCATGGATGGTGAAATTTTCATCAAATCATAGCCCAAGCCACTCAACATGATCCAAGCTACAAAAAAGCATGAGCTCCTATTATGCACACTTTTGTAATATTACATGCGGGTGAATTTTGTATATCATTATTTGTACTCGAATTACACAGTAAAAGTTTATGAACGAGATGGGATCCTTTGTTTTGAACCGAGGAATAAGCAGAAGTGGAAGAAGAAGTATGATCTCAAGTCCCGTCTGATCTCAAGAAGTTGAAGAAACGCTTCTTTTGGCTCAGTCGAGACTGAGAAGTCGTCGAGGTCTGATTTGAACTCGTCTTCTCCCCCAATTTCTTGGAATACCTGGAACACTTTTCTTGCGTAATGACGACGATGTGTGGCACGCTTTTGCTCATGTGTCTCCTCCTCTCCTGCGCCCCATTCTCGTCCTGTGAAGTAGAGGACGATTTTCCAAACGAAATTCCAAAAATCTCATCCGGCAGTTGCCTCGCGGCGGGGTTGTGTTGCAAGGGAAGGGACAGGTGAGAATGATAACCCTGGTCTTTAAGGGCTTACCCATTTTTTAATCTGGTCTGAATTTTTTCCAGTTCTTGCGTGGTTCAACGTGCCCCCCCGAACAGCATTGTGGAGGAGTTGGACGACATTCCGTGCTACTGTGACCATGGGTGTGTCCTTCTGCAGGATTGCTGTCACGATTTCAAACATGCTTGCGGAGGTTAGTTGCATAGGGAAGTTTATGAGCAAAAATCTCCAGGAGGTTTCGATCGCGATATGCATAAGAGAAAGATTCGGGTTGAGTGAGGGTGTCGTCTATTAATAGACTGAACTATTAAAAAACCCGATCGTTGACATCTGGGATTGATTAGTTCATAGCAACGAGACAAATATATTAGGTTTACCGTGAAAGAGACATCCGGTCGAAATCGAGACTTTTTCATGGACAAGGAACGAATCCAACAAAAGATTGACTAAAAGTTGAGGAAGTGTCTCAAAAGTCTCAAATTTCCCTCAAATTGAGACATGCATGGTTTCTCGTCTCTTTAATGAATTGGAGTGAATTTCAGTAGAAATCTAATTAGTTATAAATTTATTGAGAGATGCAAAAAATATGGCAAATTTAAGAGAGGCGGATTGATCGAAGGGATGTAATTTAAAATTATTGGCAAAATATTTAGAACCCATTTTGTAAAACCTTGCATTACACAGCATCCAGCTCAGAAACTAATTGTATTTTTGATACGTATACACGAAAAAAATAACGTTCTCGACCTTTGTACATACGTAGTTCAAGACTGCGAAGTTTCCAACTGGGGGCCATGGTCTTCCTGTGACACAGATTGTGGACAAGGGACGATGACACGGAGTCGCTCGGTCACACGAGAATCTCGCAACGGGGGGACAGCCTGCCCATCTATGATACAAAATCGGGGCTGTAAAGGAACAAAGTGTCGCCATCACAAGAATAAAATCACGCTCGAAGGCAATTAACTAATTAATTAATTTTGTGAAAAGAAAAATGCACCAAAACTTTCAAAAAATAGTTAATTCCAGACATTGCGGTCCTCCTCCCGATCGAGTTTCGGAACAAGCGGAAAGTCAACGAGAGTAGTGACATTACCAAAAACTTGAGATCTCGATACCCGAAAGATCCTGAGAAGGAAAACTCATTTCCGTAAGTCAATGAAAAATTGGTACCTAAAACGACGACCATTTTCACATTATTTTTGCGTATGTACTTATCAAATCTTAAATCATTGCTGGATTAATTCTTCTTTCCCTTTCCCTTTCGGACATAATTATGCGAATTGTGATACTAAATTGTGCTCCAAAGTCTCGGACAAATCGGTAAATTAACTTTCCAATTTAATAAAACTTGCACATTTTCATATCCAACTAACATAATAAAATGTTATCAAGAGATTAATACCTTGCTACACGCATACACAAGTAGTTTCATATGTAATTACATGCTCCCACCACCCCCACACAAACTCTTGATTGAAAACTGATCCTCAAACCAGCATCATAATTTGTACATGCTCATAATGATACTTATGTATTAACCAGTCTTGTCATGCTCACCTTTATGATTAAGCAGGAGAACAATTTTTGAACAAAAATCGTCTACAATTACTACACCTACGTGTTGACAGGTTTTCTTGTACCTTTTTCTTCTCTACGTAATAAAAACCAACCACCACACACCAGCGTCAATTTTCTTCATGAAATCGTATCCATCCCCTCTAATAATCCTTCCTTGTAGCGTTCCTTCCTTCCTGAAGATTTCTTGCTTGATTTTGATTTAATAATAATAAATAATATTTTGTTTCATCTCTCTCCACGTCGCCTTCGCCTGCAAGATGAGTAAGCGTTTTTCCTCTCTGAAAGCAGCACCCACCTTGATTATTTCTTCCTCGCCTTCTAAGTTCCATGTACTCTGGCGGAGGGGGCAAGGAATGCAAGATTCGTGGTGCCTTAAGTGCCTCGTGGTCGTGGTCGTGGTGGTGCCTTAGATTCGGGCACTTTTTACTTATCCATCTCCGCTTTCATTTTTTTAAACAAATTTCTTTCTCGCTCGCAGGTACTGTGTGGAATTCCAAGTCATTCGCTACACTCGGGCGTGTAAATCCCTGCAGAGTTTTACTACATTTCGTGAAGGTAAGCTACCCAGTTAACAATTAAGAATGCGTAAACAAAATGTGTGTGTGTATGTAGTATACTTGTAAATAATACGGGAACACGACACGCCTTCTAGATATACATACTTCATTCCGTCATTTCTCCGTTCATTAAAAGTTTTTAGGATTACGTAACTATGTACAGAGAGAGATCTTCCAGTCTCATTTTTCCACCTCCACTCCTTCCACCACGTTGTTTTATTTAGTGTTTCACTTTTCCAACCCTCATAATTATAATGCGTAGAGTTTCTAGAAATCTCAGGCAAGAGCATCAGTCAAGTCTCAACCCCAACTAATCGTCGTAGGATACATAATAATCACTCAGAGAAGAAGAAAAAAATTATGCCTGCATTTTTTTTCTTGTGAGGTTTATGTATGTAGCTGCTGCACGTCTCTTAATAAGTAATTTCTGTGACGTGGTCACGTCCAAATGAATGCAGGCTTTTTTCTTCTTTCCGGATGACCATTTATCCTCCAAAAAGTGAAGTGTTGACAGGATTTGTAAATAAATAATAAAAAATAAATAAACATTTAATTACTGGTTGGGTGGTGAACTTTACCCTTTTTTAGTTGAGATGCAAAACCAACCCTCATCTCGTAACTGAATAATTTTTTCATGCCACTCTCTCACTGCATACAAGGCGATTAATACTGCATGACTTGAGTTTAGACAATTTCACCTCACTTATGTTTAAATTGGGGAAAATTGGTAAACAATCTAGGGACGTAAAATGGGAGCATCGTAGATTTTTGGACGGGATTTTTCAGTTACACAGCTTGCCATTAGGAAATTAATTAAAACGTGGGATTTCTTTTTGTGTGACAGGAAGTCGCGTGTGCGTCTTTTGTGAGGAGGAAGCTCAAAAGTCGTACACGGGATATCGGTGCAGCGGGACGGGGGCGTCGAACGGAGTGTCGACCCGATTCTCGAGCATTCGTGAGCCGGCATGTCACGGGAAATGGAGGCACGTCGCCCTCACGAGGAGTGACGACAAGACGGGTGCCTGCAGCTCCAGGTGTGACGAGGAATCCTCCTTCATCTTCGTTTAAGGATGAAACGAACCTCAATTTGTGTACCTACTTATTTGCATGATGAAGAGGAGAATTCAGAGGCTTTTGGTCATGGACGAAATCACTAATTTTAAACATGTTCGAGATATTTATTAGTGGCTAATTTTCTAAGTTTGCTATAAAAAAAATGACATTTCCCAGTCTGAATTTTCCCAATTTCGTCCAGTTTAATCGAGGGTAAAATATATAATGTCGCTTTCAAGTATTTTCAAAATATAGTAGATAGAATTAACTATATTCTAACAATTTATGGGCCAAATAATTGGACAATTATTTAGAAGGTGAGTCTGGAATTAATAACCATTAAGTAAAATAAAATGTGACACAAATTCCCAGTTTTTAAAACACCATCAAGCGTAACACTATCCCGACCCGATAGTCCTTTATTAAGTTATGTTTATACTTAACTTATGTATGTAAATTGACAATATGACAATATACACCCAGCGCGATGACTTAAATTAAGAAGTGACCGACTAATTGTCACATGACTATTAACAAACACAACAATATGGGGACAAAAATCACAAAGGAAAGATTCAAATTTATAATTCGCATGTATGTATAGCTCCTATCATCATAACCTATTTAAATTACTGATGTACAAACTCTTTAACTCGGTTTTTGGCACGTTTTCGAATAATGCGGCCCGATTCTGACAATCGCCCTTCTTCACCCAGTGTCCATAGACGCGAAAGGCACAGTTGTCAATGACCTATTGGGGAAAATAAGCCCAAGTTCACATGTCATTACTCATCGAGATAACTAATTGCATATTTATAAAAAAAATTACCCACCTTTCTAAACGCTTTCATTCTGTAAGGATCCATCCCTGCATTTGAGACTGACAACGTTTCCGGGGTATTTTTTAATCTCTGAATCCTAACGACGCAACGGACACACATAATCGCCATACGAAAACATTTTCGGGCATCAAATTGCTTAACGCCGCAATGCTGTAGACAATATTAACATACGTTAATGATAAGCTCATCAAATTTTAATACGAATACGTTTTGGGTGCTTACAACAGCATGAAAAAATTCGTGGTTCACTGCTTCATCGACTGTGAGGCGTTTACTAGGCTCGACAACGAGTAACTTCCTTATCAAGTCTTTCGGTGCTTCTGTTCATAATAGAAATTAAGTCAAAATTTGAATACAAATTAAAGCCGGTAAAAACTTCTATGTGTGCATTTGCCTGTGATACAATCCCATTCAGGCGAATCGAAAGAATACTTCCCCTCCATGATGTTCCTCAGCATTATCATCTGTTTCCGATTCCAGAAGGGAGGACAGCCCACCAACCTATGCAACAATAGTATTAATACCAAATTATTCAACTATACAAATTTTATCTCATAGACATTCTACTTACAACGTATACATGATGACTCCACATGCCCACCTGGAATAAACGAGTAATTAAATCAGACTCAGAAAATGACTACCAAGTTTGGAAAAATGGATACAAAGTAGCCAAGCGGCGTGTAAGTTTTTTTTTACAAAAAAAAAGAACCAAACAACTAACAAGTCTACGGCTTGGTCGTATCCATACGCATCTTCGTACATGGCCGCCTTGAGGAGTTCGGGTGCCAAGTAGCCCGGCGTTCCACACACCTCTTTATTGATATCACACATTGCACAATCGGGTGGTCACCATGCACCGGACAAGAAGAACAAGAAGATCGAGGACAGGACAGGAGGAGAAGAATATGAAAAAAATCAAGGAAAGCAAACCAAACGAATCAGAGGGGGAGATATTAACGACGTACATGTCAACTCTTAGCCCGTAGCCTTCATCACTGTCAAACATGTTGCATTTCAGCACTTCTGGAGCTAAATAGCCCGGAGTCCCACAAAGATCTAATTTATAATATGTGGAGGATATGATTGCAAAAATCATGGACAATTTTCACCAACTAATCCTACTAAACCAGGAAACTATGCGATTCTTAATTTTGTCTTGCATTACCAAATAGTTTGTCTCCTGGCTTTAAAATTTTCGCGAATCCAAAATCCGTCAACTTAACGTTTAAATTGTCGTCCAGTAGAATATTTTCTGGTTTCAGGTCACGATGTACGACATTCTCAGAGTGCACGTACTGCAACGCGTCAAAGATTTGTTTCATTATGTAGCTGCAAATTAAAATACAAACAATTATAAACACACCCTTCTCTTCAATAAATGGACACACAACTTACCGCGTCTTCTTCTCCGATAAGGTGACTACATTTGTCAAGTAGTCGAACAACTCGCCATTCCGGCACAACTCAAAGACGAGAAAGATAAAGGTATGCGACTCAAAGACGTCGTGAAGCTCGACTGCGAAACAAGTAGTTAATTACGTAGCTAAAAATTGTGCAATTATTTTCATTCGAATTAACGAAACAGTGACAGGTCTGCTTACTAATGTGCGGATGACCTGCGACCATTCGTAAGATGTGAACTTCACTCAGAGTGGATTCTCGGATACTCTCCGTGTTGTTATCTTCGCTGCTGAGGTCAATTATTTTCGCCGCGTACTCTCGCCCAGTTTCTTTCTCTATGCAGCGCCGCACCGTCGAACTTACGCCTCTGCAACGGAAAATAATGCATTTATAAAAACAAACTACCGTAAAATTATCAAATTACAAACATAATTTTTGTTCAAAAGTTAACTGGGTCACAAAAAACTCTACATTTTTGTATAAACTAAATAAATAAGTACATACCGTCCCAAAACCTCTTTTGGTTCGTATTTGGCATAAAATTCTTTCGCCGCGTCGTGGTCAGGAAGGATGTCGTCATTTTCGTCGCGTGCCATTTCGATAAGTTTAATTAAAAATATAAACAATTGTATAATATTTGTTTCAAATAAAATGTAAACCTTGATTTATTTAACCAGAAGGCACATTTAAACATGAGATAAACAAGGACAATTAATGATGATAATTATATACAACAGGACTATTTTTTTTGCAATCAAATTTCAACTAATCACAAATTATGTAATTTATAATTAATAGTTGCTCAGTGCAGAAGAAGGCTAAATTTTGTTGAACTTGTTGCAAGATTTGGGGAACATGCGATCGAGACTGACGATGAGAAGTTGGGATTCCACAATAATTGATACTGGAATTTATCATATTACAAAAATAAGGACACTTGGATATTGTTGATGTTTGTGAGAAAAGATGGAGCTTATAGATCTTCATCATCATCGGGTAGAGCAACCTTGGCTGCCTCCTAAAATATGCAAATAAATACACAATAATGTAGATAGTTGCCAATTCGATACCGATAAAAAGTAGTTTATTTTAAATCATGCACTGACCTGGAGATCGTTTTCAATCTGTCGTTGCCAAGCAGGATCCATGTGGACCTCTGGTGCCGCCAGCGCTGGCATGGCGACGAACTCAAGGTTGGCATCCCCAATAAGTTTACGAGCCAGCCAGAGAAATGGTTTCTCAAAGTTGTAGTTGCTCTTAGGAGATATATCAAAGTATTTGATGAATTGTAAAAATACGACTCCTTTATCTTTCTGCCCAGCCGAGTTCATATTGTTACCTGTAGGCACAAACATTAATATAACCTATCAGACATTTTTTTTACTTTCACTATTGTAATAAACCGTTGCAAATGAAATGTAGCAAAGGGGTGAACGAACACGGTCACGCGGTCATGTGTCAAAACTATGCAGTTTTTTTAAATCCCCGCCCAAAACTACGTCTAAAACGGTCGGAACAAAAGATTCGACACGTTTGACCGTTTGTCTTCACCTTTCAATAATTATAAACTCACCACACACAATAATTGGCTTCCCAGGACACTGACGTCTGATGGTTTGAACCCATTCGGGTATGCTTTGGAGCGTACTCTTTTTGTGGGCATCGAAGAATACGATAGCGGCATCAATCTAGGAAAAAAATCACTAATTTTTATATTCAGGGGACGTTCATAAAATACGTAACACAATATTAACGTTTTTTTTTGCGATGAAACACATAAATAAATATATCACTCAACCCATGTTTCTTACATTTATGTAGTAGTCCTTTAAGGCCGATCCATATTTCTCAATACCTGCTGTGTCCCACACGTTGAAAAGGACGGAGCCTCTCGACGTATTGAAGACGAGCGGGTGGACCTCCACCCCCAACGTGGCGACATACTTTTTCTCGAATTCTCCAGTCAAGTGACGCTTGACGAAGGTGGTTTTCCCAGTCCCTCCATCCCCCACCAAGACACACTTGAAGGTCGGCATGTTCTCTTCCTTCTTCTCCGCCATGGTGACCACGATAAGCGACGACCAACACGAAAAAATCAAACACTTGGCGACGATGACAAGGCGACGTAGGCAGGCAGGCAAGAGAGAGCAAAGAGCTGACACTTTAGCCGTCTGAAGACGAAGAGAGAAAACTGTCACTCTTGGAGGTGAGAAACTGAGAAGGCGATGTTAGCAGCCGAGAAAGCTGACGAGAATGCCTTGAGTGAAAATATGGAAAATTGAGAAATTGAGACAGCTTAGAGTTCATTTTATTGACTGGGGTGCTGTGCCTGGCTGGCCGCAAGTTCAACCATGGTAGTGGTGGACTTTTTCCAGCTAGAAGAATACATACAGGGTGTATGTAAATACATGTTTAGATTGATTTCAATCCGTCTCCCCCTGTACTCCTCCCCCTCAGAAATAAATTTATAAAGCTGTCAAAGATTAGAGAGGGTGGCTGACTAGAGGTGGAAAGTTCTTCTTCGTTGTTGGAGGGATGGAACGAGGGCATTTAGTCATCCTAATGTTTAAACTAATTAATAATTAGAAATTATGAACATCATATTCAACTCACTCAGACCTACGAACCATAATTGTAAATAACTTTTTTAATTTATTCGGCTACTATTAATGGTGTGACACACTTTGGGCTTATTATTTTGCTTAAGATAAGAGGATCTTAATCCTTGCCCCAAAAACAAATTCTCGTTTTTAAATTCACTTCAAGTGTTGTAAAATCCATCCCATGTAATGACTCACGTTGGTGTAGAGGCCAGGAAATAGGGATTTTTCACACCCCTTGGGCCCCAAACTGACCACGCCCACTTGGAAGACGCGTGGAGGGGGGGTACTCGTGCGCACCTTCAAGTCCATCATCAACGGCCCCCCAGAGTCACCTTTGCACGAGTCCTTCCCCGACTCCCCACCGGCACAGAACTGTCACGTCGAGTGTAAATATTCAGTCAGAATTGTCCATAAAAATTGAGAAGATTTGAGGTGTAGGAACTTGGCAAAATATTTGAGAGATTTGATACCCGACCGACATCGACGCCTCTTTCCAAATAGGTGCCGTAGTACTGGCTGCACTTTTGCTTGGGTTGAAAGGGGACTGTGACCATTTGGAGGGTGGGAGAGTTGTCTGGATTGTCACCTGTCGTGCGACCCCAGCCTGAAGTTTGGGGGGAGAAGGATGATCAAACAGATTGATAAGGTTAGCACGAAGGGGGTTATATTTACCTGCCACTGTGAGGACGTGACCGTCCAAGGTCTGCTTCGCCTTCACGTGTGGGAGACAAATGGGAGAGACAAATTCTATAAGGGATTGTAAATTCTGGGAACACTAGGAAAATGGAAATTGTTTCGATTTGGAAACTCACGCCCCAATTCGACCTTCCTTTCCAGCCTAATTAACGCGATGTCATTCTCCTTCCTCTGCGTTCGATCGTACTCCTCGTGCGGGATGACTTCCGCGATCGGCACGTCCTGCGGCGGTGGGGCGCAAACTTTCCCCACACAGTCGATAGGTGAAGATTGGTTGTATTCGCCTAGACGGACGAGTACCCTGCAGATGTATCATCACATGTCAAACGGTTAATTAAAGGTCAACTACTACAGGTCAACTACTTACGGAGAATAACCTGTCGGCAATCCAGCAACGCAGTGGGCCGCTGTGAGGATCTGTACAAATATTTTTTGCAAATTAAGGGAGAAAATACAAACTGAAAAATTCTAAATTATGTACATGATTGGAATTTATGAGGGTTCCTCCACAACCAAACTGGACGGGGCCGGGTCGTCGGTCCCCTGTGTCAAATTAAAGTAAAATATAAAGATGTGTCACAAGGTTTGCCCATTTGAAATCCGTACCCATCAAGGAAAACCCGACCAACGCCATCCAAGGAAACGTTCCCAACCCGGCATCCGTGCCACCAGCTATCCGAACTTTGATCACGGAGGCTGATTTGCCACACTGGTCATAATTTGGGAGCACGCTATCTTCTGCTGCTGCGACTGCTGTTGGTAGTTCGGTGGCTTGGTTTGGCAAAGTCTGGTCGTTTCTTGTCCCTAAATTTGGGACGGATGTTGATTTGTCGTCATCAATACAATTGTTGTCACTATTTTGGAACATGGCGTCAGGGTCGAAGTTGGGCTGGAGGATTTTCAGGAGGGAGTCATCAATTGAACCGGATATGCATGGGAACGAATCTGTAAGGGCGAGGAATATTTTTAAGGATGAACAAGATCATATATTTTTTGACTAACCCTTTTGACTCGAAACTGAGATTAGAATCAGTATGAAGATTATTCGCTGCATGATTTTTTTTTACAAATTTTTAATTTTAGAATTTGGGAGAATTTTCAAATGCTATTATACAGACTTCCTGGTCAAATCGGAATGAACTTAACGGAGGATAACTGAGCGAGAAACCCGCATCTATTAGTAATTAGCAACATGCACGTTAATTAGGACACTATATGAATTTACTGATTGCATAATTGCATGCCATCTTAATCACATATTTATCTATTTATTCATATATAGATTTCAAGCATCCTCTGCTTGTTCATGCGCTAAACATGGTCTCAAAAACGTATCCAAGTTTATATAAGTTTTTATTTTCATTATTTTCTCAAATGTCGCAATACCCAGCTCATGAAATAAAACACGTTTGTATACAGTCCAGGATAGATCGAGGAGTCGCAGTCACCTGGACCCATGCTGACTACGCCAACCTGATACACAGGGGATACATAGGTCGACCCCCCTTCGTCCTGACCTTCTGACCTCTTCCTTCCCAACATGAGTGGCCCACCAGAGTCACCTTGACACGAATCTTTCCCCACCTCGCCACCCACGCAGAACTAAATACACAAAGCACAGCTTATGACAGGATTACGCTTTAAAGTTAAAGATGATGACTTCCAGCTCACCCTTCCATCGTCCACGTCGCCACCAAGACTAGTTTTATACACGTCGTTGCACCTTTGTCGGTTTTGGAAGGGGACGTCAACCTTGAGCAAGACGGGGGACGGCGTGGGTTCCCGGGCTGTCGTGGTACCCCAACCTTTAAATAATTAATAAAGGTTATAACTAAATTATGACATTAACCTTTGCCATCAAAAACTGTGTACCTGCCACAGTTAAAGTCATCCCGGTCATGTTTTGAATCTTCTCCCCACGTGGGAGGCAGATGGGGGAGACAAACCCTGTCAATTTATATGATTTAAATAATACAGGTCATCTTAAAATAATTAAAAAAACGATTACTCGGAAACACGAATTAAAAAATAATCACTCAGGTAAAAAATTGCCAAAATATTTTTCTAAACACGTTGTAAATTAGATTTACTGTTAAATTTAACTTTGCAAAATAGTTTAGTAAAATTTTACAGCCCCCAAAAAAACTCACGTCCCAGCTCGACTCTCTTCTCCAACCTTATCAAAGCAATGTCATTCTCCTTCGTACTGTTCTTATCAAAATTCTCGTGTATGATGATCTCTGCAATGGCCACGTCCTGCGGGGGTGGGGCACAAATGTTCCCCTCGCAGTCGATGGCCATAGATTGGTTGTACTCCCCCAAGCGGACAGATATCCTACACCAAGTCAAAGGTCATACAAATGTATCAAGTAACCGCAGAATGTTAACTTTGCCCTTTCCAAGGGAGACTCACGGAATATTTCCTTGTGGAATGTCACTCTCTGATACGCAGTGGGCCGCCGTAAGGACGTACAATTCATTTATAAGGCTCCCCCCGCAGAGGAACTTTGTTGGGCCGCGTTGACCTGAAGTCGAATTATAAAATCACCACCGCAATCTATGTAACATTGAGGGTATTCATTATTTCTTCGTATCCATCGTATCGTAAAATAGTTTACGAAGAAAAAACAAGGGGTCAAGCTTAGTAAAAATCGTAAGCGTAGTAACGTGATTTTCGATGACAAAATCTTACGACGCTTACAAAATCTCGTAAGCTTCGTAAGTTATTTTACGATACGAAGAATACTAAGGATACGAAGAAATAATGAATACCCTCATTGTAAATTGTGCAAATTTTGCGAGTAGGGGCAAAAACCTGGACACAATTTATTTACAAGTTTTAAACTGCGCACATTTTCTATCTTCCACGACTCTAAATTTATGCCCGTATCCTTAAAAATTTACACGCTTTACCACAACAGCATGTTAATATGATAAGCCCAGTATGACAACTGCTTAACCTCCGACCCCGATAAGTGAATATCCGATGAGCGCCATCCATGGGAAGGTTCCCAGTCCGGCCTCCCTGCCCCCAGCGATCCTGACCTTGAGGAGGGATGGGTTTCCATGTCCGCAATGCTCCTTGTCCGGAAGTAGGTGGAGGTTGGGATGGGTCGCGATTTCCGCAGAGATGGAGGCCACACTGATACTACTTGGTGGTGAGGATGAAGGCGTCTCATCATCGCTCTTATCTTCTGTCGGACCACATTTTGATCCCGATGATAACGTCAATATCTTCGCATCCGGACCCAGTTTCGGTTGAAGAAGTTGAAGCAGGTCGGAATCGATGGGCGTGGGGTCACAGAGTTGTGCTGCTGGAGGTTACGGTCAAACGTAAAATATAGTTAATGTTTGATAAGGTAGATAAACTTGAAGCTTACTACTTTCACCCGAGATGCATACCGCCCACACGAGAAGATTTAAAACTACGTAGCCTGGCATGATTGGAAATGCATGGTGGAAATGAAATCATGGATGAATTTGAACATAATGCTATCCAGTTAATGGAGTTCATATCATGGGATCATTAAGGTTTCGAGATAACGACGTGGCGAGTACAGATAAAATAGGGGCGAAATTAGTATAAACCTGGTCTTGGTTTACCTTGAAGGAGAAAAAAGTATTCAAATCTTTCGCCTTCGCCTCAAATTTCCTACAATTTAAAAAAAAAAACTCAAAATTACCGAGGTAATTCACGCAGGCCTTGGTAACACAGTAAAATCCGTAAATTCGCAAACTTACAAACTTTTACAAAATTTTACAAATATTTCCAAGGAAAATTAGCTTACCAATTTCTGTAAACTTGCTCAGATCAAGAGCGTTTTTATAAAAGTTTATAAAGTAATTTTACAAAAAGCATCGATTTTAAAAATGACAGCGTGAATTGCCTTCCTATGTTTTTTACAACTTTTCATCAAGACCATCCCAAGTTGCAAGTATTATAAAATGATAAAAATTCTCAACTTGAGATGCATTCTAAATGCAATCGGGTCTCATCTCGCCTCAGAATTTTGTCCGTCTCAACTTCCCGTTCTCTCCGGAAACTCTGGATCTTCTGCTCAACTCCACATTTTGCACTTGCTCAGACGTTGTCTGTTCCTTCGACAAAAACATTTGTTGCTCTTCTTCCTTCTTCCAGCGCTTGTTCATTCCACCTTCCACCTCCGCAAAGCTGTTGTCAACTTGGAACAACTTCTTCAGAAATGTAATATTAAAACTAAACTAAAAAAAGACTAAAAAAAACTAAAAAAAAATGACTAAAAAAAATGGAAGTTAAGCTTAAATCACTCAAGTTTTACGGTTTTCGTACATTCAGTGACGACAGTGAGGTCCATGAAATCAATTTTGATAAAAAGTTAACCATCATTCATGGCCGGAATGGATCTGGGAAGACGGTAAATAAAATCAACAAGTTATACAAACTGGGTATCTTTAATTAATTTAACACGTAATTTATTCATATTTTACAGACCGTGGTCGAAATTTTACTGTTTTGCATGACTGGAAAACTATCCTCAAATCCGGATGGATGTACGATTTGAATTACAATTAATTAAAATTATGGGTTGATAATTAATGTGTACAATTATGAGTTGGTATTTGGTAAAAAGTTGATAAAAAGACTGAGAAACAACTTTAGTCCAATTGCCCATTATTGTCGCCGTTCTTTAATATATAATAATTTCTAAGCCCATTTTACAAAGCTTTATTAAATTGCAAAGATGGCGCAAATATTCAATAATTCTTATTTTATTTACGAAATTAATAATGCTGCCTTAATTATTCATTAGTGGACTCTTTCGTCACTGGTGTCCCAGCCACCATCACTCTAACATTCATCAAGGGGTCGGACACCTACGAAATTAAATGGACCTTGAACCGGCCCAATGTCAAGATAATGGCGACCTGTCAAATTAAAGAGAATCGCACAGTCACACACGATAAGTTGAAGGAGAAGGCAAGTTAGGCCCTTTCAAAGTTTATAATCATTGTAAAATTAAGGTTTGTGAGCAACATTTAACTTATTTTTCAGGAGGCGGAAGAAATCATCCGAAAAATTTTAGACGTTCCGGCCGGTGCAGTGGAAAAATTAATTCTCGTCCCACAAGAAAATACTTTGTGGGCTTTCAACACTCCTACAAACTTGAAAGAGGTGCTCGATAAGCTCTTAAATTTGGAGGAGGACAACAAACAGCTCATGAAACTAGTCGAAGCGAAGAAAGAGATTGAAAAGAGTAAATAGCTCAATTAAATAGTTACATAATTAATCAGTTGTATTAATTTAGTCTAATCTTGCTTTTACAAAGGAATGAAAACGGCTGAAATTGATCTCACCGTGGCACAAGGTGCTGCAGAAAAGCACCCCTCTATCGTCACCGAGGAGGCTGCCACATCTCGAAAGGAGGCCGAATTACAAGCCGTCGTCACCCAGCTGACGGACGAAATAGAAGAGATGCTGAACAAGCATGAAAAATACGACAAAGTTCTCAAACTGGGCGAAGATTTGGATAGGTTGAAGTCGTGTGCGGATTCTCTGAATATTTCAGAAGAAGAAATAGACACACTGGACGAGAAAGAATTGGAGTACGACTTGGCCAGGGTAGACGCTGAGCTGGGCGATAAGCTTAGTACGATTATGCGGGTGAGTGTAAAATACTTTGAAGTTATTAATTGATTATTTATTTATTTATTTAGCCTATGACTTCTTTCTACCTTTATAATTTATTATGAAGTGTTATAAAATGGTCTGGGAGTTATCTTCGACTTTGCAATTTTATTATTACGCCAAGTTTTGTAAAGGATAACATAAAAAATTCATTCAACGATTTTGGGAACTTATTTAAAAATGTTATTACGTTAAAGGTTCCAGCAATTAAATATCGTCAGGGTAGTTTAAAATCAAATTATGCTTATTTAATTTATCAATGACAGTATACTTTTGGGATTATTTGTGTATTTATTTATATTGGACTATCTATTGTATTTTTTTTCAGAAAATCCGAGAGAAAGACGATCTTGCTATCCAACTCCAAGATACTTCGGAGCAGTTAGGTCATGCAAAAGCTAACCTGGAAAATTCGGAGGTGTCACTCGCCCAAATTTTGGAATACTGTTCGCAATATGATTCTCCAGATGTGGAATCGTGCAAGGGTGTGATTCAAGCAAAGATTACCAAATTGCAGGAAGATCTTGAACAAATTAATATAAGGTAGCCTTTATCTGGGTAATTTAGAGATTTGTGTAAAAAACCAATTTAATTTGACTTATTTTTTATCCAGGAAGGAAAAGGTCGAGGTTCAAAATAGACTGGATTCATGTATAAAGTTGGAGCAGATGGCACTCAATTTTGAGAAATTTAAGAAAATGTCAGATCAGAAATGGACAACGCTGTTACAATTAGAACGCGACATTGCCAAAGTTGAGGGAAAGATTGAAGCTGGACAAGAAAATGTGGACGATTTTGAACGGTATGTTACATACATATGTAATTTTTTAAATTTTGCTTTTTGAAGCAAGAATGCTGTTAGTAAAAAGTTGGCCATATTTTTAGGCTATGTCCTGACGAAACCATCCTAATGGCGGAACTAAACGGTAGAATCTTACTACTCAAACGGAACCTGAAATACTTGACGGCCCAATTGGCCACTAAAACTGCCACCTTTGATGAAATGGAGACCCAATTTTTTGACGAGTTAAAATTCGACCCGAATTTGGCATCAGTTGTGCAATCACAAAACAACGGATCTCGAGACTATCCTTTGCCTGCAAAGATTGCGAGAATAGACGAGTCTTTATTGTCAAATGGTAATTGCGTAATTAGACAATTCACGCCAACCTTGGTAGGTAAATATTTAAGGTTCCCAGACAAATCTTGAGTGTATAGACTGCACAAATTTTACGCAAATTAATTGATATATGTTCACTAATTTTGTCGTAGTCAGATCTTAAAAATTTACACAATTCCGAGTTACAAAGGTGGCGTGAATACGCCCATTTATAGAATAAATAATAACATTTAGAACACATTATGTATATCTAATTTAACTATCAATTTTACTTATCATGTTTATTTTACAGATTCCAAATCTCAAAACAAGTTCTCTCAAATTGCTACTGAAAAATCAACACTTCTCCAAAAATTAGGTGGCCTGAACTCACGATTAATAGTAGATGAGACTACTGAGGACATTAAACCTCAACTTGACGATGAACTCTTCAAACTAAAAATGGCTTTCGGCCAGATTGAGAATTTACAACGCCTGTCCGTGGCCAGGAATAACGGTGAAGGAACACATCTTATGGTGGATGCATTCAACGCATCGTGTGAAATTCTGAGGGAGCAAGCGGCTCAGAAGGAAATAGAACTGAAGGAGTTGGAGATTGTGATTCACGACGTCAAGGTATAAAAATTTCTCTAATTTTATCTTCTAGGTCGAGGTTTTGAACTACACGTTAATTTTTTGTACTCCCGTCCAACAGAAAAAGAAGGAAAAAATTCAATTCAAACGAGAAAAGGCAATCCCTTGCATATCTCAAATTCGCGAGATAAAAACTGCACTTGCCACTGCAACCCAAACTCTGATCTCTTGTTCTCTCGAATCTACCCAAGTATCCACCCACGCTGGCCAACTATTCGACCAAATCACTCAAAAAACCACCACCCTCGAAAATGCCAAGGAAAAATCCGCCACGGCATCTGGAGAGCTGAACGAAATTCGGAAAGCGCTCGCCACTTCGACAGCCAACGTGGCAGCTTGCAAGATCCATGAGGAAGCGATGTCAAATCTTGTCACTGGGTACAAAATAGCTGACACCGTTGCTTCGGCCAAACGACACCAAATTCTGACCAAACATCAGGAGATGGTGGCCGAGATAAACCAGTACTTGGCCGACAAGTGGGAATCACTTTTTCCGTATGACGACATCCCGTCAATCTCACTGTCACAGGTTGAGATAAAGCACGAAGGGGTGCGGCGAGTTGATTACAACTACCACTTCAATATGGACACATCAGCGGATGGAGAGCTAAAGATGAGGGGACGGTCGTCCCACGGGGAGAAGATTTTAGCCGCATTGATTATTCGCTGCGCACTGGCTAAAAAATTTGGCCCAAATTGTGAGATTTTAGCATTCGACGAGCCCATGGGAGGATTAGATGGAGATATGGGGCGGGGGTTGGTGGATCAGTAAGCACATTTTCATTACTGTAGATTTGGAGGAGAATTAATGAACGATATTATTTTATTTTTCTTAGTTTTTCCTCAATCACGGACAAAACTCAGGTCATTGTGACCACGCATAGTTTGGAGTTTGCGAAAGCTTTGGTTAGCAAAGGAAATGCGGTGGGGGAGGAGGTTGGATTTTACAGGGTGGAGAAAGAAGGAGGGTGAGTACATATTCATTTCATTGATGGATGAACACAAAAGTTATCGGTTTTAATTATTTAATGAATTTGATATTCATTAGGAGATCCAAGTTCCATGAGGGCTTTGGAGATTTGTTGGATGACTGAGTCAGATCGTGAATATTTTGGGGGAACTTTTAAATATTAAAATGACGACATGATAAGATTATCATGATGAGAGTCTAGGTATTTGTAATTTAAAACGAAAAAAATTCTGTAATTCGTTACTAGTCAGACTTATATTTAAAATATGTAGCTTATTTTCATTGTTAAACATGTAAATTTTTCTCGTATGCAAAAGTGAATGTGATGGTTACATGATAATGTCAATTATGCACTTAATATCAATGTTATTACTTATTAATCAGCAACCTGCATATTTATTTGTTTTACCATTTGAAAAGTATGTGTGAAAGGGATGAAAAGGAAACCTATTAAAACACCAGAGTTAATTCTTGAGAATAAATATGTATAAAAACCCTGTTTTATGATTTCAAAAATATGAAGTCGTTTACTCTTATTCCTTCAAAATTTTACAAAAATTAATTATTAATAATAAATTATACGATTAATTACGAAGAGTATTAAAATAATTAATTCTGATTAATACATGTAATTACTCATGCTGAAAACGTACTCATTTTCCTAAAACTTATTTGCAATTTGAATTACATAAATTATTCTTCATTCTGACTCTTGATCTCGAAAACCGGAAAAATCTGCCACATTTTGCAGAATACCTGCAAAAAAAGTGTCATACTTCTCTTCCAGCCTTCCCCTGTAGATACTGAGAACTTCGTCCACAGACTGGAAGTGGACTTTATCCTCCTCCTCGAAATGTGACGATTCTTCTACATCATTATTATTCTGACTCTTCTTTCTGTGTAATAATGGGTCGTGGAGGTAAAACTCCTGTACGACGTCTTCCACCTCGATGGCATCACAAACCCCGTCCATCCAAGTGTCCGGTGGGCCGACCCTTATCGCCTTACGCAACACCACCTCCTTCATTCGCATCTTGACGCAAGTCACTTTGTATGAGGCGAGGACCTTGCCTAAAAGGAGCATTTGTTTCACGAGGCCGGTACGATAGGAGGGCAGGATGGCGAGCGAGAATTCCGCCACCGCCACGTACACGCCCCCAAACGTGACGAGGAATGGGGTAGCAGAAAGTGGATGACGGGCAAAAATGTATTCTTCGTCCTCAAACAAGGCCAAAATTTCTTCGCATAGGACGAGAGCTGGAATGACTTCGAGGCGACGGTCCGCCCAGTCGAGGCTAGAGTTTGGCTCTAGAAGGCGCTCGTACCGGTTCTGGATCGCGGTTAACTTTGCCCTCAACGCCAAAATGCCTCCAGACACGACCACTTTGTCGATCTTCGCGGCCAACAAGCTTTCCTCCAGACTGGACGAGGTGGCCACCGTGTCGCCAGAGGTCATCGTGACGCATGATTCTTGAGAAGAGTTGAGGTGGTCGAGCGTGAAGCTGACTAGTGTGGAGACGGCGGTGAGGCAGAAGGTCGTCGTCGACATTTGCGCCGCATCGAAAACAAGGCCGGTAGCGAGCTGGAGGATTTGTCGGAGCCTAGAAACGCTGGAGGCGGCGGTGGAAGAGATGAGAATGAGGTCCTTGTCAGGGAGGAGGGGAAAGCAGGCGGGATTCGTAGGAATAGAGGTCACACCGGTCTTGCCGTGACGTTGACCCATGACCTGGTGGATACAAAAAATTATTATTTTGGTCACCATCAGTTACGCCCACTCACCCCACACTGACCTTTGTTGTAAATATTTTATTTTCTGCTGGGGAGATGAGTGAGCAGGTTGAAACGAGTCGAGTGGAGATCATTTGGGTGAAAGTGCAAAGGGAAAGCGAGCACCCGCGAGTCAAAACATCAACCAACAATAGTTGTTTATTCACTTCCAGCTGGCTTGTTATTATAAATTTTTGTATTGCTCAGAATTGTGAATTGTTGGGTCATTTTGTGATTTGTGATAAATAACCCAATGAATTGGTCCTCATGAGCGGTCGTGGAATTGGACGTGGGAGAGGCTCGTTACTTCCACCGGTAATAATTTCATTAATTAAGTAATTACTCCATCCATATGTTATCTTGCTTTACACCCCTTGTTCAATTTTCAGAATGGGGCAGGTTCAGGTAGTCTTGGTGGTGGGAGAGGTCGTGGAGGAGGGCGAGGTGTGCTTTTTTCGTCCGACCACTTTGTGCTAGAAGATGACGACGAGGCAGAGCAAGAAACGGCTGTGACAGGATTCCAAAGAGAACGAGAGGATGCCACACCCTCACAATCTGACTCTGACGAGGACGACTTTATTTCACAGTTTCGGAAACTACACGCCCCAAGGACCACGGTTTCCGAAGCCTCGAGAAGCACGACCTCGACTGGTACGGTGAGATGGTCGGGACGTGGAAGGAAACCGGCCGGAGCTGCAGGTTTGACATTAATTATTTTAACAGATAAGTTTACATTATGTAACACGTAATTTTGACTGTTACTTTTGCAGGCGGAGGAGTATTAGATCTTGTAGATAACTGTTATCCTGTGATAGCGGAGACACCATCCCCAACCAAGGTATATTCTTCGGTGTCTTCCTCGTCTGGAGAGGAGTTGTCTGGAGCGTCGTCGGGAGGAAATGCCGTCATCGTCAAATCTGGAGAACTAGGGAAGAAGTAAGTAAATCAGTCATGTATAAATTAGTTTTAAAAACTTATCGTGTCCCACTTTCCGACAGTGTCAGCATGTGCGTTAACTACATACGGCTGGAACACTTGGAGAAAGATCGGGGTGGAGTTTGGGAGTACCACGTCGATTTTGACCCACCGCTCGGCTCCAAGAAACTCCGATGGTCCGTCCTCCACTCGTTGGTTGACATTATGGGCCCCACTCTCAACTTTGACGGTGGCTCGAAACTGTTTCTCCCCTTTGAATTGAGGGACGGCGTCACGAATTTATCAACACCGCACCCTGCCGATCATGACGATACTGTGGATGTTGTCATCAAACACATCAAGAAACAGGAGCTAGAAGAATCTGTCCATTTTTATAACATTCTCCTGAGACAAGTCTTCCGCGAGTTGGGTCTCATCGAGATGCAACGAAACTTTTATGATTACAAGAATATCTTTCAAGTTCCGGAGCACAAGTTAGATAATAATATATTTAATTATATGTAATGCTTGATTGAATTCTACAAGATAATTAATGGTCGTCTTTTTCAGACTGGAGATTTGGCCTGGCTTCGTGACAGCGGTTGAAGTCTACCAGGATGGTCTCATGCTCAACTGCGACTCGTCCTTCAGAGTTTTGAGGACGGACACAATGTTAAATGCTCTGTTAGTCTCATACCATGAAAATTAACTGAATTAACTTTCCACCAGATTGGCATGAACTATTTACTGACACAGGGACCAGATGATGTACACGGAACAGAATGAAGGCGTCCACAGGTACAATGCCCGCGAGAGGTTCAAGGAGTACGCCCTTGGAAAGGTGGTCCTCACCAAGTACAATAACAAGCACTACCGAGTGGACGACGTGGACTGGGAAAGCACCCCAGAATCCACTTTCACACAAATGCGGAACGGCAATCCAGTTCAAGTCTCCTTCATCGAGTATTATAGAACCAATTATAACGTGATAATTCGTGACTCTGATCAACCCATGTTGGTCACGAGGGGGAAGATTAAGCGACAACAACATGCAAGCAATTGGGTGAGTGATAACAAGTCAAAATTCACCTCCACACTTGTGTGACATTGAAAGAACATTTGCATGTATGTATTTTATTTGGTGAGCAGAGTCCACCAGAAAATATTCTTCTCGTTCCAGAGCTCTGTTTTGTCACAGGTATGACGGAAGAAATTACGTCAGATTTCAGGATTATGAAAGTTGTGGCGGATAAAACGAGGATTCCACCGTTGCAGAGGTATCACGCTCTGCAAGCGTTCATCGAGTCGGTTAATAGTAAGTAGACCACTAATACTGTGCTGCATGAGAAAGTGTACAGGAATGTGAATTAGAATGTTATTCCTCCACAGCCCAGCCAAAAGTGAGGTCAATTTTTGAAAAGTGGGGGTTGAGACTGGCAGATGGAATAGTCAATCTTAACGGGAGAGTCATTGGCCCACCCAAAATGATTCTGGGGGGCAATGCTGTAGTACTGCCACAAGGTGGCGAGTTTAACAGAGATTTGCTTCGAAGTCAAGTGCTCGAGCCGGTAATTACCGGTATTTCAATGATAACTGCTTCATTTTCATTACCATTTGCATTGTACTTAAAGGATCTGAATTTTTAGGTCCCCATCCAAGATTGGTTGGTCGTCTGCTCCTCAATGGACGAACCAAGGGCCATCCGAGCCATCCAAAACTATGGCCAGGTTGCTCGTCCACTTGGCATTCCATACAAAGGAGATCCTCGTATCATCCGTGTTCAAAAGAATAGACCCTCCGATTTTCGCGAAGCTCTGGTTAATAACATTGTCGAGGGGGTGACACAGTTTGTGATGGTCATCCTCCCATCCAATCGAGACGACTTGTACCGCGTGGTAAAGACTGTATGCAACCATGAGCTCGCCGTAGCGTCACAAGTCATTCGTGGTCAGACACTGAACGACGAACGCAAAGTGAGAAGTGTAATGCAAAAGGTCGCACTTCAGATCAATTGCAAGTTGGGTGGAGCTTTGTGGACGATACGTATTCCAATGGTGGGCGTGTTTATTATTATGATCTTTATTTTTTACCTGCCATCCATATCGACATTTAAATTTTAAATATTTCTTTATTTCTTCTCTTCATTGTTCATAGATAGAAAAGATAATGTTTCTTGGGATGGACGTGTATCATGACCCAAAACGCCACAATCGGTCCGTAACAGCCGTCGTGGCGTCAATAAACGTGACCTACACAAAATATTATTCTCGCTGTATATTTCAACAGCAACAGCAAGAGAGTATCAGCAGCCTTCGCCCTGTCTTTCTTGACGCATTGCTAACGTTCCAAGAGCACGACGTGAGGGCGACATATTCTTAGTTAGTCATGTTATTTAAACAACTTCACGTTTATTGCAATTTCTCAGGGAAATGGGGCCTTCCCAGATCGTGTCATCATGTTTCGAGACGGCGTTGGTGACGGCCAGCTCGAGCTTACTAGACAGTACGAAGTTGCTCAAATGCTCTCCTGTTTTCAAGAACTTGGGATCGACCCCAAATTCACATTCACGGTCGTCCAGAAGCGAATCAACGCTAGAATGTTTCTCGATGTATGCGAATATATATCGCAATCCTTAACCTAATAGATAAAAGTTCATTATTTGACAGCAGGCTTTTTTGCTCTATTTTGCAGACTGGCAGTCACATTGAAAACGTGGAGCCTGGGACTGTCTTGGATCACACCGTCACAAGGCGAAATTATTTCGACTTTTTCCTGGTGTCCCAATTAATACGAGAAGGAACGGTGAATCCAACCCACTACATTGTCCTACACGACAACTCGGATATAAAACCGGATGTCATACAAAAGTTTGCTTACGCAACATCCTTCATGTACTACAACTGGGCTGGGTCTATTCGTGTACCGGCAATGTGTCAGGTATAGCAAAACACAGTTGACGTAAATATTTTGCAATAATAATGGGAAAATCATATTTTGTCATCTTTCCAGTATGCTCACAAAGCCGCTGGTCTGGTTGGGCAACATATTGGAAGAGAACCCTCAGCAAAGATGAATGACAAGCTTTACTACCTGTGAAACTTATTAAGATTATATGCACGCTTTCATAAGAAATCGGGATATTGTATACTTGTCATAACAGTAATAATTTTACACAGATTTTTATCAACAATTTTATACAAAGCTATTAGAAATTTATTTTTGTTTATTTTGATCTATCAATCTACTTCAGTGAACAATATATTATATACATAATGTTAACCAGTCTAGCCAGCTCACAATTACGAACTTATAATATAACGAACTTTTTGCCAATAGTTTTAAAAATAGTCAACTTATATGAATCTCGACCGATAAAAAATTGTTAAATGTAATCCTGATAATCTTTCTGTTTCTATATAATTTTTGGACAATAAATGTACGACACATTATTTTAAAATCCTTATTAAAGCTTTTACTAGTACTTTTACTTACTCTCCTGTTCTCTCTGCAGAGTGGAGAGAGAAAAGGAGAGGCTAACTTCTCTGTTAGTGGTTACTCATTAGCGAGCGTTTATTGTAATTTTTCAAATGATTATGGTAGAAATGATAAATTATTTAAACAATTTCTGAAGAACAAGGTGTATTTATTGAATCGAAAGTGTAAAGGTTGTAACATTAATCAAAATTCAATAAAATATTTGTTAAATTAAAATTTTGTCCATCGCACAATTCTTGGCATCCTTTTGACTTGACGTTTCTTGGCTCGTTTCATGCTAGTCATCCTTCCAGCTCTAGTCTGTTTTCTATTAAGAATAGCATTAACACTTGCTAGGAATAGATCGATTGGAGGTTTTTTGTCCTTGTTGAATTTTAAAAGTTGCATGACTGAGGGATCAGTCTTGGCTGTTGTTTTTGCTGTTATTCCATTGCATAAAGTAATTAAGCATGAATTCATTATCTCCAGGGAGTCGCTCACACCGCCAACATCAAATTTATCGCTACTAATAATTGCTCCGTGCTCTTTCAGAAAATCCAAGATTCTCGATCCACGTGCAGTTTTCTTGCTCAATAGTTTGTTTACGTATTGTACAGGGTGGCCAACTGAAACTGTACTTTAAATGAAACGCTATAGCTTCAACAGTTTTAGCGTTACAGAATTCTAGTAAATTTTAGTCGAAAGCCAGTTAATTTCTGATTAGAAAACAATTTTTAGTTTTGGAAATTTCCTCTCCCCGCACTAACGCAGCTCTGAAGACGCCGCCTCGAGTACTCGACTCGAGCACGCACTGAATCTGTGCATAATTTGTTCCGTTCCGAGGTCAAAAATTTTTTCTAAGCCTTCACACTTCTACGAAGCTTAGAACACATCTTTGTCCCTAAGTTTGAGCACATTTCATATTCCGGGGATTCAAATTCAGCAAGGAGGATGATCATTCCTAATTATCGATAAAGACCGGAATTTGGTTTTTCAGTCACAATTGGGTCATTTTTTGCACTATACGCTTGTGCTGAGTCCTGCTGAGTGGTCTGCTCGATTCCATTGAATTGGATCTCACTTAGGGGATGTACCACGGACTCAAAAACATATTTTAAGAAATTTGATCCCACCTTCCCCCCATTTCCAACAAAATGTAGATTAATTGCCCCAATTAGCTCCCACCTACCAAAACCGTCACAAACCCTGGAAAATGTGACTTTATGACCTTTTGTCTATATCGGGGGATATCTTTGACCAATTCTGCGCACATATGTTCGACTCGTTTGTTAAAAGATTTTTCCGATGTGAAAATCTCCTCATTTATAAAAAGAATCCCCCTCACTTTTTTTGAGCGTACCGCTTGAGGGACTCCTGCATTTCTTTAATCTGGCTTTCCTTTCGCGGATTATCAGGACGTGGCAAGTACCACATTTGAAAGCCTTAAGCCTCAGCTTCAATTTGAGCACTCTTTGAATAATCTGCTTCAACTATATCAGCTCTGAGGCTGGTTTCCGTTGGAATTTCGCGAATATTTTAGGATTCCAGCCTTCAGAGCCTTTACCGTGGGTGTGGTTCTTGTAGGTTTTGCAAAAATTGTTCATCGACTGTTATTAGTCTGTCCAGACCCCATGAACATTTTTATATTCCGTTGGACTCAATTAAAGCGCCCATTCGATTTCTGTCATACCTTTTAAATTTGTAATTTCCTCATTTTTTAGAAAAGAATTATCGCTGCCCACGTCCTTTCAATATTTTCCCTACTGGTGTGTTTCGCAAGTAGTTACAAATTGATTGGTGTTGTTTATGAAAAGTCGCATGAGGAATCCAATGCATTTATCAGATCTTCATTATCTCCAGCGGTAGAAAAGATAAGCGCTAAGTACAGCCACAGTGGGCTCAGTATGTAGTTGTAGGCAAAGATTTTTTAGCGAGCGATCCAGCTGAAAATGTATGTTCCTCCGCTTCTACACCCTTAACAAGCAGTGGTTTCTTGTCTTGTTCATTTTTTCTGTCAATAATCTGACGATTTAAGTTCAGCAGCAAAAGTAGCTTAATGTCATCAGTCAAATCGAAATCTTTAAACAGTTGATTTTTCTGATCTTTTAGCTTATCTTCTAGATCAAATTGTAAATCCCTTTGCGAGTTGAGTGCAAAAATCCTTTTGTACTAGGATTCTGGCACAATTTTCATTTTCTAGGCCATAATGCTGGTCCAAGAACAGCAAGTGTTTTAACAACTGTTCCCAGCTACGGTAAAAATCCACCAGATTGGTTGAGAAATTTCTTTCTTGCCTTTATGCTTGGCTTTTTTGCAGTCAGTTTAAGTATACTCGATTTGAAAGGTAATAGCTTGTTCTTTTTACAAGGTGTGACTGGAATGTTTTTGTTGCATAAATTGACCCACAGGTCAAAATTGAACGTACCTCTTCCCCACTGGCCTATTAGCTTCTTTGGGCGTTTTAGTTTTACGCTACATTTGAGGAATGCAGCTGCAGCGACTATACGATTCTTAGCCATCTTGTTAAACTGAACTCGTTTAGTATAAATACTCCTCTATTTATACGCGGGAGAGATTACTGCACCATGGAATTTCAGCCAATATGGAGTCAAAAATTAAACGCGTTAAAGCTTATCCCAAGATTACCATGCAGTTTTAGCGGTGTATCAGGATTTAGAAAGTCTGGAAACCGTAAAGAAACTGTTACGAAAATTGAAAACGTCTTGAAAACAATTCCTGCTTACACTCTGCATCCATCAAGATGAATTCATTTCCCTAGCCAAGTTGTTTATGATCCTTATATAAACGCACAGTGGGGAGTGGATTTGATGGATAGCATCACTGGAACACGTGTTCCTGGTCGTGTTCATCATGGAACAACAATGGAACACGTGCTCCTGGTCGTGTTCCTCATGTAATAACAATGGAACACGTGTTCCTTGGCGTGCTCCTCATGTAACAACAATGGAACACGTGTTCCTGGGCGTGCTCCTCATGGAACAACAATGGAACACGTGTTCCAGGTCGTGTTCTTCATGGAACAACAATGGAACACGTGTTCCAGGTCGTGCTCTTCATGGAACAACAATGGAACACGTGTTCCTGGTCGTGTTCCTCATGGAACAACAATGGAACACGTGTTCCAGGTCGTGTTCTTCATGGAACAACAATGGAACACGTGTTCCAGGTCGTGTTCTTCATGGAACAACAATGGAACACGTGTTCCTGGTCGTGTTCCTCATGGAACAACAATGGAACACGTGTTCCGGGTCGTGTTCTCATGGAACAACAATGGAACACGTGTTCCTGGTCGTGTTCCTCATGGAACAACAATGGAACACGTGTTCCAGGTCGTGTTCCTCATGGAACAACAATGGACAATGTGTTCCTCGATGTTCCCCATGTGTTCCTCAAGGAACAACAATGGAAAATGTGTCCCGGGTCCGTGTTCNGTGTTCCTCATGTGTTCCTCAAGGAACAAGCTTGGAACACCTTGGAACACGTGTTCCGGGTCGTGTTCCTCGATGTTCCTCATGTGTTCCTCGGTGTTCCTCATGTGTTCCTCAAGGAACAAGCTTGGAACACCTTGGAACACGTGTTCCGGGTCGTGTTCCTCGATGTTCCTCATGTGTTCCTCGGTGTTCCTCATGTGTTCCTCAAGGAACAAGCTTGGAACACCTTGGAACACGTGTTCCGGGTCGTGTTCCTCGATGTTCCTCATGTGTTCCTCGGTGTTCCTCATGGTCGTTCCTCATGTGTTCCTCAAGGAACAAGCTTGGAACACCTTGGAACACGTTGTTGGCCGGTTGGTTCCTCATGTGTTCCTTTTCAAGGAACAAGCTTGGAACACCTTGGAACACGTGTTCCGGGTCGTGTTCCTCGATGTTCCTCATGTGTTCCTCCGTGTTCCTCATGTGTTCCTCAAGGAACAAGCTTGGAACACCTTGGAACACGTGTTCCGGGTCGTGTTCCTCGATGTTCCTCATGTGTTCCTCGGTGTTCCTCATGTGTTCCTCAAGGAACAAGCTTGGAACACCTTGGAACACGTGTTCCGGGTCGTGTTCCTCGATGTTCCTCATGTGTTCCTCGGTGTTCCCCATGTGTTCCTCAAGGAACAAGCTTGGAACACCTTGGAACACGTGTTCCGGGTCGTGTTCCTCGATGTTCCTCATGTGTTCCTCGGTGTTCCTCATGTGTTCCTCAAGGAACAAGCTTGGAACACCTTGGAACACGTGTTCCGGGTCGTGTTCCTCGATGTTCCTCATGTGTTCCTCGGGTTCCTCATGTGTTCCTCAAGGAACAAGCTTGGAACACCTTGGAACACGTGTTCCGGTCGTGTCTGTGTTCCTCGATGTTCCTCATGTGTTCCTCGGTTCCTCATGTGTTCCTCAAGGAACAAGCTTGGACACCTTGGAACACGTGTTCCGGTTGTTCCTGTTTCCTCATGTGTTCCTCAAGGAACAAGCTTGGAACACCTTGGAACACGTGTTCCGGGTCGTGTTCCTCGATGTTCCTCATGTGTTCCGGTGTTCCTCATGTGTTCCTCAAGGAACAAGCTTGGAACACCTTGGAACACGTGTTCCGGGTCGTGTTCCTCGATGTTCCTCATGTGTTCCTCGGTGTTCCTCATGTGTTCCTCAAGGAACAAGCTTGGAACACCTTGGAACACGTGTTCCGGGTCGTGTTCCTCGATGTTCCTCATGTGTTCCTCGGTGTTCCTCATGTGTTCCTCAAGGAACAAGCTTGGAACACCTTGGAACACGTGTTCCGGGTCGTGTTCCTCGATGTTCCTCATGTGTTCCTCGGTGTTCCTCATGTGTTCCTCAAGGAACAAGCTTGGAACACCTTGGAACACGTGTTCCGGGTCGTGTTCCTCGATGTTCCTCATGTGTTCCTCGGTGTTCCTCATGTGTTCCTCAAGGAACAAGCTTGGAACACCTTGGAACACGTGTTCCGGGTCGTGTTCCTCGATGTTCCTCATGTGTTCCTCGTGTTCCTCATGGTTCCTCGTGTTCCTCATTGTTCCTCAAGGAACAAGCTTGGAACACCTTGGAACACGTGTTCCGGGTTGTTCCTCATGTGTTCCTCAAGGAACAAGCTTGGAACACCTTGGAACACGTGTTCCGGGTTGTGTTCCTCGATGTTCCTCATGTGTTCCTCGGTGTTCCTCATGTGTTCCTCAAGGAACAAGCTTGGAACACCTTGGAACACGTGTTCCGGGTCGTGTTCCTCGATGT